TTTTTAAAATAATAATCGTCGCTATTGTATCGTTAAAAATTAGAAAATTAAGCCTCGTTTAAATACTGGCTCCCTTTCATGGTCAAATGAGTGTTGCCAGCTAAAACACGTAAAAATAATATTAAAATAGCCAAGACATAGCCAAATATTACAGCGCCACATCACTAGCGGACATTTGAAATTTGCCAACTGGAACGGTCGGTTAACCGAGGTGTCGGTTAATCGGGGGTCAGATAATCGAGGCTCTACTGTACTTTAATTATCACCTGGTATATATCCAATAATTTTTGAAGAAACAAATTTAACATTTTATAACAACAATATTGTTGTTATAAAATATTACATTGTTATAAAAGGATCATNAAGGTAACATTCCAATAGACAATATGCAAAGCTTTTTTTTCAGTTTACAGCAGTATTTATTACACAAAATTTAAGTAAAGCTTAACATGCCGATCTTGCCCCGGTCTCCCCTATGTGGCACCATCTAATTCCCAAGACTAGTTAATCTACAAATTTTAAGTTTATCTGACATTTTTTACGTTCCTTGCAGAAATGATCACATTAAGTAATTCTTATCATTTACGTGACTTTAAAGAACTGAATCGGAAGGCAATATATTTCATGCAAAAGCCCACTGTACACCTATGTAACTTACTGTGTATTTGCATTTTAATTGTTGAATGATGTCAGTTTCGTTACGTCGTTGCTTGTAACATCAAAGTTGACGGCAATTTTTCCTCTAAATTGTACGATAATAGGCCTACTGTAACATATAAGTGGACTGTCTATTTTCACGAAGTCCTTATCCCGAACAGTTTGTAGCTATCTATCCTTTCCGAATGTTCTATCATAACACAACACAAGACCCTCTGTTCTATCTATAAGGAGATAGCCCGATGTAGTAAGCACAGGATTGTAAGGAGTGAGGAAATTGTAGGCTTTTAGAGGAACCCTACAATTTCCTCACTCCTTAGAAATCGAGAGAAAATAGTGCTTCGGCCGAAACAACTTGAAAGCTTAGAAATGTACAAAGCCTTCGTAGTTAACTTCAAGGAGACAGACTCTATTTCGTCAGGCTGGAGAGCGTACAAAAAGTTATAAGTGAAGGTTTCTTCTTCCAATTGTCGGACTAGTGATATCTATCACGTCTTTCTTAATTATGGATAATTAACAGAGACCGAGATTAAAACAGTTTTCTTTATTTCGCCTATTCCGGATTGGTCCATATTCGCGCTCACGGCTTCAGTGTCTCCAACATAACGAACAAAAGGTTAGTTCGTCTTAATATACTTTTGTTATCCACAATGATGGATATAGTGCACAATTTGTACACATCTTAATGGTGTAGTTTCTACATATCAGTCTCTTGCACTTACTGGCATGTTTTCTTTGTTTATTTTTGATGGGAAAATGCCTTTTCTCGCAATTATTAACTCCTTTTTACCTCTCAGAAGGATTTTAACTTCGATATTCTGCTTCATAACACGACAAAGATCAAAATTTAGTTTTCATCGTAAATATTTTCACAAACAAACGATAACTACGAGCAATTGTCTATTGTGACACGGTCACAATGCCGGACTGCAATTCTTAATCATATTTTGAAATCATTTAATTCAAAATATCTCAAGCTAGTAGTGGCTTGCCCCTGTACATCACACTTTTCCGTTAACTGACGTTTTGAATTGAAAAAAAAAACAAGACTTTCGGTTTGAATCGGAAGATCATATATAGTTAATTGGGGCCTCCTGTCTCTAAAGTTTCCACATCTGGTCTCGGATTTCATATAATTCCGTTCTCGAGGTTAAGACATGCGGACGGACGACAATGACAAAATTTGGAAATAAATGTAGCATTCCTCCCAAAGCAGAATTGTCGCGTTGTAAGTAAAAAAAATTCTCAGCGGTCAGGAAATAAAATATCATGGCACGAGAGGTACGAGCGAAAGTTTCAAAGTTGGATCAACACTTGCGGACGTGTCAAATTGATTAAGCGATCACATTAAGAATTTAGGGGAGAGATCCTTTAAAAAGTCAGAAATTCAAGGAGAAAGAATGATCGTTTCCCCCTAGCTCAGTCTGTTTATCCTCTGTGTCGATTTCCCCGTTGTCTCGGACTTAATTTTCGTTCGGCCGTATTATAAAGGTTTTTCGGTATTTTTAATATTAACTTTATCCAGTTTGATTAATAGGCCTACGCGAAACCCGCAACCCCGACGGCGACCGAGGAATCCTTCCGAAAAGCAAAATAATATTGGGCGAAATCCTAAGAATTTGATTTATTTCATGCCATGGTCGAAAATGGACGAAAAAGATATTTATTCGAACGAATTTCGGAGATGGTCAAGCCTCGAGACGTAGAATTTAAAAAGATCGTCTTTTACCTCTCCACGGTCGACATTCTGCACCATGTAAATGCAGAAGATAATTTATTTATCAAATTTAAAAAAGAAAAATAATTATAAATTAATTAATTGAAAAAAATTTTAAAAATTTATTTTTTTTAAAAATTCTAATTTTTACGAAATTCGAACATTGTTGACGCGTTTTTTAACGTTTGTTCGAAATACGTCACACATGACGAATCGCAGTTCGATTGTGTTTCTCGTTGCTGTCGGACGTGCTTTTCTTTCGCTCTTGGATTGCGTGCTGTTTTCTGCGGTTTCGTGCCTTTTACAGAGAAGATTGAAGATTTTTTAGGTAAGTCTTAGTCCTTATTGATCCTAGACGTAAGAATTTATTTAATATTACTTGGAGAATCGGTCCCAGAAGACATCTCGGCACATCGTTCGATGGTCGACCGTTTGCGCTTCGGATTCGAATCTTTTAGATTTAAAAAGGCGGCTGCGGTGAGCAGTTTGCTTTTACTCGGAAGAATTTAAGCATTAATTTAAGCTTTTGTTTTCACTGGACTAATTGCAAATTTTCTTTTTTACAGGATGAAGACGTTGGTGCGTTGTTGGAGGCGGTTCCGGCGGAGGCAGGCGGTGGCGCCGGAGGGAGAGGGTTCCTGGGACGACGTGGAACGAGTCTATCGTTCCGTGCCGTTGGAGGAGCGGGGGCTCGACGAGCGACAAGCAGCGGGTGGAGAAGACCTTCGCCAAGTGCGCGTGGCGTGGCATCCTCCCGGAGTCGGGATGATGCGACGCTACACCCTGGGTCCAGTGCGCTTGGCCGAGGTCTTCGGGGGTCATCCGGCCACAGACCTTGCTGTGGAGGATGTCGAAAGTGACAGCTCGTCCGAGCTGACACTTTCTGTTTGGTCGTGTTCTGCCCGTTCGTCCGCGACGGCGACGCCATCGCCTCGTCGAAGTCTGAACGGGGAGGAGTCGGAGGAGAGAGCCCCCGAAGTCGAGGGACCGTGTTGTCCTTTGTTTTTTTGCTGCGGACGGCTTCGGTTGCCTTGGCCTAGGCGGTGATCTTCTTCGATTTCCTCTTCTTCACCCGGATGCGACTTTCTTACCGGATTCGACACTTTTCACCCGGACATGACACTTTTTAACGGACGTGACCTCTTTTACCCGGACGTGACCCACGGACTTGACACGTTTCTTCACCGGACGCGACATTCGGCCGACCTTTCTTCCCAAACAGCTGTTATGAGGATTGAGCTTCCGGTTAGAGTTCGTTAGCTTAGCCTAGGCTAGGTCAGGTCCTTCGCTCTTCTCATAACACTGTTTGGGAAGAAAGGCTGTCTGGTTAAATTAAGGTAATAATCTTGACCTTAGGTAATAAATGAATAAACTTCTTGTTTTCTCACTGCGTTTGTGTTTTGTAGGAACATTTGGGAGGGAGAAGGATCTCCCTCCCCAACTTTACCACGAAGAGGACCAAGTGGCCATTTACCGTACAAGTGAATATTTTCCGATGGTGAGAACTCTTTCGTTTTATTTCTTAACACATCTTATTCTCGTATCGTAATTTACTGTTTTCTGTTTATAGACATGCCGAAGATGTTCTTCGATCACACACATAGACACATACGCACGGACATAACACCACTGTACACGAAGATATACACCGTTTAACCTTTACTCGAATTCTCGCACTCACGCACTTACACATCAAGCGCTCGTTCTGTGTAATTCGACACAATGAAACAACCCGAACACACGCTTCCCACAAATCCAACCCCTGGGTCCTCGTCCCTGGAAGTGGAAACGCCAATTTTAAAGATTAAAAGACTTTAAATTGGCGGCCGAAGGGGCTCTGGTAATCACACATCTTGCATCGATTAAATTGAATTTCAGACATTAGCATCAATAATCGTTTGGTGATGAATTGGGAAGGAGAGGAATCCTGTACCAAGTATTAAACATTGTTTTTTTCACTATGTTTTGTTTTTGTGGCTTTTTTTTAAATCGTGGTCTCAAACTTTTTCAGACAAATTGCAAGGAATAATTTGTTGTATATGAATTTTTTTTTTTGAAATAAGAAAATAAATTTTTACTTCATATTTGTTTATGGTTATTTTAATACTTAAACCACAGTAGATTCCCGGTGTCTCGTTTAGGCATTTATAGCGTGAAAACAATTCATGTATTCGAAGGTGTCCGATAGAGAAAACGAGAACGTTTATTTGATTACGAAGGAACGGATACGCATGCAAATAATCCCGAAACAAAGTTCCATAGGAACTATTGTTTTTAGCACGAAATTCAAGTATTTCGTGTCTATGCTACATTGTAATAATTAACGAGACTCTATTACAATGTTTGAATATCTTGTCTTGAATCTATTGTCCATACAGCACAAATATGCGAAAAATTAGATTTTTACGACGTAGTTAAGGATTTGGCATTGGCTCAGTTAATCAAAAATAGGAGCAAATGAACACGTTTTCCAAATGGAATAACAGGGCTAACGAGAAGCGTATCTTAAACAGTGCGATTATTGCTTTAAAATGAGTGCACTTGTTTGGTTTCAGTCTTCGCTAGCAATAACAAAACTAACGTATGGTTATAGTTATAAATTCAAACGCTTCTGGCGAGAAAGATTTGCCACAACTTCACAAATGTTCAGCTGATTTTGTATTAAATTAAGCATATAAAAACTCGGAAGGAACTAACGGAATTTTAGCACGACTTTCCTGGTGACATTAAGCATCAGTTCAATTAATATCGAAGTTGCCGACTAAATAGTAATTCGGTGGGTGTGATTCATCAGATCCACATTACAATGCACACTTTTTTTTAATTATATAGAAATCATTTCTAGAAATGGCCATTAAATAATCATCTCTTCCGATATTCCGGTATAAATATCAAGTTCTTGTTGTATTTTCGCCACGTATTTGCTTTAATTTCGTTTTATATTCCCGTGTACGGTCTTGGTTAACGAAAAATGTTTATATTTACATGTTTGTATTTCGTGTCGCGATCACGTGAGCATCACCACGTGCGTTTGTCGAACCGTCCCTATTCTATCTCCTATCCCCACACTGGTGCTGGTGTGACTTTTTAATCGTTATCACATTCTGAGATTATAGTAGAAAAAAATCCAAAATTGTTCATTAAATTCCCTTTCTTCTTGGTTTAACGCGTAACAAACGAATTCAACAAGTTGTCGTTGCGATTGTTTTGCTCTTGTTATTATAAAGAGTGCGATTATTGGAAAGCGATTTGAAGATGTTTTTTGACGGTGGAGAGTATCGACTCCTGCCCCATCTTCCGGGGTAAGAGATTTTTTACATTTCATTATTATTTATTCGGATAAGAAATTCGTTTTAGAAATTAAAGGCTTTAAAGAAAAAATTCCGTCTACAATATATATAATTAGGCCTAATTAAATTAAACGTAAAGATTTCCACTTTACGATTTTTGTGTCTTCCTGTTTGCTGTCCGCAATAGAGGACTGAAATAGAGGGCTTTATAAGGCACAGTTTAGGGCCTAGTGTTAAGAAGATAATTTAGGGCTTTCAATTTACTGTTGTCTAAACGAGTAATCGGGCCTCTTTTATATCACAGATTAGGTCTAACTCTTGTACTGAAGGGTCGTTAATATGACTAAATTTACTAAAACTTTAAACCGAATTTCGTTTAATAAATATATTTAATATGTCTTTTCTTAAACTAACAGAAAAAGATTTAGACTAGTCGAGTGTTAAGCTACAGTTTATGAAGGTCCTTCCCCTTATCGAATAAACTTAAAAGCACGAGGATCTAATCTAGTTTGATAGTAGAATTAAATAGTTATTGTGTTGTGAATTTTCTCTTTGCATATTTAGGGAGGGATTGGATAAATAGGTGCAATTTGGATTATTTTAAATTTCGAGGAAGCAAGATGAAGAAAGGCTTCTTGAAGCAGTTCGAACCCTCGACCGGTGCTTTCGAAGGTTTGGACGTTTTTGAAAATAACATTAAGCCTGCTTATAGACAAGTTTTGATGAAGGTTCGACCAATCTGTCAGACGGCCTACCAACGTTTCAACAGGTAAATTATATTACTGTTTGTATATAATAAACTTGACAGCCTAAATAAATTGACAGCGTAACTTGTTCGTGTAAGGCCCTGTACACACTAGGCGTTTTTCAACGCGCGTTAAACGCTCGTCTAACGCCGAGCTAACGCGCGTTAGCTCGGCGTTCGACGAGCGTTTAGCGGAGCGTGCGCACTGGCTCGGTTTGGAAATGGATGTGGAAGTGATTGCTTGTGTGTGGCTCCTCTATCGTCGCTATAAAAGACGACGGCGGAGGCAAAGAGAATTTTGGGTGCACCCAATATTACGAGATAGACTGACGCATGAAATGTTTGCGACGTTGTATCCAAAACTAAGACAAAATAAATTCAAGTTTTTTAATTCTTTTAAAATATCTATAAAATCCTTTGACGATGGTTGGTCTCTTTTAGATTTCATCAATAAATAGATCAGTATCGAAATGATCGTTCTCCATTTCAGCACATATATCTCAAAGCGCTCGGCTGACGCCCGCAAAACGCGCGATCGCATGTACGGTAACATGGCAGCACATATATCTCAAAGCGCCCGTAAAGCGCTCGCAAAACGCGCGTTTTAACAAAAATCTATAAGCGCTCGCAAAACGCGCGTTTAACGCGCGCTTGGCTTTTGAGTGTGTACGGCTACATAGAACTCTTGGTTCTTATAAGCGCTCGCAAAACGCGCGTTTAAAAGCGCTCGCAAAACGCGCGTTGAAAAACGCCTAGTGTGTACAGGGTCTTAAACGCGCGTTGAAAAACGCCTAGTGTGTACAGGGTCTTAAACGCGCGTTGAAAAACGCCTAGTGTGTACAGGGTCTAAACGATTCCGCTTTTGAAGGAAACTGTTCTAGTACTTCTGCTTCGTAGTTTACAATACTATTTTTGTAAAAACCAAATTTTTATTGAAAATGGCGAAAAAAATTGTAGCTAATGTTACAAAAATGATAATATCGAAGATAGCCAGCGACATACACATTTTCCAGTTTAAGAAATTTTACAAATAGGTTACTTTGCGGTTTGTGGCAGCCATCTTGAATTTTGTCTTTGGCGCTTCCAAACTTCTCTGTACTACGCTGTAAAAGGCTAACTTAAAGCGAAAGTCGCTAAACTATCTTTTAACAAACACTGTATCTTTTTTTTTTCAATCTTAGCATCGATTTCTTTAAAAGTTAAAAACAGAAGTTACACCATTTTTGACAAATGTGTTATGCAATTCTCATCCTTCATCTAGAAATTCATCTGCTTGGCATAACAATGCCACTCCCCGATACAACCAATGATCTTTCCTACCGTCGCAAGGCAAGGTGACGTCTGAAATGTAATTGGAAATCTTGTCTCGAGTGCCAATAGCATATACAGGACACCTATAATGATCACCTGTATCCGGGATATTGGTCTCAATCCGAAATATGATCTATGTGATGGTCAAGAAAAACAATACAAATAACAGAAAAAGAAAAGACTCTTAAAGGATACACTCGGTAACGAATTGCAAAGAGTTCTAGGTGGAAGCTCTACCAATAGTTTTCTATCCGCATCCCAATGAGCTCCTACAATACATAATCCCTGAAAGAATTTATATTTGTAAGTGTGGTTACAAAAGAATGAAAACGTAGCAATTTCTTTACCCTAATGGGCACTTCTTTCACTGATATTTCACTCCTCGATGCAAACACGAATCTCAAGTCTTTAATTGATAAGGCCATGATTTTACCATAAGTTCGCAGACAATCTAAAACAATACTGTAATCAATTCGTAATTAAAATAATGTAACCGTAATAAATTCACTTTACCTGTTAAAAAGGCACTAGGAAAGTAAAATGCGGATAGCCAATAGTCAGCGAGACTGTTTTCTTCCCACCATCTTTTGAAGAAATCAAACCTGTAACGTAAGTGTGAATTTATCATCGTAATATACCTCTGTACACGATTTATGTGCTTTATGCTTTACCTAAGACACAAATCGCTCACAAAACTCCCGAGAGATTTGGTAGTAGGATAAGCTAGGCGCAACCACAATTTTGCAATTTTTCCATGCTGTAAGCATTCCATTGCATCTTCTATCTCTTCGGATGAGGATGCTCGACCAATCAAGACTTCTTGTACTTCTCTTAAAGTACACTTCATTACACCAATCAAGTTATTGTATTGAAAAATCTCTCGGAATAATGCTGGATGATGTGGAGAAGCATCCGAGGAAAAAACATTTAATTGCGATGGTAATTTTTTCAAGATGTCTTCTACTAGTGCAGAAATGATCGTTTCAGAGAAGCCATCCTCGTTCACCGCTTTGGCTTGTATGAAGCAAATATTCTTAAATAGCTATAAAATGTGGAAACATGGTCTAAGATAATTAAATGTAAAAACATGATAGAGATGAATTGGCTTACTCCCTCGATTTCTTGTTTTCCTCGTATTATATCCGCATTGCAATGTAAACCTAATACTTCTGGTGCTGTTTCGTGTGGGAAAGTCTTTATATGTTCCAGGATGTTGGACGTGGGAGGAAAAGTATAGCATTTTTCTGTAGGAAAACTGTTTTTATATGGTTATAACTTCTGTTATTTGGATAAAACGCATAAATCTGGCTCACCTGTAAATATTAGCATCTATAACTTCTTGATTGCAACATGAAGAAAAGATGTCAGAAAGCAGATTACGATCTGTTTTGTCAATTACGAGTCCACCATAGCTACAATCAGTTATAACATAACTTAGAGTCTTCCACAGATAATCATTGCGTTCAATTAGATGAATCTGAAAAGAAAGATATATTCATTTATATGTATAGGAGATTTCCTACGATTAAGCACAAATTGCATACTTGTGTTTGCTGCAAACTCATTTGAAGATCATTCCGATTAAATTCATAGGGAATTCTCCATCCAAGTGGAATATATCTTCTTCTTTCATGCAAAATTGTGTCAAAGAATCTCAAAGTAAATTCAATTCTGTGCCAGTCTTCATGCTGTAACATAGTAAGGAAAGCTTTAATTACAACATGGTTGAATTTTCCACGAAAATTCCTCACCTTGCAATCACTTTGTAAAATAATATCGGAATAGGAAGAGAGTAGATTGTCTCTCAGATTGTTCGGAATGTAATTGGCCACTTTGATAACTTAAAACAAAAAATAAAAAAAAATATATAAATTTATTAACACCTCTGGTTAATAATTGTTTAGGTACTGTACTTCAAATTTACCATTTATGAGAATAGAAGCAGGAAATTCTGTAAATGGATAACTGGTCAGCCACAACCGAAAACTTTTATGAATGGTTTTGGAGGTTCTTATCTATATGAGAAAGTAAAAATGATTTGAGAAACACCACCACCTTTATTTATGAAAGAAACGATTGATTACTTCTTCACATATATTTTCCAAAATGGGCATCCAATGAGGAACCAGATGACAGTTTTGAAGAATCAACCAACTGCCAGATTTTGTTGCTTCTTCTAACATTTTCTCCGCTTGAAGTTCCTAAAATGGATTTACTATTTCATCATTGAAAACATTTCTGAAACAAAAAAAATTTCAAACAGTAAAAGACCTATGTTACAGTGGCGTGCCGTCCTTGGAAGCGGTAGAAGCGCTGCTTCCCTTGTATTTTCTAAAATATAAATGCATATTGAGCGATTATTTTCATATTTTAACGTACAGTACTTTGAATTAATTAAAATTAATATTTTATTATAACTGCATTATGTATCTTATTACAAATTTCTATACTACACGTGAAGAAAACGATAAGATTGCTAATGTATATTCGAATATCAGTGCGAAATGGAAGCGCTGTATTGTCAAAACCGGGTCAGCTTCCAAGCATCCAGATTACACGCATTTGCATATGCGCTTTACAGAGTAACAACTTCGTGCAGTTTAGCTGGTGGAAGCTACACACCAAAATATCGTATAACGCTTGAAATGATTCTGTCCAGAACCGGTTCTGGGCTGTTAGCCGCCTGCCTGCTAGATGTTTGGCTGCCCTCACCCCATTATGTTAATCGTGAGTAGATTTATAACTTAATCCAACCGATAGGAATTTACTGGTATGTTTTTATGATAGTTCTGTATAGTTGACAGAAGTTTAAAAAATCCATTAAAATATTTGATATATTTATTCTGCTCTCCCATCTTGTATTACAGATTTCAATGTTAAACTAGTGATATTACGATTTGGTATGTCTCATCTCTAAGGGGATGCAGGAAAAAAACGTGTACAATTCTAGTACAATGTTAAAAAATTAACTGTTAATTTGGCAGCATCATTTACAATTAAATTTAATGAATGAGATGCACAAGGTACAAAAAATGCTCTAGAATTTATTTTCCTTAAATTTACGATTTATGTATCCGTTGTCATAAAAATTGGTCTTTCCACTTCTTTCCCAAGACTACAAATACTTGAGTACAAAGTAACTAGTTTCAACTTATTCCTACTTAAATAGTTAAATAATTAAGATATTAGGGAATTAGGGACATAAATAAAACCCTGCTGAAAGAGCCAAAATTTTACTTTAAAACAAAAAACTTTACAAAAAACAAAAGCTTAACCGAACCAATCTCTAGCCGAGTACAGTGGGGACTGAATTCTTCGTAATATTAGATGTAATAAAGACAGAAATTTTCCCAGTTCAACGAAAGTGACCGAAACGTTGTAAATTTTGGAAATTTCCATGGTCACTAGTAAACGAATTAGTTAGAAAACAAATAACTATTAAGTTTAACATATTCAGATTTTTACAGCTATGGTGAGAAACGTTTAAAATCTACAACAACCCTGTCATGCCCTTTGAGGTATACTAGTGATGCAACAAAAGAGGCATTTGACATTAACTGGTATCGGTACCCTCAGTATTTGACATGCGTACACGCACCGCACACCTACCAAGATCGTCTCTGATTCTATCCATGAGCCACTGGTAGGGAGCAATTTTAACTGAGTGGATTGTTTTAGTATTTAAAAAGTAAAAAATATTTTATGTTATTTTACGTACGTTTCTTCACAAATCTATATTTAATTATAATTTTCTTTAAAAGTATATTCATACAATTGAATATTTTGTACCAGGTATGTATAATTGTATATCCATCACACATTTTATTTTAACAAGTAAGTTTTTATAATTTTATTTTTAATTTTAGCTCTTATATTTGGCTAGCGATTTAGAATGTAATTGCGATATTGAAAATTTATTTTTAAAAAGTTTTGGCTGAAGACCATATAATGAAAAAGAAAACATTATTAAAAGAGAAAGACCAATGCCTAAATTAAATATAAATACTTCAACAAAAAAATTTGTTCGACATTTTCACGATAAAATTTATGAAGACATAAAATGGCTTTGTGGATGCATAGAAATGCAAAAATTGTTTTTTGACCTTGCCTACTATTTTCAAATGAAATTAGTGTGTGGAATAAGAATGGCTTTAACAATTTAAATAATTTGAGTAAAGTTGGCAAAAGACATGAAAATCATAAATGTCACATCAATTCTTTTGTAAAATTGAAGCAATTTGGAAATCAAAACAGAATATAATTTAACATTAGTAAACAATATAAATATTGAAAATTATAACAAGATAATTTCAGCTAATAGATATATTATATCTAAATTAATAGATGTTATATGTTTTTTCTCAAAGCAAGAATTGGCATTTAGAGGGCATAGGGAATCTATTGAATCTAATAATGGAAGTAATTATATTGAACTTGTTTATTTATTAAGTATGTCAGATTCTTACAGAAACACAGCTTGCCTATCATCAAATGTCACGGCACGCCACTGCTATGTTGCCATTATAAAAACTGATCAAGATGTAAATTTGTTTTTTACTAGAATATATTAATAATAACAAAAGTTATTAATTGCCACAATGATTAGATGTGCTTGTCATTTGTGCTTGTCATAAGAGCTGATGGCTCCTACAAATGCTTTTCTAGAAAAGCATTTGTAGGAGCCATCAGCTCTTATGGACCGAGAATAATGTCATAAGCATTTCTGATCATTGTGGCAATTAAATGCTATAATGGTTATACATCTTTTTAAATTTTTCTGTTTTTACCCTATGGGCACTAAGAATCTTTTTACCATTGTGGATTTGGCCGGGTGGCGGAAATCAAAAGTATAAATTTTGATCAACTTCTGCTTGGAATTCAGATTATATAGTGAAAATATAATCAAATACAGGTAGTTTCTACATTGTTCCTAGATCCATGTCACAAGTCCAATGTAAAAAATAATGGTAATAAAGTGGCACAGTTTTAAGGCTATGTTTGAGCCTAAACCATATACACTGAACTCTATTATCCATGCACTGTCAAAATATTTTATCCATCATCTTGTCAATGGACAGTGTAAAGAATGGGAAGTTGTATACATAACATTAGTGTATGAGCTCAACTGACTTTCAAGAAACGGTCTAAAACAGGAGTTTCCAACCTTTTTCATGTATCACCCCTTTTAAGAAATTTTTTCCATCAATATTATATTATATAATTATATATGCAACAATCGTCTACATAATTTTTAATATTTTTAAATAACTTTTTTATATTTGCTAAGTTTTAAGGAACTTCCTCAAACTTTCATCGACCCCTATGGAGTCAATACCGATCCCGTTGGGAAATCTGGTCTAATACGTCTGCTGGAGTTGACCTCAATCAACAAACGAAAATTTAGAAATTAATTGATAAAATACACGTGAAAAATCACATCACACTAGAAGCAGCAGATTTGAAAAAACATCCTTCTAATACTAAAATTAATATCCTGTCAATATCAGGAAACCTGCAAGACACGAATAGTCTCGTTGAATCCGTCTTTGTCTTTGCAGGTATTACCCTTTCTACTTTTGACTGTCGTTATTGAGTTAGAAATACGGAGTATAAATTTATGACATTTAAATCTATTTAACGTTTGTGCAAATTTATAACCGATAATAGTTCTTACTTGATTTTTCCCTAGTGATATAAAATCCAATTTGTGTCTATAAGTACTACGTTCGTTTAAGGCAATAATAGCATTTTCGATATTGCTATTCTCGGAAAGGATCAACAACACAGGTTCGTTTGGGGTTGTGTTGGCATAAATATCTTCTAAACTGGAGGAGGGCGCATAAACAAACTTTTCTCCCAGCATTTCTGCCACAAAATCCTATGTAACATAAGAAATACTATGTACAATTTAGGATTGAGGAACAGTTACAATGGAAGTCATACCTTAATGCCAGAAAGGAGCCTGTCTGGACCTAGACATTTTAATAAAAGCAATTTGTTTAAACCAGTCAGAGATGCCCATTTATTAGGAAAACAGATTTTTGCATCACTTGACTGGTATATATTCTTCCATGCATTGGAATGATGATTTAAATCTAAAAAATTTATACGAATTCAGATTAGTTAAACTATTAACAATGCATATGACATTATTAACTTACCATCCAACAGACTCTGGAAAACTGATAAAGTGGATAAATGCCGAAATTGCAACCAGGAGTGTTTTGGTAACCAGGAAGGCCTACTTTTCATATCTATTGAAGGTAAAGGAGAGCCATTATTTCTCAACAGCAAATTCCATGCATCTTCATCAAATGCACCCCTAAAAGAAAGGTTTACAGCCATTAATGTACTTAAAACTAACTGAATAAATGTATATTTATGTTTGTAGTATCATTAAAAATAAGTTTTTCCAACAAAACGACAAGTTATAAACATAGCACACCTGTTTTTAAGCAGTCCTGTAGCAAGTAGAAACAAAAACAATAGCTTATCCTTTTCAAACAAGGAAGAACATACATTTTGATAAATAATTTCCAGAAAACAGCAATTTATATTATCAATTCTCTGTTCTAAATCTTCTGTTTTATCGCTCTCCTCGATTGACTAAAGAAAAGCAAATCTAATATGAATTTTATGGTATAATCTTTAATTAGCATCTATTTAAAAAAACTAACTCGAATGTAGAGTTGCAAGAACCAATCCAACGAGAATCTATACATGGAGTTAATGGAAGAGAGAGACATTATGCAAAAAAATATGATGGTGGAACAAGAAGCAATAGGTAAATAACACTTGCACTCATTGTCAATTTCCTGTTGCGCCACAGCCATTGTTTTCTGGAAGAAAATTATTAAATCATTAGTATTTGAAAATACTGTTCTGAGATTTTATGAGCCAGTATTTTTCTTACTTGTCGGCCAATAATATCTTCCGATAATGTTTTGGACGAGGACAAGATTCTAATTGCTGTTTCGTCTTCTAATATGTTACCCTTTTAAAATTGGAAAATATATTTAATTATTACTAATTATTTTGTGAAGATCCTGGAACAAACTTTGCATTTTTATAATTCAGATTTTGGTAGTAAAACGGCAGAAACAGATATCAATTAGCCTAATGATTTTGGTACCTGAGACGACGACAAAATTTCTAAAATTCGATCTTCCAGTTCTTTCAGTTTCTTCTTGTTTTCGGCACTTCTAGCTATCAGATCGTTCCTCTCTTTTTCCAGCTCTGATCTCTCTTTTGCAGATACTATGCTTAACAATCGGGTCTCCATCCCAAGTTTGGTTGGAGTGAAATTTAAAATTGAAACCTGAAAATAGGAGTCTTTATTGTATACAAATGTAAGAGGAAAGTCAGAAAGTAAATTTACCCTTTTTTGTTTTGAATATAAACAAATTACAATTGGAAAAAAATTTACATACATAATCAATTTATTCATTTTGGTAATATTGAATCAGTGTCATGGCCAAATGTTTTTGTGCATTTGTAGAATTGAGTTGGATTGGAAACCCCAAACTCCACGTGACAAGCCTGCTAGTCAGTCACGAACCTACAACTAATTACCAGTTGTAAGTGGTTTTATATACTTAACTGTCGTGGGTGCATTAAGAAAACTCCCATCAGTTCCTCAATGTAAAAAGCATCTTTGAAATATAAGCTTCTACATAGTAGTGCATTTAGAAATATGGCATCCCTAGGCCTACAATATACAGGTGCCCCAGAATTAATAGTGCTACCTATACACTGAATGATTCTATTTTATAATTGTAGTTCTGCAATAGTTGCATTTTTACAGGCATTTAAATTTCAAAATCATGAAAAACGAATTCATTGTCAAGGATGATGATAGAATACAATAAAACAGTTTTTGTTATACAGGTTTTAATCAAATTAAACTTACAGTGCAAGTGGTAAAGTTGTTAGTCCAACCCACACATCACAAGGATGGATTGCTGGATGGATATTTCTGGATATTGCTGGCATTACATTCTAGCCATAGCAGGAATCAGAACAAGAGGCAAAGGACGTCTTTAATACTACTACTCTTGTTCATGCAAAATCTATTTATATATTAATATAACTCAACTGATGTGCCATATTTAATTGGGTTCATGCCATAAGATGTATGTCGCTTCTTCTAACTGACAAGTAAATGAAGTTACAAAACCAACAAGATTTTCAATGAAAACCTCCTATAAAGAGAAGTTACCATTGAAAAAAATCAAGTCAATGTAATATAAAATGAATTTTTTACACAGTCAAAAACTTACTTCTGATTTTTCTGTATTGAAAATCAACACACAGTACTACTATCACCTGGCATGTACTGTACCTGATGATTTTGTCCTACTTAAGCTTTTAATTTGCACTAATTCCTTTATGAATAGTTTCTATAAAAAATTATTTTTTCATTATTTTATTATTATTATTTTGAACTTTTGCACCCCTAGGCTCGGCCGTATGGACCTAATGGAAAGTGTGCCCCAGTTTCTAGTCTGATAAAGAGATCCAAGAAGAAATCAAACATTCATTACATCTCTTGGATGCATTTTTCTATTGTCTACACTCTAGACTTTAAACTTTGCTTCATTGATCTACTGCTACAATAAATTAAATTCCTGGAAAACATTTACCATGAAGACAGTAGATCAGATATCTGAGAGTGAATACAACTTTTCCATCCATATTGTAATTTGTTTAAATAAAAATTCCTAGTTTTTGAATTTCTTACATATTAACAGTGTTGAAACTGGTATCTAATTTACCTTGTCTTGTACGCTGGCTGAATAATGGGGATCATATAATTTTGTTATCATGTACATCTTAAAATTTGGAGAATATTCTATGATATCTTCATTCAGTTGTATGAACTAAGAATAATAGGATGTTACTCATTAACATTTCATACAAATAACTAAATAATTAATGTATCTGTTTTTCTAACATTCAGAGATATATATTAAAAGCATTGTACTGTAGAAAATATTAATAGAGAAATTCAGAATAATTAATTTTAATTTAAACTTAGAATTATTTTCCAAAGTTAAATCTATTTTTTAAATTTCCAAATTTCTTTTCAAATTTTTACCTCATTTTCTGATGACTTAAACGTTTGTTTCAACAGAATTGGATTGAGGATTGTATCAATATTTTTGTCTACATTCTCTAACAAGATGGGATTTCCTTGTTTTAATGCTTCCTTAATCTTGTTCATCAATTTTACATCGGTTATTTTCAATATTATCAAATTTTCTTCAAAAGATTCAATCCATTTCTTAGCTATTCCTATAAAAAAATCAGTAAATCTAATCTCATAGATTCCTTTCAACAGTTTACTCATATGAAGAACAACAGTGCAAAATATCATACCATGAGGATCAATTATCAGAGAGCATTTACGTGAATGATTGACAATTAAACAGTTTTCTGTGATAAAGTCATCCACTGGTAGACCCAACGATTGCCAATATTGAATTTGTGTAAGATCACCGAGCGTTTCAACAATGGAGAAATGTTCCGAACAGGGTATGGAACGCTCTGTGCACGCACTGTGCCACTTTACAATATATTCCTGGAAAGTATGAGTATCATTCATAAAACAAATTTATAAAAGATAAATATAAAAGTCATTGCTAATTTATACCTTCCTGAACTCCTCTTTAAAATTTCCAAGATAAACAACCAGTGCAGCGCATAAAAGTATGTCCACTACAATGTTATTGTAACGAGTTAACAACTCCTCGGCAATTTCTTCCCAGTGCACCTTTTCTCCTCCCAAACCTCCCAACAGGCGTTCGGCTCTTTCTAATTTTCTTGAACATATTTCTATATTGTCTTCAAGTTCTTTCTTCTTCTTGGTCATGGCGGCAAATTCATCATTTAGACCTTGTAATTTATCTGTTATCTTTCAAATTGGATATAAATATCACCTATTGTCCTTATGACTAAAATTTAAACATATTTAATAAGATTTACATTTTGTAATTCTTTCTTTTTCTCCTCTAATTTTTTCATTTGATGCACTAGCTCCTTTTCAGCTTGGGCCAACTTCGCTTTCTTTGGTGCCACCACTTTGGCTACTCTGTCGTAGATATCTATGGCTTTCACCCAACGACAAAGACCTTCACAGGCGCGTGACACATTTTTGATAACATCTGGGTCAAATTCCGGATTCTGAATAAATCTATAAGCAAAAACAAAATGAATTTTAAATTATAATAAATTGTTTACAAATCCTTTGAAAAACTGAATTACAGTTCCAGTGGTTTATTTTGCAACTACGACCATTTAGTTCTAGTTAACTATACATTTCTTGTGTGACTATAGTTTCAATAACATATTTTGAAATAATTATCACATTACAGTATCAGTTGACCATACAACTTAAGTTTTATCTTAGTTTCAGTGGTCCATTTGTAAACTACAATCATGATGTAGTTCCAGATGACCATACCATTCCAATATGATCCACAGTCACACTGAAATTCTAGTTGATCATATAGTTTTGGTGGTCTATTTATAACTATAATTCAGTTTAAAGTATTCGCAAGTATGTCATTTTGTAGTGCACATGAAAATTACAAAATAATATAAAAAATAAATTAGAAACCTTCACCTTTCCCTAATTTCTTTCATTATATGATCTGGTATGTCTTCTTTGTTATAATATTGTAAATGTTCTATAAACTTCATGTCTCCTAGTAACATCTTTTGAGCTGCAGTCCAGTAGTCATCAATCATTCTTCCAGAATGATCCACTCTTCGAACAGGTTTGACTTGTTTCATAATGCAAATTGCTTCCATCACCATTTTAATTCTTAATGGAGGATTCTGTAAATTTATAAAATTAACTCAAAATCTTAATTTTATATATTTTGTGTAAATGAAAATGAAAATAACCTTCATAGACTTGATAACTCTGATATCTTGTGGTTTTAAAGTATTTAAAGCCGCGACTGCACTTTCCATAGCGGGAACTGCTTCTGACAAATCTTTAACACAGTCGTCCTTAATTGCTTGAGCAGCAGCAGCTGCTTTGTTTGCTAATGCTTCATCTGCAGCAACAACCTAAAAACCCTTTCATATTAATTTCTTTCAATTAGTCATAAAATGTTTCATTATTAACTAGATAAAAACATTAAAAACCTCTTTTTTTGCTTCCACTTCGACTGTATCCTGCTCGATTTTAACCATTAATTTCTCGGTTTCTCCAGAAGTTTCAATTAATTGAGGCTGTAGATTAGTCAATTCATTTTGCATAACAGAAATCTGAGAGGCTGCAAAATTTAACTTTTCCAAACCTGTCTAAATATAATAAGATTAATTATGTGTAAAGGTTTTTTAAAAAACAAATTAATTTTTCAAATAGAAATATACAGGGTGGCCAAAAAGTTAATTGACTTTTTGGCCACCCTTTTTAATTAACCAAGATGTATTAAAACTGCTCTAGAACGACTGAATGTTATTACTTGCAATTCTATTAACTAAATTTTGGGCCACCTCTTACTGATTTACAACTTGACTGACTGAAGAAAATAAATTCTGCTTTGTGACTAAAAGCAGCAAGTATGATATTGTTTATTTTTAAAAGTGCCACAATATGATTAAAGGACTTATTCAACCTTTAAAATTCTTAATTCATTATAAAAGAGACAAACTATATGCTCTTTTCTTCATGCTCAGGTTGTCAATTTCTGCATTTGTACAATCAATGGTACTTGGAATCTGTTCAGTTTTGTTGTTGGTCTAGATCTACTTTTGGAAACTCAGAAACGTTTTTCTACAGGATTTGTGAAGAATACAATGGTAAACATTTATAACTAATGGCCTGTTCAGACAGAAATGATGCAGTTATTTCATAACTGTAGAATCTGACGTTGCTTATGTGTAAATTTTACAGAAATCCTGTAAAATTTGCACATTAAATTGCAATTTTCATCTATAAATCTTAGAATTAACTAATGAACTTTGTTACAAACTTATATTTATTAATGTTTTTTTGCATAGAGCACTGGTGCACCCACAGAGGGGCCAAGGGACCCCGGTACCCTCCAAAGAAAAAAGAAAAGAAACACTAAAAAGTTTTCCAAAAACTTTTCCTAATTAATATTTCTTTTTTATTTATTTATATTATGTCTTGTGTTATATTTCTATGCTATTTATGAATTAGCAGTCACATAAGATGGGAATTTTATTGAATTTTCATTAAAAAGTTTTTATCTGTTTAACTTGACTCCCAAGATTAAATCCTGAGTGTGCCACCAGTATAGAGTATCTGTAGTTCCAAAAATATTATTGGCAATGTTAAAACCTACACTAGACCAAGTTGTAAATACTCTAAATTACATCAAATCAAGATTATTGAAAACATCTTTTTAAAAAATTGAATATTTTTAGAAGCTCAATATGAATCTTTGCTTTTGCATGCTGAAGTAAGATGATTATTCAGAATAAAATGTCCATTTTTAGAACTTAAGAATAAATTGTTGATATTTTTCCAAAATTAAGATATAAATGCTTTTACATGGCATATAAAATGGCATATTTAGCCAATATTTCTACTTATATATTATTAAATATATTATATATTTCTACTTATTATTTCTACTTGAATAGCATTACTGCAAATATCTGAGAAAAAATAAAAATATTTTGACATTCACTGAGAAATGTCAGCATTTCAGAAAAAGTATCTCTTTGGAAAAATCACATATCGGAAAAAGATAGAATAGATATTTTTCCTTCTCTTATAATAAAAATGTTGAAGGAATTATTTCCATTAGAACAGAACATTTAACACTATTCAAAGAAAAGACTGCAAGTTAGTTTCTTTTCTTAAATACAGAAAATTATGGCTGGATATGAAACAAATTTAGCATAGTTAATACATAGAGTCATATATTTTTGATACAAGAACAACAATTGGTTACCTTGTCAACAGATGGTACATGAAAAAAAATTTCTAAAATAACTGTTGAGAAATTTGATCTTTCTCCACAAGGGTACTAAAAATTTTGCTACAGTTTTCAACATAATATTTGTGTAAGCTGGGATCTCACATGGGATGAAGAAATGAGAGTACAGTAGAGCATTGATTATCCGAACCAATTTAGGACTGGGGTTGTTTGGATAATTGATTTTTCGGATAACCGATCACTTACAACAAATATATTAAACACAAAACTGTACTGTATATATTTTGTATCACACATTTTATAAATGCATATCTTACATAAAATAGTACATTAAAGTAGGCCTACAATTTAGGTTGGCAGAGGGGAAGAATGCTGCAGCGCCAAAGCACTGGTGGAAATGAGAATTTGCTGACTGGAATGCTTTTGATTAACTAATGTTTCGATTGATTGGTATTCAGATAATCAATGCTCTACTGTAGTTATATCACACATTAGACTTCACATTGAAGAAATCTGCAAAAGTGGACAAGCTCACGTATTGCATTATAATCGATTTAAACAAGTTCAATTTTTGTAAAATAGTTATTTTATCAATAGTTACAATTTTTACAAATATAATTTTTTAATTAATGTTTTTTTACCATTATGTATTCTGTAATCTATAATGTTTAATAGAAAAGTATGTTCACACATATTTCTGTTGTTATTTTATGATCTTACTTGTTAGTGATTTCACTTTTTTCAAATTTTTCTTTATTCAAAAGTGTTCCATGATTTCAAAAAGGTTAAGAACCATAGTATAAGCAATGATTTTTAATAATTTTATGAGAACAGTTAGAAAAAATTATATAGATTCTGCATATCTACTAGATAATTGCAAAATATGGNGTTCTTATAAGCGCTCGCAAAACGCGCGTTTAAAAGCGCTCGCAAAACGCGCGTTGAAAAACGCCTAGTGTGTACAGGGTCTTAAACGCGCGTTGAAAAACGCCTAGTGTGTACAGGGTCTTAAACGCGCGTTGAAAAACGCCTAGTGTGTACAGGGTCTAAACGATTCCGCTTTTGAAGGAAACTGTTCTAGTACTTCTGCTTCGTAGTTTACAATACTATTTTTGTAAAAACCAAATTTTTATTGAAAATGGCGAAAAAAATTGTAGCTAATGTTACAAAAATGATAATATCGAAGATAGCCAGCGACATACACATTTTCCAGTTTAAGAAATTTTACAAATAGGTTACTTTGCGGTTTGTGGCAGCCATCTTGAATTTTGTCTTTGGCGCTTCCAAACTTCTCTGTACTACGCTGTAAAAGGCTAACTTAAAGCGAAAGTCGCTAAACTATCTTTTAACAAACACTGTATCTTTTTTTTTTCAATCTTAGCATCGATTTCTTTAAAAGTTAAAAACAGAAGTTACACCATTTTTGACAAATGTGTTATGCAATTCTCATCCTTCATCTAGAAATTCATCTGCTTGGCATAACAATGCCACTCCCCGATACAACCAATGATCTTTCCTACCGTCGCAAGGCAAGGTGACGTCTGAAATGTAATTGGAAATCTTGTCTCGAGTGCCAATAGCATATACAGGACACCTATAATGATCACCTGTATCCGGGATATTGGTCTCAATCCGAAATATGATCTATGTGATGGTCAAGAAAAACAATACAAATAACAGAAAAAGAAAAGACTCTTAAAGGATACACTCGGTAACGAATTGCAAAGAGTTCTAGGTGGAAGCTCTACCAATAGTTTTCTATCCGCATCCCAATGAGCTCCTACAATACATAATCCCTGAAAGAATTTATATTTGTAAGTGTGGTTACAAAAGAATGAAAACGTAGCAATTTCTTTACCCTAATGGGCACTTCTTTCACTGATATTTCACTCCTCGATGCAAACACGAATCTCAAGTCTTTAATTGATAAGGCCATGATTTTACCATAAGTTCGCAGACAATCTAAAACAATACTGTAATCAATTCGTAATTAAAATAATGTAACCGTAATAAATTCACTTTACCTGTTAAAAAGGCACTAGGAAAGTAAAATGCGGATAGCCAATAGTCAGCGAGACTGTTTTCTTCCCACCATCTTTTGAAGAAATCAAACCTGTAACGTAAGTGTGAATTTATCATCGTAATATACCTCTGTACACGATTTATGTGCTTTATGCTTTACCTAAGACACAAATCGCTCACAAAACTCCCGAGAGATTTTGTAGTAGGATAAGCTAGGCGCAACCACAATTTTGCAATTTTTCCATGCTGTAAGCATTCCATTGCATCTTCTATCTCTTCGGATGAGGATGCTCGACCAATCAAGACTTCTTGTACTTCTCTTAAAGTACACTTCATTACACCAATCAAGTTATTGTATTGAAAAATCTCTCGGAATAATGCTGGATGATGTGGAGAAGCATCCGAGGAAAAAACATTTAATTGCGATGGTAATTTTTTCAAGATGTCTTCTACTAGTGCAGAAATGATCGTTTCAGAGAAGCCATCCTCGTTCACCGCTTTGGCTTGTATGAAGCAAATATTCTTAAATAGCTATAAAATATGGAAACATGGTCTAAGATAATTAAATGTAAAAACATGATAGAGATGAATTGGCTTACTCCCTCGATTTCTTGTTTTCCTCGTATTATATCCGCATTGCAATGTAAACCTAATACTTCTGGTGCTGTTTCGTGTGGGAAAGTCTTTATATGTTCCAGGATGTTGGACGTGGGAGGAAAAGTATAGCATTTTTCTGTAGGAAAACTGTTTTTATATGGTTATAACTTCTGTTATTTGGATAAAACGCATAAATCTGGCTCACCTGTAAATATTAGCATCTATAACTTCTTGATTGCAACATGAAGAAAAGATGTCAGAAAGCAGATTACGATCTGTTTTGTCAATTACGAGTCCCCCATAGCTACAATCAGTTATAACATAACTTAGAGTCTTCCACAGATAATCATTGCGTTCAATTAGATGAATCTGAAAAGAAAGATATATTCATTTATATGTATAGGAGATTTCCTACGATTAAGCACAAATTGCATACTTGTGTTTGCTGCAAACTCATTTGAAGATCATTCCGATTAAATTCATAGGGAATTCTCCATCCAAGTGGAATATATCTTCTTCTTTCATGCAAAATTGTGTCAAAGAATCTCAAAGTAAATTCAATTCTGTGCCAGTCTTCATGCTGTAACATAGTAAGGAAAGCTTTAATTACAACATGGTTGAATTTTCCACGAAAATTCCTCACCTTGCAATCACTTTGTAAAATAATATCGGAATAGGAAAAGAGTAGATTGTCTCTCAGATTGTTCGGAATGTAATTGGCCACTTTGATAACTTAAAACAAAAAATAAAAAAAAATATATAAATTTATTAACACCTCTGGTTAATAATTGTTTAGGTACTGTACTTCAAATTTACCATTTATGAGAATAGAAGCAGGAAATTCTGTAAATGGATAACTGGTCAGCCACAACCGAAAACTTTTATGAATGGTTTTGGAGGTTCTTATCTATATGAGAAAGTAAAAATGATTTGAGAAACACCACCACCTTTATTTATGAAAGAAACGATTGATTACTTCTTCACATATATTTTCCAAAATGGGCATCCAATGAGGAACCAGATGACAGTTTTGAAGAATCAACCAACTGCCAGATTTTGTTGCTTCTTCTAACATTTTCTCCGCTTGAAGTTCCTAAAATGGATTTACTATTTCATCATTGAAAACATTTCTGAAACAAAAAAAATTTCAAACAGTAAAAGACCTATGTTACAGTGGCGTGCCGTCCTTGGAAGCGGTAGAAGCGCTGCTTCCCTTGTATTTTCTAAAATATAAATGCATATTGAGCGATTATTTTCATATTTTAACGTACAGTACTTTGAATTAATTAAAATTAATATTTTATTATAACTGCATTATGTATCTTATTACAAATTTCTATACTACATGTGAAGAAAACGATAAGATTGCTAATGTATATTCGAATATCAGTGCGAAATGGAAGCGCTGTATTGTCAAAACCGGGTCAGCTTCCAAGCATCAAGATTACACGCATTTGCATATGCGCTTTACAGAGTAACAACTTCGTGCAGTTTAGCTGGTGGAAGCTACACACCAAAATATCGTATAACGCTTGAAATGATTCTGTCCAGAACCGGTTCTGGGCTGTTAGCCGCCTGCCTGCTAGATGTTTGGCTGCCCTCACCCCATTATGTTAATCGTGAGTAGATTTATAACTTAATCCAACCGATAGGAATTTACTGGTATGTTTTTATGATAGTTCTGTATAGTTGACAGAAGTTTAAAAAATCCATTAAAATATTTGATATATTTATTCTGCTCTCCCATCTTGTATTACAGATTTCAATGTTAAACTAGTGATATTACGATTTGGTATGTCTCATCTCTAAGGGGATGCAGGAAAAAAACGTGTACAATTCTAGTACAATGTTAAAAAATTAACTGTTAATTTGGCAGCATCATTTACAATTAAATTTAATGAATGAGATGCACAAGGTACAAAAAATGCTCTAGAATTTATTTTCCTTAAATTTACGATTTATGTATCCGTTGTCATAAAAATTGGTCTTTCCACTTCTTTCCCAAGACTACAAATACTTGAGTACAAAGTAACTAGTTTCAACTTATTCCTACTTAAATAGTTAAATAATTAAGATATTAGGGAATTAGGGACATAAATAAAACCCTGCTGAAAGAGCCAAAATTTTACTTTAAAACAAAAAACTTTACAAAAAACAAAAGCTTAACCGAACCAATCTCTAGCCGAGTACAGTGGGGACTGAATTCTTCGTAATATTAGATGTAATAAAGACAGAAATTTTNCGTTACAGCCCACATACAACCTTCCCTTAGGTTCATCCTGACGCGGGATTAATAGATCCCACCTAGGAGACGGCAACTTTACACAGGTGCTGTGAAGTGGGTTTCAAGCCCCCTATCTCCAATGGGTCGGCTACCTTACACTTCTGGCCCTGGGGCGGATGAGATGAGGTCGCTGAGCAAGGCGGACAATCGAAAGGAGGAAGCAGCGGAGTCCAAAGTTCTTGGCAATGACACACCACAATATAAGTCATGACCTTTCATGGAATACAGAGGATAGCTTCCCTCGACCTTGAATTTCGGATTTTTATAGTTTTTTCTCCCAATATTTTGACTTCTGATTGGCGCCTTGTCCCCTTCCTCGCTTTCCGATTGGTCTCTCTCTTTTGTTTTGGGGAAAACCAAGACTGACTCGGGTCACAGGAAAAGTCCGATTCCAGGTGTCTGCTCGATGCCTTTCTGTTGATTGTTCTCGGGGATTGTTGACAAAATTGCAAGACTCGCGCTCATAATTTTTTTCCGTAACTCGCAATTTCTGTCATCTGGGTACTTGAATGATCATATGCAATGATTTATCTCTCTTAAATCTTTCCCTCTTTTCCAAAATTGTTTCCCTAGATTGATTGTTTATGATCACTTGTGTCTGACTTATAACTTTTCATTTTGACATTGACTGTTTGTTTAACATGTGTTGGAGTCATCCAGGACTCGTTGTTTACATTTTGTGCCACATTGTTTAAATTATGGGATTTTCCTCTCCCTCTCATATTTAATCTATCATTATTATTTAATCATAAGAATACTGCAATTTACATGATTTCAGACCTCAGTTGGGTCCTCACACATTTACAAATCTATGATGATTCATTTTCAGCGACTTGCAGGGAAAAAAATGATCTTTGATAAGTTTAAAATAAATAATATCACAATTCAAATTACTCTTGAATTTGACTTTAAATTTTTTTATTAAACTTTTCCAAAGATCATTTTTTCTTAACTTCTCCATTGAAGCTTGTTTGATATCAATTCTTGAAATGATTCATAAAAGGCATAAAAATGTGTTGTTTTGAAGTAAATATATTCAAAGTAAATTAATTATAATTTAGTCATTAAACTTCTAAAAGCATATGTATTCTTTTCATGTTTCTGTATTGATTTATTACTGTAAATCATATGAGTGTTTGATTCATATCATTATTCTTTTCTTTTTTAATTACTGTAGCTTCAGTAAATGGGTGAATCAAGCATTCAAATGAATAAATAGACTAACCAAAAAAACAGATACATTTATATGAATCTCTGTTTAATTTAAGATTACAGGATCTCCAGAAAATGGTAAATTTCATCTAAAAATCATTTAGTTATTGTGACATCATCACAATGCCAGGCTGTATTTTTAATCATAATTTAATTTTAAAAAGTACAGACCATAAGTTTGTATACAGTTAATCAGAGCTTCCAGCTTTCCATATCTGATCTCAATTTTCATTTATATAACTCTGTTCTCAAGATTAAGGAAGGGCAGACAAACAGACAGATGAATGAGGGATAATAAGTAATCAATAAGTCTGCAATTTAAAAACTGCAGCCCAATAAATAAGATGACCAATCAACATGAAAAACTCAAGTCTTGGTGATATAAAATCAGAAAAGTAGTCTAAATGTTAGCTGAACTATAATAATAATAATTACACTGATTTTATTAATCACATTTAACTATTGTCAATTTGTAAATGTTATATTGCATTTCTCAATTGCTAGTCCATAAAACATTTGAAATCCATAAAAATTACAAATCTAAAGCAAATTGATTAATGAAATCATAAAAAAACTTTGATTGAAAACATATATTTTATGATAAATGAATATTTATAATTTAAACTTTTTAAAAGTTCAAGAAAAGCATTTTAATAATAGACCTTTATGATGATTACTTCATACTACTAGGAAACTGGGTATAATTTCTACAGGCTTTATATTGTAATTGATGATAGAACCATTTTTATTGAACATTTTTTACAAGTTTAAAATTTAAAAGTAATTTTTGGCTATTATATTTTGTTTAAAATATTTTTATAATTAATTTTGTACTTCTAGGAGTATGGCTTAAGAAAGTGTCAGTAGTCTAAGCACCAAAGCATATAATTATAAAGGCATAACCTTCATTTATGAGTGTACTTTATTCCTAAAAATTTCTAATAAATCAAAATCTTGTAAACAAGAACAAGCTTTTCCATTTGTTCTTACTGATGAAATTTGACACAAGTTGCTCATTCTACCCATGTTCTGCAAATATGATTAAAGTGCTATGTAAAATCTATTTACCTATCAATCAATGATTCTAAATGAAATAAAATTTAAAAAATGAGCATTGATTAAATTATTCACTCATATAAATGGAAGTACAGTAATATGAATTGAGAGTGAATACAATGTAAAAGAAGCAAGCTTGTAAAATATAAGAAATTTCTTTATTTAACAGTAAGAAACTGAAGTTTGATAAGACAATAAATAGTTGGAAAACAAGCAAAATAAAATAAAATTAAAATTTTTTTTAATTAATGAAATTGTAATCACTGATTGAAAGATCTGTAATATAAAGATAAAGTTTACTAAACTGTAAAACTGCATTAGAATAATCAGCTATCTCTAGAGAAGACATGAATGAAACAAAGAAAATGGAAACTGGAATGTACAGTACAATCATGACATTTGGGATTTTCAGTTTTGTTGCATTTGTGATTAGAATATTTTATTCTTGTAAATATTGGATAAAATAAATATTTTATCCAATATTTTATTTATTATAAATATTTATTTTATCCAAAATATTGGATAAAATAAATATTTTATCCAATATTTTGTCTCATAAATGGGAAAGAAACATAAAAGAAAACTGTTTGTTTTATTGAATTCTGTTACATTAAGTGCTTATAAATCAAAGTTACACTGTACTCATGAACTCATAAGAGCATTTAAGCATTCTTTGTCTGTTCTTATTAATATGTATATTGAATTATTTATTTAAGAAATTTATCTTTGACTTTGTTACTAAGTTGGCTTAGTTTGTTTGATTTACTTTGATAATTGAAAAAATGTATGTAATAAATTTCATCATTTTATCAGTCCTTGGTAGAAAATTTTGAAAATCTGTCAATCCTGTGTTCTAGATTGAAAATCTGCTATTATACACTATATAATTATTTCATTATTTTATATCTAATCCAAACTTACCATATCTCTAACAGCCAACTGAATCTTTTCTATAATTTCTGCCTTTTCGTCTGAACCAAACAGATTTGAGATGTCACCAGTAGTCAGCAGCATATTTATGTCTTCAAGTATCATTTTGTTTTGTAAATTATCACAGCTGAAAAGTAGGGTGCTTGGCAAACCATCTGCACCTGCTTTATAAATTACCTGAAAATATTGCAAATGAAATTCAATTTCTTTAATAGAGATTTTGTTTGAAATTTTGAAATCAAGTCAATTTTTCAAATAAAACAACTGTTTTTTTATATGATTATTGTTATTTAAATTTAAACTATTTTCTTTTGTTTGTGTGTTTCCCTTATCCAAATGAAGTTTCCATAAAAGAATCTTTCTTTAATTATAAAAAATGTTTTTGAAACTACTGTATTTCATATTTATAAAAACACAAATTAAACAAAATATTTATTCAGATTTCATATGTTCAACATTTTAAGTCTTCACTTAATTAACATCATTTCATTATATCATTGAGAAAAGATACAGACAACATACATTTGTAATCATTTATAATTACAACAGTAAAATTTGTTCTGTGAGGTAGGAAGTAAATATTGGAGATTGCAAACATGTTTCAAATTAGAAAAATGTTAACTGAATTATTAATTTATCTTATTATATCAATTAGTCTATGGTAAAATTGATTTCATTACACATCATTTCACTTAATGTTGCAATTTCCAGGAACCTATCAATGATGTTAAGAGAGAACTTGTATTTTTACAAGCATTATATATCATGATCATTCTAGCATTAGTTTTTACATCAAGTACTTTACATTCAAGATTCTATTATATTATTTTTGGAGATACTATCATGTAAAGAATGGCCACAAAACCCCTACACATGTTAGAAGGTATCTGTATATTCCCTCCATAATTTTCACAATTTTTCCCATTTTCTTCTAGATATCTTTTTTGTTGTTGATTGAAAGCCATTAAATAAATTCCTGATAACTATTTTTTAGATCATTGGTTATTGTAAATGGAGTCGAGAAATTTTCTTTCAGAATGTCCCAAAGTAAATTGTCATATATTATAAAGTAGACACTTGCAATAAATCATATCATATTGAATCCATATTTTGATCCATTATCCATTGAAGTTATCATTGAGACATTAACTGGGAGACCTGAGACATAATATCACGCTAAGAGATTTGTGGCACTTATAGAATAGTCATAAAGTCTGCTCCAAAACAATGAATTCAATATTTTTTGAATATGTGTAAAACTTATAATATAAATTAATTCTAGAATTGTACAACTTAATAATATATCAAAATTTTGAATTTTATGAATATTTCAGAAGAGAAAATTAAGTTCCAAATACTTCTCAAGAAATAGGAATTGCCTGATACATTCAAATTGGATACATTCTCACAAATGTAGATGAGAGATTTGAGCCATGCCTAAACAGAAAATATGTATTTCAGATTATCAAACTTAAATAATTACATATTTTTTAAGCACTGTTTTTATAAGATATTATCAATTTATCTTTTTTCTGAATGTAATTCAAAGTACTTTTCTCAGAGTAAAAAATTCTTATTAAACTCTAGTGTTGTTGGACTGTTTGCTTTTCATAAGAGAAGAAACAAAAGAAATTTCTCTAGTTAACTTTTTAAAATTCTTCTCAGAAAAAATGCAGCTTAATTACCTTTTTAACAAATGTGTTGTTTTTTGAAATCAATGATAATATTAATGATATATAATAAATATCTCTTCTTTTTATATGATTCTTAATAGTTAGTTTGAACACAGTTTGGAATTATGTATAAACATCATTTATTCTAAATAAATGATGCCTATAGCTAATTTTAATAATCATAATTTTAGAGCCTCTAAATTACACTCACACTTATCATCAATTTAACTTAGATGACTTTAATATTGTGAGAATATGGGTGAGGGCTAGCCCTCTAGTCATTGAGTAGCAAAACCCACTCACTGGATCATTAGATGGCTTAATAGGAGGGTCTTAAAAAAATCTAGTGGGGAGGTCGTGAGGACGTTGATAGGGTATTGTTACTCTGAGAAAGACAATTTAACAGGTTAACAAAATGAGAACTTTAATAAAACAATAAAGCAAACATACAAACTAGCTGTGGTTACAGTTATAAGGGTAGTATAAGCATACATCTAAGATTCGATATATACTGACTCTATCGTAAATCCAGGTCGCCGAGAGAGAATTTACAACAAGTAGTTAATTATCATACATCTGTCATATCCAGTGATATAATATCTGGCGAGGCTTGGAGATCTCTGCACATAGCATAAAATTTATAAGGATGATCTCTTGGGGACTATGTGGCAGGAAAACTCCCTAATAATATATAATGGTCACATGTCCGTCCTGGATGGTTGGGCGTGTGACCATTATATACTCATCTAGTGTGGGAATTTGGTTTCGTGACTACTTGTTGGCAATGGTGACACCTGCAATGTGTTATCAATGGACAAGGAAGTTTAAACAAAATTGACTCATAGGTCTCCTATTTCTTCCATTTGATTTTAGATTCTCCTTGTGGATGCCATTAACTAACAACTTTCTCATGATTAACAACTGATTGTTTAATATATATCTGAACTGTTTTCCTGTCAATGAGAGGGGAAAGGGACTTCTTGTGAAAAACCCCTCTTTAACACAAGTATCTTAGTTGATTGTTTACTGTTAAAATGAACACCTGCTCATTTTTTTCTAATTACTGTGGGAATGGATGAGTTTCTAAATTAACACATTTTTCGTTAAAATTTTTCAAGAGAATAGCCCTCAGTTCCTCACAATATGAAGCATGCAATACCATAATGTTGTAAATGCCAAAAACACACATGAATTCCTTTAAGTCTTGAAGGAATTCATTTCAACTGTACGATAAAATGGTAAAAAAACTCACTAGGTTACAAATTCTCTGGAATAACAAAATGATGCAAAATAAGCCGTAACGTTTTAAGCACCAAAGTGTAAGTAAGGTGAATTTTAGCACTTAAAACATTATGGCTTGCACATAAATACAACTTCAAAATACAGCTACTTACAGTGCCATTATTGTCACAATATTTTTTTGCAGCAGAAGACATTGCATTCAGAATTCATTTCTTGAATAAAACATAATTAGAGAAAAAATGCCATTTACAATGTTATGGCATTGCAAACGTCATATTAGTTTTATCATAGTTGAAAATATATACATGTAATTTATAGTTAACACATTTTTGTAATGCAGTTCATTAATTATGGACAATTAATTTCCTGACTTTTATAGAATACAACATACTATAGAATATAACATTCCATATTTTACCCCCAGTTTTTTGACATTTTGATACTCAAGAAGTCCAAAAGTGTAAAAAATATCCTTACAAAATAAATTATATCTTTGTGTCTATTTTGCATTATATCTCAGGACTGAATAAACTAAAAATTTTGAAACTTGGCAAGGTTATTTCTGTATATGGAACAATGATGCTATTAAATTTTAGTGGTTAAAAGTCAAAGAGTGAGGAGATAGAAAAAGGTCATGTGTCATAACTCAAGTGGGATCAGACCAAATATGTATACTTAAATTTTATATTCTAGTATAAATGAAAATTATCAGACTTCCTAATGATCTCCTTAACCTCCTGTTCAAGTGCTGGGAAAGTCGAGCGAGAACTCTTGACAGTTTTTGTACAAGTAATTTTTTGGTATAACACACCATAGGGCACCTAGTAACCTAGTAATGAACTTCTTCAGTTCATTACTAGGTGCCCTATGGAATTTTGACTTAGTGTGATACTGTCAAAAAATGAATCTACTGCTCCATTAACTAAAGGCTGCCTGTATAGTGTTATAGAAATACTAATGTAATTGTTTAATAAATACCTTTTTCAAGTCATTTTTCCATTTCAGTTTAGAGTAATTAGATGTCATTTTGATTTCATGAAGATTATAATTTTTAACAAAAGATGACAATCTCACAACACTATGACGTCCACTTCCTCTGACACCTTAAAAGAACTTATATTAAATAGTGAGATAAATTTACTAAAATAAATAATTTTACTCTAATATACTTTACCAATCAAAAGCATATGACCTTTAGTCATTTTCAAAATTCTGCTTATTCTGGAAAAATGTTCTACAATAAATTTAAATATTACTAGATCCATGCGAGTCTTGCTTTCTTTATTGTATTTGTCTATGTATCTTAAATAAAAAATAAATGGTTAAATTATATTGAGTAAATAATATAAAATTTCATATTCTGATAAATAGTGATTAGAAACAGATATAGAAACTGAATTTCAAGATAATGTAGTATCAAAAATAAATATGAACTGTATGAGATATTTCCTATATGGGCATTCTATTTCTATTCTAACTTGACTGTTCAATGGCTGAGGTGGTTAAGGCATCAGCCTACTGCTCTGGGAATCTAGCATGAAAATTTCAACTGCCCAGATTTTATTCTGGATTCCCAGAACAGTAGGAATTTTTTAGGAATTTTTTTAGTAATCCAGGATTTTTCCTCAGGTATATATGTTATCAAATAAACAAAAACGTTTTATGAGTGATATATATAGTTATACAAACCAGTTGTTGAGATGTATATAATAAATGGTTAGTTGAAGCATAAGAGAAGCTGTGTTGGATATTGGCAGGGCCATGCCGTGCTATGATGCAGAGATGCGGCCGCATCAGGTGGCACCGTGAGGGGGTGGCATAAAGAGCATTTAAGGGGCAGAATTTCAAAGACTTGCATCACACTTAGAAAATCTACCGCACGACCCTGGTAAGATACACCAAATAATAAGAATTATAGCCTATATAAGACTAATAATTTATATANTATATGGGCATTCTATTTCTATTCTAACTTGACTGTTCAATGGCTGAGGTGGTTAAGGCATCAGCCTACTGCTCTGGGAATCTAGCATGAAAATTTCAACTGCCCAGATTTTATTCTGGATTCCCAGAACAGTAGGAATTTTTTAGGAATTTTTTTAGTAATCCAGGATTTTTCCTCAGGTATATATGTTATCAAATAAACAAAAACGTTTTATGAGTGATATATATAGTTATACAAACCAGTTGTTGAGATGTATATAATAAATGGTTAGTTGAAGCATAAGAGAAGCTGTGTTGGATATTGGCAGGGCCATGCCGTGCTATGATGCAGAGATGCGGCCGCATCAGGTGGCACCGTGAGGGGGTGGCATAAAGAGCATTTAAGGGGCAGAATTTCAAAGACTTGCATCACACTTAGAAAATCTACCGCACGACCCTGGTAAGATACACCAAATAATAAGAATTATAGCCTATATAAGACTAATAATTTATATAAGGGGCGGCATTTCGAAGACTTGCATCACACTTAGAAAATCTACCGCACGACCCTGGTAAGATACACCAAATAATAAGAATTATAGCCTATATAAGACTAATAATTTATATAAGGNAAAAATAAAAGAATATTAAGAAAAATTTTTAAAAATAATTTGAAAAAACTTTTTTGCATTTTGCACAAACTTTCTAATATTTATTTATTTGATGTTTTACTTACAACATCTGCTATTTCAACTGCAGAAAAATCTTTTTGATCATACCAATATCCACAATTAAACCACTGATGTAATAATTCAATTGGTGACTGCATTGTGGATTGCTGCTTGTTTGGCAAATTTACATCATCTATGAACATAATAAATGTTTTCCCTATATGAGGTCCATATACTCCTTTACGTCTCCTGAAAAATCAATATGTATTTTGTATTAATTCATTATTAATTTCATATATTTGTATTTATATATAATCTGGTATCTTATTAATATTATCAAAAGTGTATAATAGTAAAACAAGTTTTATAGAACTATAATATGCATGAATACTATAATATTCATAGCTTTCGAGATTTTCTTTTTAGATTTACACGTTATCCACAGGATCATAATTTAAAATTAGGGATATACCACAAATTTAATGCTCCACTGACTGTAATTCCTGGTAACTTGTTCCAATTACAGTTATACAGACATATAACTAAGAGTGCATTGATATGCATATGTGGCCGTCGGCCATGATATTGTATATTTTAATATTTTGTATATTTTATTTTTGATTTAATCCTAGCCTTCCTTCCTGTTTCTTTGTTCCTTCTAAGACCTTCTTATCTACCCCTTTTGCCCCTGAGGTAGGATTATCTTTTCCATGTAAATAAGAACAAAAGAGAAGTGGAGCCCTGGGGCAAAACGAACACAAAACGAGGCACTCTGGGTTACGATCCCGAAGAAAGCAGAGGGAAAAAGTGAGCGCTTGTGACGTGAAGTTAAGGTTAAGGATCGGCAAGAAAGAAAAGAGATGGTTTCGGGAAAAAAGGCCATAAGGACAACGAATAATCAAAGGGAAGAAGACAATGTTTTGATATCGAGAAGTAGTGTATAGATGTTAGAGCAAAAGATATCAAGTTGGTGCCAAAATCCGAAAGCGTATATATGTACCAAAAGAAATCCTGGGTATTTCGATTCTCCCTACATTTTGTTTCCGTATCCATCTGTCCTGTACTCTTATTTTTCATTAGTTATAAGATAGATATAAGTTAGACGTAAGTTAGTTATATAATTAGTTTTTTTTGTTATTTTGATAATTGTCACGTGTATAAATCCTGGCGATAGTAGAGGGCAAGCCTGTTCCTTTTTCTTTGTTATAGAAGAAAGGCATAAAGTTTGTAAAGTTGGGATTCCGAAAAAAAGAAAGGAAAAGAAAAACCAGTTCGGAGAGAATAAACAATACTGTGTGATATAATTGAATTTTGTATCTTTCTTTTTGTAACTTTTCGTTTGCAGATTTGTATACATTTCTCACAACGAACTACCACACATAGTTTATGTTTTAGCATATTCAGCCAATTCATTAGAAAGAAGAAATGGATACTATCCAATTGGCTACAGTCATGGCTTGAAAGTAGCTTTAATTACATACTCTGTAAGGTCCATGATTTATTGTTCCCATACACTATCCTTCACATTAAATATGATTATTGTTTTTGTGCATCATCCATCCCTTTTGGGTAACTAAATTTTCAGTAAAGCTTATTAAATTATTTAAAAAACATGGATATATGCTACTGATTGCTCCTTCTCAAGTTTAAGAAGAATTTTGGTTATGGATAGACACCTCAGTGTTAGAACACTCAAGTATATATGCTATTCTTGTCTCCCTTCCTTCCCACAATTCACTCTGACAATATACATAGGTTTCAACATCAAGACAAATAAAAACTTATATGGGAGCATCAAATTACCATCAATAAAGGTGTTAATGTTCCCAATGCTCACAGGGTCTATTCATACAGAGCTTGTAAAATATGTTTTAGAAGATGGATACACTCCACATTGGAAAAATGTAGTATTATAAAAGTGTCTCCAATCCAAAACAAATTTTTATATTGGAAATGCTACTGATAAGACAACATGATCCCATTAACCAGTTCATGTTTCATTCACCTAGTGTTGGCTAATTGTACTGGTACATGGTCCATTAAAATTTTTACATGTTGATTAAAAAACAAAAGTTTTTCAAACTTTATTTTTGTTTTAATTATTTTTAGTCATGTATTGCTTAAAAAAGATGATTGCTAATTAGTTGTTTTAATATTGCTCAACACAAGAGAATGTTTCCATTTATTCTGATTGGCTGTACCTTTACTCATAACCACACTTGGTTTTTACCTCATATTTTAAACTTTCCATTTCTTTCAGATCCTTTTTCTATTGGTTTATTCAGAATATGGGCTTTGTGGAACAATCTCTACATGAAGATTTTCTACATTTTAAATATATTTGTAAACAGTTACTTTATAATATATAATCTTTTAGTTTTTATTTAAGTATATATTTTTATCATGTCTATTGATTTTTATTCTTTGTTATTCGTATTTTAATCTTTTGTTAGGACATTATTTTCGAGGGGAGGATATCAATTGTATTATGGCATTTCCTTTTCTATAAAAAAAAAATTTAAAATTGATTCACTTCTAAAGAATTTCCTTGTAATCTCTAAAATTTCAGTTCCTAATGAAGACAGTGTGTAAATGTTGAAAACATTCAAAGTATTTTATTGAAAGTGTTTTTATAAATTTAACACTAACAGATTGACTAATTCTCTTAACTAATAAAAAACCCATACTAGATATAAAAACCTAGTATGGGTTTTTATATCTAGCAGCATACTTATACAGCAATTGATAGAGAGAAATGGAAGAAAATAGTGGAAAAGACAACAGACACCAATGGGCAATGTGCCCAGGGTTAATGATGATGATGATGAGCATACTTATAGCATTTTATATAAAAATGGATATATATAATTAAAAAAATCAGCTAAGTAACATAATATCAATAATTTCACAAAATATAACTAACAAGTAAGACTTTTTAAAAGTAATCTTGAATCTATCATAATTCATTGTGAAATTTTAAAAATTCAAAACTAAATCTAAATAAACTGCATAACTACATTATCAAATATAAAAAAGGAAAAATTTCATAAACACAAATTAATATGAAAAATAATAATAGTAAAAATAATAAAAACTTAGCAAATTCATAAAATGATAAGATGATTCAGGCAATCAAGACAACAACCTGACACACTAAAAAATTCATGTTTCAGTATAGGTCAAAACCTCAAACATTTTTATGACTGGTTTAATCCAAATACATCAGGTTCTGTTCTTCAGTATCTTGTTACCTCATTGTGGCACTAGTTGAATTCATGATAAGCATGAAAAAAGCCATCTTAGTGTCCAAAGATCATAAAGTAAGATAAAAGCTTGTGGTCATTTGTCTCTATTTATAATTAGAGTTACCATATTGTGAAACTCCAAAATAAGGACACTCAACTAAACCAATCCAATACATAAACCACATTCTTGAAACTTTTATAGATGATGATTGATGTTTTTTCTGATTCCTTAATTATTTTTTATATATTGTATTGTAATAAATAAAATTTTATTTCTACTTACGTAGTAGGCTACTTAAGCAAGCAATTCCTCAATGAATCTAGATGAATAAACAATAGATTATCAGAAATAGTATACACATGATAAAAGCTAATGCTATTGTCAATATGTGACCAAAAAGCAAAGCTGATGCTAATAAAGATCAGAACTGACACCAGAAACACAAATTTGAAACCAATGTAATATATGAGATAAAGCACTACTCAATTACCAATGTAATTGGTCAAATTCTGAATTCTAAATTTGATGCTATTCTGTTACAATAGAGAAAATCTTCCATTTTTACAAGGGATACATTGCCAGAGTGAACAAAATGTTATAATAAAAAGAAAAAATATGACAAGATACCCTCTGTTGTGCAGTTAACATTTTTAAAAAAAAAAAAGAGTTAACATTTTTTTTTGTAATCAACTGCATGCAAGTTAGCCATGTTGTTTTCTCATAAAGTCCACATGTAAAATTCTTTATTTCAATAAAAAAAATAATAGAAAAATCATCCAAATCACTGGAAATGTGGACAAAGCAGGAAATTCACAAAAATGTATGCAGACAGAATTTTTACACCTAAAATGAAAATGTGTGTTCACTTAAACAAGGACATATTATAATGGCATATTTATAAAGAAGCAATGATTTGCTATCACTCTTTTCTTTTTATTTTACTAATTGCTTTGTAACAATATCTCATTTAGAAGTGTTATTTTTTGAAAAATTGTTTAGATATTTATTTAAATTTCTGTATTTATTCTTTATATATATATTTTTTGATTTTTACTATCTTATACTAAGCACTTTTTATCATAAAATAAAATAACTGAGCATTATTATAACTTACCTGTCTAATTTAGACATAAATATTTCTTGCACTTCATTGGCAGATGTACAAGCAGAAAATGTAATCCAATTTACAATGTATCTATATAAAAAATAAAAATAAATGTATGAAAACTTAATCAAATAATGCTTCATATTTTTGCATTTGTATGCATTGAAATTTAATAAAAATATCTGTACATTTATTGTTAAGTTTTAATATTTACTGAACTTTTCATAAAAAACATTAATATGAACAATAATTTTTTGTATGCATTTTATAACTGTTAGTTTTCTATCTGAGTTTTCCCTTTTGTTTCTCTCATTCCCTCTCGTTCTCCTTCGTTTCGTTTCGTAATTCCCTTTCGTTTGTTCTCTCAACTGAGATATTCAAATAAAAAACAATGCATGCAAAATATGTCAAAATGAAGTAATAAAACAGTATACTGCAAACAACAAAGTTAACATTATACAGTAGAGCATCATTTATTCGAATCAATTGGGGACTGAGGTTGTTTGGATAATTTATTTTTCGGATAACCAATTACATACAAAAAATATATTAACCTATCTCTAATTAACCTAATGTAAACTTTTTAAAATAATAATCGTGGCTATTGTATCGTTAAAAATTATTTCTTTATTTTTTACAAACAAAATAAATATATAGAAAAATATAAAAACAAAAAAAATTATACTTTAGAAGTTAATCTAGTATAAAAAACATTTGAATCAGCACGATACACAGTCCTCAGAAAAACACTACACAAAAGTGCCAGTGCTGCCAGCTAAAACACACACACCAACAAAAAAAATATTGGAGTAGCCCAAAATTTAGCCAAAGATTTCAGCGCCACAGCACTAGCAAAAATTTAAATTTGCCAACTAGAATGCTTTTGGTTAACCGATGTTTCAGATTACTGGCTTTCGGATAAACGACGCTCTACTGTATATTGAAATTTTTTATAATATAACCATTGAAAGAAACTGTATCATTTTCTGTTTAACATGAACACCTGATAGAATTTTTATATTGTTTAAATAAAATGTGGATCCTGAAGTTTGTAATTTTTATTTTAAAACAGTAACAAATTTTATGAGCATTTCAAAATTTAGATATTTTCACATTTATTTGTTCTTCTACAGTGAAAAATTTCACACACACAAATACAAACATATATACATATATGAGGGCAGTTTTTTTTTTTCAAACTCTGATGTTTCATAAAACAAAGACAAGTGTAAATAATAAAATGAATTTATTACCAAAAGTTAGGTACAAACATGGTTACTTTTTGATATAATCACTGTGAAAATTGAGGAATTTGTCACATCTGTGGATGAGCTTTTCCATCCCCTCGTCGTAGAATGTTGCTGTCAGTGATTTGAGATGGCCTTAACAACATTTTGAAGTTTGCCATTAGTCTCAAACCTCTGCTCTGCTAGCCACGTTTTCAGTTCAGAAAAAAAATGGAAGTCTTCACACATTAAAAAATTCTAAACTGGCTGCAAGTCTGAAAGATGAAAGTCTTCACCACCTTTAAACACCCAGCGTATAGCCCTGATTTAGTGCCGAGTGACTTCCACCTCTTTCCTGAACAAAAAAAGTGGCTAGGAGGTAGAGATTTCAGACTAATAACGATCAAAACAATGTTAGGGCCCATCTCAAGTCATTGGTGGCAACATTCTATGAAGAGAGGATAGAAAAGCTCATCCACAGATATGACAAATGCCTCAATCTTCACAGTGATTATATCAAAAAGTAACCATGTTTGTACCTAACTTTTGGTAATAAATTCATTTTCTTATTTACACTTGTCTTTTTTTTATGGACCATTGGAGCTTGAAAAAAAACTGCCTATGTATTTTATAAAATTTTCACTGTAAAATAAATCATTCTAACATTGTTTTTATAATTTTTTAAAAGAGAGCTGAACATTGATCATTTTTGTTTTTACATCTGTAGTGCTATGCGACTATGTATTGTAACTTTTCTTATATATATATATCTATACAAATCCTATACAAAAGAAAAATATATATATACACACATCATACAACATACATCAATATATGGAAACATGATACAGAATATATATATATATATATATTTCCATTATTCTGTATCGTATTTCCATATATTGTTGTATGATGTGACACAAAATCCTTCATATCTTGCCCAGACCAGATGTCACTTTTTACTGGCTGCCATGTTTAGAGCCTTATAATTGGTCCAGAGTAGTGTCACATGTTAGTAATCAACTTCTGGGGAGCAGGAATTTATAAAAAGGATGGATATTCATGTTAAGAAAACTTTTTTATTTTTGGACTCTCCAGAAAAGATAGAAAGCGAGAGCTCAGCAGCCAAGCCTGAAAGACTTCGATTCAGATGAACAAGCTACATGAAAAAAAAAGGAACAAGAAAAAAGGGAGCTTCAGAACCAGGAGATAGTTGCCATTTATGAAGGAACGTCTTGATCTGAAATTAAATGATCCATTTCCATCATGCTGGAACAGTGAACCGTCAGTAAGGGATACATATATTTGTGAATTAGGCCATCCAAGGACCAAATTAGAACGTTTAGTTATGAAAATATAAGTTTTGTATGTATATGTTATTGTCATCTTTGTGGGAACCAATATGTCAACACATGATCATGCAGGGCTACCATGTGTAAGCATTGTATCAAGGAAAAAGGGATGTACATTGGTGGATATCCATTAGTTCATAAGACTAAAATCATTCTTATTCGGGCGATCAAATTGGTATGACCCATGTAGTTTCCGACAGCATATGCAGTACATCATGTACTGTGTGCTATTTGACCTCATGTCATGTAATAAACAATTTTTGCTCCCTTGGTAAAGTGTACACGTTATTGGTCAATGCTTAGGTCCTTTCACATTAATTTCTTCATATGCCCCATAGATCTCACTCTATGGGAGTAACTACACATCTTTTCATATTAATTAATATAAATTTGAAATTACTCAACTTCAATTATTCAAAATTATTAATAAAGCAAATAAGTTTCTGTGTATCTTAAATAAAAGTTATACATTTTATTATTTAATGAAAATATATAAAAACATATACATACTGATCTTTATTTAGCTTATTAAGATAATCATTAGTTACAAAGGTCTTTCCACTACAGCTAGGACCAATAAGTAGAACTGGCACTTTATGTTTAATGTATTTTTGAAGAAAATATTGCTGACATCTTGTTTTATTTGTTGGAATTATTCTGTTTATAATCTGAAAATAATTTTATATCCGAGTTAATATATTTTAAATACAAAATTTAATATTTTGATTGATTAATTTAATTTATATTTAGAGCATAAATGTTAAACTTAATTAATCTATTTGCATTAATTTTGATCAAGTTCAAGTATAGTGAATTCATTCTGTTATTAACAATCACTCAATAAAATAATAAATGTAAAAAATATAAATTGTGATAATTAAAATTAATAATGATATATTTCAAATTATTCAGTTTAAAAATTTAATCCATATAAAGTATTAAAATATAATAAATAAGAGAAAAAAGAATGTGCTTGAAATAAAATTATTTTATCAACAAAATAATTTGAAACTTAAAAAACTTAAGAAATAAATCCAAATATCACTTTTGATACTTTAGCAAAATATTTCATGGAAAGATTGATGATAGTGAGACATGCATTGTTAAATGTATATCATTGTTCAGATGAATTGATTAATTAAAGATACAGTGTGACCTCAATTTCTGAGTATGCAACAAAAGAGAAATCAATACAACAAACTATTTTAATTTATTATATGTTTCCAATTTACAAGAAAAAATATTCAATACAAAGAAGACCAACTGATTTTTATAAGAACATGCATGCAACCACAATGCAACAAGATTAAAATTTCCATATACATTAATTGTACTACAAAAAACTGGACCTACTACTATAATTAACTCAAAAAGAAACAAATTTAATAAGTAAATTAAAGTTTTCAATCTTATTAAAAGATCATCATCAGGTTCTTATGACAGAACAGAAAACAACTTTAAAATACAATTGAACAATTTGAATCATATTACATATTACATGCACAAGGATTGAATATACAAACTGGTTAATATTTAACATAAAATTAAAAATAAATATGTGAGAATCGGGGTTTAAGCATCAAAGCTTGAACCGTTTTCCGACAACGGGGCGGTGAGTCCCGCTCACAGGGTCAGTGGATGGCAATTTAGGAGGGCGAAAATCGAGTGGGAGGTCGCGGATAAGTCGATAAGGTGTTGACAGAGTACGAGTAAACACGCATGATTAAGATATAATATAAATTTAATTAGTATATACCATATAAAAGGGTTACAAATACTAAGAATAATAATAATGTCAAAATCAAACCGATATTACAATAGTAGGTTAGTCGGATTATATCTTGGGTATTTCGACTGAGGATAGTCTCTGATCCTCTTTAATATTCTTTTCGCGGAATTAGCCCTAATCCACCTGAGAGGAAAGAGAGAGTTCTACTTACTAAGTTGTAGTTCGTAGGATCTATCTGTNTTTAATTTATTGTTATTGGTGTCAAAATGATATGATTTTATGATATAAATTTCTATAGGTTTGATGGCTCTCATCCATAAATTAACAATCATTTGACAATAATTTCTTTAACCTGGTCAACTATTTAGATATTGTTTATATCAAATGTCGAGTTTGACTATGAACAAGGCGATTTATTGCCGTAACCACGTATTACGTGCAACCAAGAGGTGATAAGAAATATCTCTTATTCCCCTCTTGTTGATACTAACGTCTATTGAATAACTGTTAAACAAATAGAGATGATTTCTCTTATTGATATTTTAACATTCTCCGTTTTTTTCTTGTTCGAGGAGAGCGTCTCGGTCATTGACCGTAGAAGTCCCCCTTTTCTCTTTTACTAGGAAAATTCCTAGATTTGTACTGATCTAAAACAGAAAAAGGGTTTCGGACCTTCACAAATACATAAAAATAGTTAAGATATCTAAAGAAAATAACTTAAAATCAAAATACAAAATGAATATAAATAAAAAGTATGTTACACAAGTAAGCATATAACAAAGGAGATTAAAATTCATAGAAGTGTAATAATAACAAAGACACAATAAATTAAACTAGACAACTTCCAAGCCTCCCACACGTGCAACAATGGTGCCATGTCTCTACTGTTAATTGTGGTCGCTTTACAAATTGCTTTATAGATTTCAAGCCTTTCCAGATATTTTAGATGAAAGAGTTTTTTTTTTTTTTTTGAGAGTCCATATGCTCTGATTAGTTAGCTTATAGATTCCATTTTCCAGTTTGTTTGTTTATTCATGTAAACATGTTAATGTGCTTTCACTCAGCTGTAATCTTATCATTCTACAACCTGGATATCTCATTTTTAGGTGGGTCTGTGGTGCTACTATCTGTGATCTGGGACTCATGATTTTGGAAGAAAAACTAATTTTAGAAAGGATAAAAGAAACAGAGACAAAGTCTAGATTGGGTGTAATGTTTTTGCTATGTGACAATACAATAAAGAGTTAATTTTGTGATAAAATTAGCATTGGTTTATTGCAATTTACTAGAGTAGGACCATTCATGATAATATGATTATGCAATTTAGGAGATTTTATTTCTATGTTAAAGACCATTCTATTGGTGATTACAATTTTATTAATTAAAGAATAAATTTATTTTGATCTACTTTACTTGTTTTCTGCTTTACTGTCATAACTAAGTTTTGTTTTCTTGAGAATTATAATTATAAACTAATTAGAAAAATATAATTATTAGCAATGTGATTTCAGATAAGACATTATAATTTTATTTATACTATCACATTTTCACATATCAAACCACAACAAAAATATAGATTGAGAATAAAAATATATTTTAATTTAATCAAGAAAATAAAATTAATACTTGTAAAAAGATATATGTACCTCCACATATGTTGATGGTTCCATTTCAAGACTTTGAAATGAATTCCATTCAATCCATTCACATTTTTCTTTATCATATAAAAAATCATATATAAATCCTTCCTGTGGAAATAATTCTGCTTTTGTTAAATTAAATGATTCTGGTATAGGATAATTATCATTTTCTCCAGCAAGTAAATTTCGATAAAAATTATCAAATATGATACGATCTTCCTTACTGATAAAAATGCCTCCAAATGTCCAAACAACAGAGAATGAAAATAAAATTTGTAAATGCTTACTTAGCTAAAAAGAATACAAGTTTTGTTATAAAAACATTTCAAGAAATAAAAAGTTTTTAATAATGTATTAAATACCTGTGCCAAGATAGGTACATAATTATCATCATCAGTTATTAATTCTGTTAACAAACAATTGTATAAATTCATTAGACTTTGAATAAGATGAAATGTTGAAAATTCAATTATATATGGCTGAATATTTTGATAAAATTTTATACAAGCTGGAATAAGCCATTCAAATAAATCATTTATAATGCTTTTATGTTCCTTGTTTATAAAATTTGGGAGAGTATTCATGTAAGAACGTTTTAATGCTGACCACCCTAACTAATTAAAGAGGAAAAAAATATAGATTTAATTAGGCATAATTTTGTTTAGTTTTTAAAAAATAATAGAAACTTACTTGCTCAGAATTCATATATACTACTCCACAACGTGATATAATAGCTGGAGAAGCATTTTCTAACTCTTCTGTCTCAAATATTATGTTAATTTTATTATTTATTTGTATAGCTTCACCATTCATTAAACATAACTAAAAGAAATAAAACTTTACAAAAATATCAAAAGTAAATTTTAAAAAATTATAATCAATATCCATCATTACTTGTCCATTATCATCTAAAAATGTATTTAAGTTTTCTGCCCAGTAACAACTGAATGGTCCATCAAATATGACCCATTTTCTTTCTGTTGATTTATTGTTTGTATAATCACGAAGCAATGTGGATATAATTCCTATGAAATTTTAAATAAAATAAGATATATGATTTAAATTTGAAAAATGAAAGAGAAAAAATCATCAGCTGTTTTTATTCAATGAAATTTATAAATTTCATTGAATAAAACAATTAAACTCATCAAATAGTAGTTTATATATATTAAAACCTAATAATTATTTTTATTATTAGTGAATTAATGACATAGTCATGCAAAAAGAAAACTGTCATATACACTTATCCCTCTTTTTATATGGTCTATTTTTATGTCATTTTAAACTAACATCGGTGATAACAGAAAACTAACATTGTTTTTATGTGATTGATATTTTTACATGGAAAAAACAGTCAAATTAAAAATTTTTAAATTTAACTTTCTGTTAAATTGTGTTACTGTTAAAAAAAACTATTCTTTTTGTTTAAAGATTGATTTTAAAGTTACATGTTTTTAAATCAAGAGCTGATTTATCTTTTTTAAACACAGTAGAATACTGTATGTTAATTTTATGTTTCCTATGTTATCCTGTGTTTACTATATTTATGTATAAATAATGTTATAATAAATGATGTTAGAATAAAACAAGCTTACGTTTCTTTTGTAAATCGTTTATTTTTTGTTCCATTAAAGTTGTGAATCCTATCAAGCAGTTTTCTTCAGGATATATGTACTATATTTTTATTACGCAATTTTTTTATGTGGCATTCTTTGAAACTTATCCACTGTATAAAGAGAGAGATAGGTGTATATGTTTAATTATATGTATAATTTCAAACTAAATTAAAAGTAAAACTAAAATTAATAAACTACTCATCATACTAGGAGATCAAACAAAACATTTACATGCAAGAAAGTTTGATGGCACCTAACTGACAAATCATGTTACATGTAATGAAGTGAATATTTTTATTTATTTAGTTGCTTAGAGATTCAAATGTTATCTTTCAAGTCCATATTAAATAAATACTTGAGATGTATTTCTTGCAATGCATTACAGGGTAATAACAATCATAGTAAAGCTAAGTGAACACAGCCAACAAATTGTTAAAACACTTTTTCATCATTACCTTTCTGGCTAGCAACTACACAACAATAGTTGAAAGACAAAACAGTTGTGTGTACACAAGGCACATCAGTTGTTATAGGAAAACCAATAAGAGGGTTGATGAAAAATATCTGGGACCGAATTTTTTATTATAGAAAAAATAATAATAGTAGCAATGTGGCAACCAAGGAGAATATTTCACTATTCTCCTGATGCCATAAGCCAGGGCAGTGGGTAACACTGCTCTGGCTTGTGGCACATCTCAATCATACAAACCAAAACATGAAATTCTTCAAGAAGCATTCAGAGAAACAACACTCAGTCAGTCTAAAACATTGGTTTGGTATTCACATTTCAAGAATGGCTGCACTCAATTAAGCAGTGTAACTGATGATTGTTAGACTGTCTACAAAATCATTCTGCAGTACCTTTGAGATATAATTCATTGGAAATATCCTCACAAATGGTCTTTTGGTAACCAGCTTCTGCACCATGATAATGTGTCATGCCACAGCCCCGAGTATTACTTAATTTTTGACCAATCACAACATTCCTGTAGTTCCCTACTTACCTCACTCACTAGAATTAGCACCATGTGACTTCCTCCTTTTTCCCAGGCTCAAAACTACCCCAAAGGAGAAATGATATCAAGACATTGTAGATGGCTGAATTGACCTTAATGGTTTGGGAATGGCTCATAGCTGTCATGTTGTGCTAGTTTTAAGCCATTCCCAAACAGGTCTATTAGACATGCATGAAAAATGGAAGGATCCTTGAAATTGCTGCATACAATCTAGAAACTAGTACTTTGAAGGAGATAGTCCTCAGTAACTGGTAATTGCTTTTGTTTTTTGTATGAAAATTCTGTTCCAGATATTTTTGACAGTCCTCATATATATTTGAGTAATTTTTCATTACAGACATTGCAAAGATAGTTTCTATTTGTGGTCTTGTAACTTATGGAAAATGAGTTATAAGAACTGCACTAAAATAATGTTTAGTGTGAGAATGACTTATTGCTAACTTTTTTAAGCAATGTCCATACATTAGAGTCTTTCAAGTCAATATATATAAGTTATTTATTTTCATTATTGAAAATTAAGGCAATACAAAAAATGTTTGAGTCCTTTTTCCTCTTTAAATCCTTTTTAATTCCAATCCAGGAACTACAAACAGCTGGCAACTTGAAGTAAAACTTCTAAAAATAACAGACAAATACTATCAAAAAACTTACACACAATTAAAAATGATCTTGATGTCAACCCTTTTTTGTAGGCTACGACGTCTACAAACATTAAAAATCGTTAAAAATCTTTCTCAACAGCATCCATGTTATATATTCACATTTATAAGCTGAGAGTCCTCTAGTGGATTTTCAGGCAGTCCAAAATTATTTACATAATTACACATATATGTAAGTTTTTTGATAGTATTTGCTTGTATTTTTTGAGAAGTTTTATTTCAAGTTGCCTGCTGTTTGTGGTTCCTGGATTGGAATTAAAAAGGATTTAAAGAGGAAAAAGAACTCAAACATTGTTTGTATTGCCTTAATTTTCAATAATGAAAATAAATAACTCAGTTAAATAATCCTGGGCTAATATGTATAAAATCAAAATCAATATATATATATTGATATATATACTGTATATATGAGGGTTGAACTGAAAGTAATGCAAAAGTGGACATCAATTGTTCCAATTGCACTTGTTAGTACAGTAATTCTTCCTCTATACAAAGATACTATTCAACATAGTCTCCATTACAAGTGATGCATTTGTGCCATTGTTGAACTCAACTTTGGAATTCTCTTTGAAAAATTCAAGTGTACACTGTTGTACCTTCTTCTTCATAGTCACTTTCACCTCATCTATATCATAAAATTGTTAATCCCAAAAATCATTATTCATTAGACCAAACAGGTAGAAGTTAGAGGGAACCAGATCCAGGCTGGTCTGCTGGATTTGTATGGTGGGTGGATGGGAAAACCAGCCTGAAGTTGGTGCTCTCTAAAATCTACCTGTTCATTCCAATGAAGGATAACCTTTAGGGTCAATGATTTGATAATGATGAAGTGAAAGTGTCTATGAAGAAGAGGGTTCAACAATGTACACTTGAATTTTTTCAAAGAGGATTCAAAAGTTGAATTCAACAATGATGCAAATGCTTGTAATGGAGACTGTGTTAAGTAGTACCTTTGTATAGAGGAAGAATTACTTGAATGAAAAAGTTGTGCCTAATTTTGCATTACTTTTAATACAATCCTCATATGTATAATATCTTTATGTTTAAGGACATGTCCTTATGGTTGTCAACACTGGAAATGACCAGTCCAATGACAGTCTTCTCACACAATCTGGTAAGATGTGGAAGAATTATTGCCAGTGCACATGACCCCCTTTGATTGTGCCAGGCCAATTCTAGTTGTAACACAAAAATGTCACCACATTGTTGTAGCCTTCCACAACTGTAGCAACTGTTAACACAATTTTGTCATGTTGTCGCTTATTTACATACCTGCATTTGATCTTAATAAATACATCATAATGATAAAAAAGTGTTTCAACAATTTGTTGACTCTACATCTAGCCTAACCCATGCCTAGTCCTTCCAATAAATTTTTTATTTAATGACCCTATATAAATAAATTATACAATATTAATAAATGCAAATAACTTCTTAAATAAAAATATTAGAAAATTTTTATTAGTCATAAATTGAATGGACTTAAAATTTACCATCTTTCCATTCATCAGTAACTTCATCTGCAGTTCCATATAGTTGATTTATTGTAACTGAATTTGGATTTATGTTCTGATATATAACTTTATATTCTAACATTCCACATTCTTCTCCTTTATTATTAATATCTTCTAATGCTGCAGCTAGCATTTTGTAAGATGAAGTTTTCCCAGACATGCAATTACCACATATGATAATGCCGGTCTTTATTAGTAAAAGTTCATATATCTAATAATTGAAATTTTGTATTATTTTTATGAACCATGGTTAAAATCTAAAATATTGACAGTATATTTTTTAAAAACAAATCTCAATTTACATGTATTATTTTTTGTACAAAATATGGTACAGGTTGAAGATTTTGTTCTTTAATACAATTTTGTAAAGCTTCCTCTAAGATGTTATTTTTCATATTGAGCATTGAATTAACAGGAAAATAATCCGCAATAATGGTTTTGTATAAAGAAATATCCTAAAAAAAAATAATAGTAACTTTAATATAAAATTAAAATATAATATTAATATTATTTTAGCTTAATATACAATCATTATTCTGAAATTGCTAACAAACCATTTTAAATAATTTTGGTGTGATAATGCTGTCTATTGCTTTTAAAAGAATGGAATCTTCACATTCAGAAGGATATTTTTCTTTTAAATTTTTGGCCAAACATAGTATAGATTTTAATGAAACCAAACTAAAATCATAATGATTTTGTATTGAAAATTGCTCCTTGCACAGTTCAAATACAGCTATTACTTTTTCAGTTAATCTATGGAGAAAAAATAAATGAATATTTGAGTTATACTTAATAAATAAACTGTTTAAAGTTAAATATAATTTTTAATAATTTTAATTGTTATTACTCTTTTGCTTCAACAAATCCAGCTACAAGCAGAAAATTTTCACAGATATAATGGTAATTGGGATAAATAAGAGAAACTGGTCGAAACATTATCTGTAATTGAATGAATAATTTTAGAAATTTAAAATATAAATATTAAACTAAGGACAGCCAGATGGCTGTGGTGGTTATAGTGTAAGCCTATTACTCTGGGGACCCAGAATTGAACCCAAACAGTCAAAAATCCACAAATTTTTTGGACATGGTCTGTCCCAATACATTGGGTCTATCCCTCACCACCTGGCTGCCCCATTGTGGTCTTGGCTGAACCAATGATGGACATGATTAAAAGATTCTCTAGTGCCCACAGGACAAAAAAGAATTGAAAATAAAAAATAAATTAATAAAGTTATAAAAAAAATCTATTTTATAATATAACATATAATTTAGTTATCATAAAAATAATTAATATTGATTTACCTTTAAGTTGTTTGGAAGATAGTTTTGCTTAGTAGAATGTAACTCAACTGTGGTTAAAATGGAACAAGTTGGATTTAAATGTAGATCCATCCCTTCAAATTTAAAGAATTTACATTTTTGATTAATTGCATTTAAAATTAAATGAATTTGTTGTGATATAACTGCTAAAGTCTGCAACTGTATTTTGTCAAATTGCTCTAAACAGATCCAACATCCAATTTGAACTATTCCTTTAAACAAATTTCCAGTTGCTGTTGCAGTCAGTCCATTTGAACAATTAAAAACTATGCACTAAATAAATTTAAACAAGTTTTTAAATTAGTTTTACACTTAAATATATATATATATATATATAAATTCTTATTTTAAATATATTACTTTTTTTGCTATTGCTTTTGCAAAATCTTTACATGTTTCTGTTTTACCACTTGCAGCTGGCCCATATATAATAGCTCCCATATTCATATTTAAAGCAATCATTATTGTTCTGAAAAATAAAAAAATCTGATCAGTTAAACTACTTAAAAAGTCTTAATGATGATCAGAATAATAATTTTCATTCAGAAACAGAATACAATTTATGTTTTAATGTAAGAGACTGATAATTTCTATATCAAGTAGATAAAAAATGTTACAGATGAATATTTGAAAAAATAGTTTCTGAATTAATGAACATTGTTTTATAGTTATTTTAACTTTTGTCTTATGATATTTTAAATATTTTCACAATAAACAATATCCATTTTATTCGAAACTATATAAAGGAAATTTCATTCACAAAGTATTTATGAAATATATATATGGTAACATAGCTAGGGGAGAATGATGAGGATTATCTGCCCAAAGTAACATTTAGATCTACTACAATGAAAAGGATAGATTTTTGTTGGGATGGTAGAAGGATATAAGATGAAAGACAGTTTTATTTTCCCATGAAAACACTGCTTATTGTCAGAAATTCCTGATAATGGTGAGGACTATGTTCACTTGAAGTTGGCTTTATTGAACATTATAACTATTTAAGCACTTTTTTGATTAATAACAATATCCTAACTTTTTCACAGGTTTCCCCCTATGACTATGTCTTTTTCACTTTTTTCTAAGTATGTTTGATGTGCATTATGTTTGTTTTTGCAAAGGTAGCAAACTCTTGCTATTTATACAGTGGTGTAGCTATATTGGACATCCTGTGGATGTAGGCCTACGTATTACCAAAAGTATTTTGCTTGGTCTAAATATGTACAGCAAATCCACATGACATCCAATATAGGATCACAACTACACAGTACAATTATGAATATCCAATGCATATCCTAACAGGATCACAACATCCCAGTGTAAGGAACCAAGTCCGAGCATTATTTTTATTTTACTTTTAGTTTGCTTTTATTATATTTTTGTTTGGGGCTTATGTTTAGTTAGGATGAAGGTTTCCTCACCCATCACCCCAGAACGTTCCAAACGAGAAGATAAGAGATTAACCAACTCACCGACGATGAAACGACAGCGCCATAGCTAGTACTCGCGCTCACGTGCACGCCCGAGCAGCAGAATTGTACGTCCGCACTGAAGGGGGAGGCATCCCATAGACTTTTTAGGGACTTGTATAACCTTAAAACGAAACATCCCGATAATTGTTAAAGAAATGCTGTAAAAGGTTAACAACGTATTGTCGAGAAATAAGCTACCAGATAACGAAGAGAAAACAAGAATGTTATGTGTAGATATGTAAATGAGGGGAGTGTCTCAATTAGAAACTGTGACGTCACCACAGACTATAAGTACAGTAGCTCAAGTGAAGACAGACGAGGTGAGCTCCTGAACCGAAAGCGTTGGTCTGCTGGTAGCAGTGAACAAGGTGTCGAATAGGAAATCCTAGTAGGAGATTGAAGGTTCGATTTTGATGAGTTGAAAATAGGAAAGTCTTGAGTAGAAGAAAAGGTTCCGAGTATTAATTGAGGTGACGGTTAGGATTGACAGTTATAAGAAAATTTGTAACTAAGTTAAGAGTTGAATTTTGTTTTGTCGGAATTCCAAGGGAAATAGTTCTAAGTTAGAATAAGACTTAAGTTTGTCGGGTTGATTGTGATTTGATTTTTTATTTTAATAAATTTGTTGTTTGTTTATAAATCTTGTATATAGTATTTGTTAGACTTGATTAAACATTTATTATTGAGTTTTTTTGGTGACTAACTTTGTCCTTAATTTATTTCAATGCACGCTAAAAGTCCAGGCCTGGCAACTAATAAACGCAAACCCACGTAAAGTACCCGTTAGGTCCCAGCTCTTTAAGAAAAATTCGTTGTAGAGCAACAAACTAAATATAGTACTTTACACCAGATGAATCACAAATGTCCATGAGACATGGGTGATTATTAGAGTTCTTAGTAAAATATATTTTATTTACATATCTTTGTATATGTTCATTCTATCAAATTTTACAGAAATATTCATGAAGGGTAAAATATTTTTCTATAAAATGATGAAGAAAGTAATTCTTAGTACAGCAATTGACAACAAAACAGTTTAAAATGTTATATTTGAAAGAATAATTACATTTTTAAAAAATTATGACAGTAGATGGAAAATAATATTATTAAGATTTGTAAAATAAATACTGTACATTCAAAATATTCATGAAATCATTAAATTTAAGATGGAATCAATAAACTAAAATGATTTGTTTGCTAAAATGAACATTTATGATAATTTGTGAACTTTCATGAATTTTTTTATAAAATACTATTGAATGGGTTCATAAAAAGTATGCTACATAAAGATAAATTTTCCTAAAAGGTTAAGAAAAGGAAGATGGAATTCAATGACACCACCAATCCAATAAATACAAGCATTTCTGCAAAAGCTTGCACAGACTCTATATTGGTATTCTTGTCGATGGTGTAGAAGACACCTAAATTGTGAGAAATCTTACTGAGTCTGCTAAACTTTCCCATTTAGGTGTGCCACACACCAGCATTGGACATTGCTGGTGTGTATCTGGGAAGAGGATGTCCCATAAGACAGTGGGAATTGGGCTTCCCTATGTTTTTGCATTCCCTAAAAATAAATAATGTATTTATTATCATTCACATTTATTTATGAATAGGAATGCCCTAAAAATCTGTCAGTGGATGTGCATACAAAGTCATGTGGATAACCTAACAAATATACACACAAAATCCATAAGATATCCTTAAGAAAGCTGTATGTAATCCAGTACTGGGACAATTGTACTGTTGGGGAATCCAATGAATGACATTTGGATTCAAAACACTAATCACAGGATGTTCAAAAATCCATTTTTGATATCTATAAAATGTTAACATGTTTAGTGTTCGGTTATATTTTATGTCACATGTCATAAATTACATGTGACATAAAAAGGTCACATGTAATTTATTATCGGGACATTTATAAAGCCAAACAAATATTTGGATATCCTGTGACTGTTGTTTTGAATCTAAATGTCATCCATTGGATGTCATTCAGATTAAAACCAACATTCACAGGATGTCCAAATATCTGTTATAGATATCTATGGGAGTCATTAAGATGTCCAGTGGTTGTTAAGCATATATAAACAAATTTTACCTGTAACAGCGTTCTGTTAGAGGAGACATAATAAGACGAGAAGTATTTCCAAGATATTCATATCCATAAGTAAGGCTAGATCTCATCATTGATACTTTTACATTTTCTTTATCCCAATAATATTGTAATTGACTCAGCCACTGAAAATCTTCGCTACTGTATATATTTTCTAATTCAAGTTTATGAGTTATTTCACAAGCTATAACACAATAGAAAAAGCAGTTATTTAGTGAATTTAATAAATCATATTTTGAATTTTTTCTGTAAAAGTTTATATTTATTCAATATTAAATGTTACCATATAAAATTGTTCCAATTAATGTTTCTAAAGTAAGTTTATGATTCAAATCCAAATTTTTATTCTTTAAGCTAGTTATTGTCTTCATTTTCTCATTATATTTAATGTAACATTCCTGGAACACATAAATAGTTATAACTATTAAATTTGTGCCAAATTAAATGTAATCATAAATTTCTGTAGCATTTTGAATAAAGTTTTAAATATATACAGTATTTATATTGTAAAACTTAATTTTAGTATATGTTTTGTAATTTTATTACAAGTTCATCAAATCAACATTTTATCCTTTGCAATTCATTCCTGTATTTTTATCCTGCTAATTTGTCTCAAGGTTTTTCTGTGTATCATATGATTGTGAAAGTCATTTACTTTGTGTAAAGAGAACAATAATTAGTGGTTTATTTATTTCCTATGGCATTGTAGTTGTTTAGAGTCAAAATCAAACCTAGAACAGGACTATGTCCTTAATTCAACTTGCCATCCCTACAAACAGTGGCACACTATCTTGTGAGCAAAAAAAGGCAATTGTCTGGGGTCCGCACTAACAAACCAATTTTTTATAAACTCATTACTGCAGTAAGAATATTGAAATTTAAATTTGGCACCTTATCTGGAGATCCTATATCAGGCACGGCCAACATATGGCCCGCAGGCCAGATCTGGCCATGTGTAATGAATTTACATGGCCCATGATTAATCTTTCAATATTAGCTACTGAAGTCCGAATAGCTCGATGAAACATTGACGCCTAAAAAAAACAAAATAAAAGGTCAACAACTCACTGTGCATTTAGAGTTAACCCTCCATTACAATCTCTTAAGTACAGCATAAAATGTTGATAAAGCATGATAATTTGAAAAATGTATCTATAATCTCTATGTACAATTTAGTCTCTATGGGGTGACACCACAATGAGATCTCACACCACCTCAAAATCTTCCTCTGGTTCGGCCTGTGAAAAAAGTTTTCTTTCCAATTCGGCCCAGGGGCAAAAACTGTTGGCCACCTGTCCTATATTGTTAGTGTGTCACAGGTGCAGAATGCACTGACTCAGTGCATAACTTAATCCTCTAGTGATCACATTAAAAAAAAAAAAACAAAAATACCTGGAAATTTCCCCAAAGAAAAATTTCTGATGTCAACACTATATGGGGCCCCTAATTCAAATTTGCCTGGATCCAATGAAGCTATAATGTGCCACTGATTGCTACATGTATTAAATTCATTAACATTATTTGACTTGATGTCAAGATTTTATTCTGCCTCATAAACAATGAATTAAACCCCACACATTTAACTTTTATTTCCATTTTGTTCCTGAGATTTATGCCATTAACTATAAAATTACAGTATATGTTTATCTTTATATATATATATTGCATGTAATATCAAATGATCCTATTGCATATAAATTTCTATGTAAAATCAACAGAAATATTTTTAATAGGAGTTTGTTTAATTAAATGCAAAATATTGATCTAGTTTAATACTCTCAAATAATAATATACTATATATAATTATATATGAAATATTTTAAACTATAAATTTATTTAATTCTACATATTAATTAATTAAAATTTAGAATTTACTTTTAATGTTTGTTTCTTTATAGCTTCTGTTATATCAGCTGTCCACATGATCAACAAGCAACAGATCACTACTTGTTCTGGCCACTGAAGAAGCCATTCACTTTCATTACTTTCATTATAAGTGTCAAGTGCTTTAGCAATAATATCACGTAAACTTTTCACCATAACTCTTTCAATTTCGGATAACCACCTTTCAACCATTCCCTGGAACACAAAAATTTTAATTTTATATTTGTTTTACTTTAGATAAATAATATTTCATTTATTTTTAATACAAGGGAAAATCATCTATGACTTATGATAACTGCTGAGAAAAACAATACAAAATAAAACACAATAAACAAACAATAAATATATTAATTAAAATCAGAGTAACATGAAAATGTTCTGATACAAAATTTTGCCAAAGAAATTTATTTTAATTAATTTTTTTAAACTTTCTTTCCATTGAGCACTAAGGTCTTTATTTTTCTGTTCTCCATCATGGGCTTGACCAGCCCACAATGAGGATAGCCAATTAGTGAGAGACAGAACCAACATATCCAGGACGGACTGCCTATGAAAAATGATGTGGTGACTGCTGAATATTATGGCAAAGAGGGGAGAAACTGCTAGAAAACAAAAACCTCTAAATGACTTTACAGAAAGTTTAAAATTAAAAAATGTATTACAAAATGATTTGTTTCTGTTATCTTTTATCATTTACTTCAATGCAAGACAAACCATTTGTATTAAAATGTAACTACAACAATACACATTTTTATTCCTGAAACTATTGTATATTTTATCTGTATAATAAATGATGTAAAAATTGTTTTTCTTATATTTGACTAAATTCATTAACAAGAAAACTTCCAACCCATACATGAAATAAATGATGTTTCAAAAACTGACATATTTGTTTCTGAGTAAAATACCAGTATGAAAAGGTAGGTTCATGTGAGGACCAGAAATTTAGTGTTTTAAACTATAATTTTTTTTTAATAAACTTTATAAAGACAGAACGAGAAAACAGAAAATTAAAAGAGAAAAAGGAAAAATAAAATCAATAAAAACCTTGATTCCCACGAGTTAGGTTCCTTGTTGAGATGAGTACATTTCTGTGTCACGATTGTGTCACCCGTCCCCTCATTGGACCAAGAAGATCGTCATCGCTGACGAAATCGGAGAAAAGTTCGAAAATGAGGACTTGATATAAAAGGGCCAGGCATGATGAGTAAGGGGGTGGAAGTTATTATTGGTATCTGTGTGTGCGCTCCGATCGTCTACCTCCCGCCGAGAATCCGAACCTCCTCCTCCTCTACAAGACTAAAAGACCTGAACTTAACTGAAATTTTTCTACTCACCTAAAAAGAACTGTTCACCTAAAAAGAACTGTTCACCTAAAAGGAACTGTTGGACCTTTTGTGCTGATTTTGGACTTGAGCTCCTATAACCTAAGGTATTTATCCTGCCCGCGCACTATTGTACGGTCTCTCTCTCCGCGTAAACGAAACGCGCACCCGGTCGTTAATTTGGACTAAAAATATTGAATAATAACTCATGTAGTTTATGTATCATATTTTATTCGCTGATGTAAACTTAATTTAGATTATATATAAATAAATGGGTTTTTATGTTTAAAACTTCTGGAGTGCAGTTTCTTCCGTTTGTCTCTCAGTTCTCCATTCCGGGTCCAACCCTCATACCTATCCGCTCGCGCGAACTTGTGGTCTATGTATCGACCGAAGGATACAGTGGTGTCATCCTGACGAGGTATCGAAGAGATACCGACTCTATGGTCACATTCACTTTTGTGCCCAGCCCTTCCAAGTGCCAAAAAAAGACCTCAACAATAATGCCATATATTCATACACAAATAGCCCTACCTGAATGAATAAAATATCAATTATATATAATTATCTAATGAAATAATCAACGATAGTGTATAAAAACTGAATACTATTGAATAGCAGTTTTATTATGTAAGAGTGCTATTCAATAAGTATTCACTCGATGGTCCAATCATTACTGAATAAAGATAAAAAGTTTAAATTTTCTAAATTCTAGACAAAAGATATATTATATATATAATATAATACAGTGGTACCTCAGTATATGTCTGCTTTTAAATACGTCCAATTCGGAATATGTTCTGTTTGGACGAAACAAATTTTGCTCAGTATACGACTTTTGTTCGGTAGACGACATAATTCAATTACACGCACCATCAATGAACAAGTAGCACTATCGGTGTACTAGACCAGACTAGACGTTCGCGGTGCAACGGTTTATAAAACTTTGTTAAATTTCTTCTGATTTTAATTAGTAAGAAAAATTTTATTTTTATTAATCATGAATCGCAAAAAGGCAAATGAAAAGCGACAGAAAACTAAAAAAATGACTAGAATTACAATGGAACTGATAAAAGAAATTGTTGAGAAATACACAGGTGGCATGTGTGTTCGAGATTTTAACTGTTGCCTACCGTATTCCGAGAACGACGATATGGACAATTGTGAAAAATAAAGACATTATTAAATCTGCTAACGTTGTGAAAGTGGTTAAATCAATTTCTAAACAGAGATCAAGAATATCAGATCATGTGAGAAATTGCTTTTGCTTTGGATAACTGAAAAACAGTGCTGGAGACAACGTATCGGAAGAAATTATTTGCGAGAAAGCTAAAAAGATACACGTTGATCTCACGAAAAATCAAGCAGGAACTAGCCAGGACAGCGAGGTGTTTAAAGCCAGCCATTTTTTTACACGAGAACGGATTAATCATTTTTACATTACTTCTTAAGGGAAAGGTTGGTTTGATATACGTCCAATTCAGTATAAGTCTAAACATCAGAAACGGATTAAGGTCATATACCGAGGTTCCACTGTATTAGTATTCTGTTTTTATAATGTGTAATAAATTTAAATCAAAGAAATTGTGATTAACTGAATTAATGATTTAAAGTGGATGTCCAGATAAACGTTTATTTAATGTCAAGTTTTATAAAAACATTATACAGGAAATTCCCTAATTCCAAATTCTTACTATAATGAACAATTGACAATTCCCAGCATATGCTGCATACAAACACATGCATTACACCATATAATGAACAAATTTCAAAATCTTTCGATAAAATTTGCTTTATTTCAACACCTGAAATTTATGTTGCAACAGATTATATCAAATATATATGTTTAAAGAGAGACTGAGGATCTTATCTTAAACTATTAGCATTACAATCTTCAACAATTATGGATAGTTTTAAATAGATGCAGGGCACACAGATCCTACAATTTCTTGCCAATTTAGATAATTTTGAAAAATTTGTGGAAGTTTTTATGCCAATTTCACAACCTTCTTTGCTTATTAAAACATTTATTTTCAACTTTTCATCCCATATCTAAAGATTTTTGACATTAAAAGGTAATGCCTGTTAAAATTAAGTCACAGTTTTAGGCTTAGCAACAAAACAGCAAACTTTTTAATAAGCATTTGAATGATCCTTGACTGACTTCTGCTCAGTCAAGTTCATTCAAATGGTGCTGCAGGTTGTCATACTTATGGGTCATGCCATAAGAATGACAACCTGCAACGCCATTAGAAACAGTTTACAATGGAAGTGTGAAGAAATTAAACATTTTTAGTTTTTCCAACACTTTATTAGCAAAGTTTAATTCTAAATGCATTTTATACTTGCAAATTCATAACTGATCACTTTTTATTCTCCATAAATAGAATTCCTCTTATATCAAACATTCAAAATTCTGGACCCCTCAAATTTGTGAATTAGAAATTTCCTGTATTTCAAAAAATATTAATACTTTATATACATGTATAAAAAATATATAAAGTTAAATTTAATTACTCTAGCTTGTTCTGGAAAAATATGCTGTGAAAATGGCACCACTTCATTCTCAGAAGAAATCATTCCAACAATTTCATCCTCATCCAAAAATTTAAGACGTGCAATACCTTCAAAACATTTCTTCAAATATGGTTGAACTCTTTGTGGTTCATTTGTTTCAGATAATATTTCCAACACTATATCATTTGAAAGGAAGAAAAATCTAAAAATAAAATAAAAAGCTATAAATGTTTCAAATTCATAATTAATTCACATCTATTCAAATAAAGAAAAATTTTAGCACATTAAATTAACTTTTTATTTTTAATTAATGTTTTCTAACCTTGGAAATTGCATTCTTTTCTTTTGGAGATATTCGTTTAATCCCTTTTGTATATCATCTAAAAAGCAATTAGCCTGAATGAACTGTTTCAAAGTTTCTTCCGAGCATACTGGTAATAATAAATTGTTTCTAGCTACCTTAAAAGTAAATAAATATTGTAAGTTTTAAATATATTATAAAATATAATTAAATAGAAAATTGAATGATTGATTTTTAAATTGATTGTTTTAATTAAATTATTATTAAAAAAGCTGAATAATCTATAATTCTCTGATTAGATGCTATTACATACGGAGTGTTTACTTAAACAACTATCCAGGGGAAAAAGTTCCAACATTATACAAGGTATGCATGTTGTGCATGTTTTTTCCAGCACTGAAATAACTGAAAGGAATCAATTTAGCATAACAAATATATAATCTCTAACTGTAAAGGATAAAGACAATACAGTAGAGCATTGGTTAACCGAAAGCATTCCAGTCAGCAAATTTAAATTTTTGCTAGTGCTGTGGTGCTGCAATCTTTGGCTATGTCTTGGGCTATGCCAATATTTTTTTTGTTGGTGTGTGTGTTTTAGCTGGCAGCACTGGCACTTTTGTGTGGTGTTTTTCTGAGGACTGTGTGTTGTGCTGAATCAAACGTTTTTGATACTAGATCAACTTCTAAAGTATAAATTTTTGTTGTTTTTATATTTTTCAATATATTTATTTTGTTTGTAAAAAATAAAGTAATAATTTTTTACGATACAATAGCCACGATTATTATTTTAAAAAGTTTACATTAGGCTTAACATCGATGAAAATTCAACGTGAAGCGACACACAACGAAAAAATTTCAACATGGGATAGGTTAATATATTTTTTCGTCCATAATCGGTTATCTGAAAAATAAGTTATCCAAGCTACCTCAGTTCCCATTGATTCGGATAAACGAGGCTCTACTGTATTTCAGAAACTAATACAAAAAAGTGAGCTTTATTTTGTTGGAGAATATACTCAAAACAATGGTCTTCAGATCTTCAGAGACAATATAAAGATGTAAATGGCATTATGGATGACACATAACATTATTGGTGTCACCATTTCACATGCCTCTAGAATGTGTTTCTCCAGTTCTCCAAAATCATATAGCACTGCTGAATATGCATCCTATACCAATGTTTCAGGTAATCCCACAAAAAAAAACATCAAGAGGGGTCAAGTCTGGGAAATGTGGTGGTGAAAGAACAGGTTCATATTGTCTTATCCACAGTTACCAAACCATTTTGCAAGCTACTGATGCACATCTGTCCAGGAATGAGATGGCACACCATTATGCTGGTACCAAACCTGTTGTAATTGTGACAATGTTAAATCATTAAGCCATTCATCTGCTGTCATGCTTAGGATGTTCAGATGTTGGTAACTGTTCAAAGTGCTGTCAATAAAAATAGAACCAAGAAACTACTCATTCCAAATTTTACATCAGACATTTAGGGTAAAATGCACTTGGTATTCATAGGTTACATGCCTTATGCAGTAGTCTCTGACCAGTGATGTATATTGTGACAGTATTTGTATTTTTTGATTTATTAGAATAAGAATGCTTAAAAGATAGAAGAGGAAAGATAAATAATTAAGCTCCCTATAAGAACACTAAGTCTAATGTCTATCAGATTCTGGCCAAGGACAAGCAATTTAACATTTGCATAAAGTATGTTGGATATGCTTCTCAACTGCTTGAGAAGCGTATCCAACATGATAAACGAACATAAATATGACATATGCACGAAGAGGGCTGCAACAGCACTACTGGCCTTTGCTACAGAGGAAGGTAAGGAAGATAAATAAGATACTTACAAGATCAGCAGTGATATTATTTTGAATTTCATTTACAACAAAAAATTTCTGTGCTTCTTCAGGCATTTGTCTTGTGATGTCTTCTGAACTGAAAATTGGTTCAAGATATATCCAAGAAGACTGACACTAAAAAAAAATATTATAGTTAAAATTTCTCAAATAATAAATTCAAAAAAGAAAACACACAAATTTTATTACAATAAAGCATTTTCTTTAGCTAATAGTATTATAAACAAGTACATGAAAATTTAAATTTCCTTTCTGACTTGTGGAAGATTATTAACCTCTTAACTCTAAAACATTTAATAAAAAATGAAGTAGAATCAAAAATTAAAAGTTGAAAAAACAAACCAGTTTCCAGCAAAGAAAAACACTTTATTATTACTGTAAACTTTCTCCAATTTCCCTCAAAAATCCTTAAATTTTTGGGGGAAGTTTACAGTAATAATAAAGTGTTTCTCTTTGCTGGAAACTGGTTTGTTTTTTCGACCTTTAATTTTTGATTCTACTTCATTTTTTATTAAATGTTTTACAGTTAAGAGGTCAATAATCTTCCACAAGTCAGAAAGGAAAGGAAATTTAAATTTTTGTGTACTTGTTTATAGTACAATTAGCTAAAGATTAGTAATAAGTTCTGACTTCATTGCTTTTTAGAATTTTATTTTTTACATTAAAGCATTTTCTAATGTACTAATAAATTAATAGCTAAGTAATATAAACATTAACATATTAAGTGATTAATGTTAACTTTTTCTTAAGATAAAGTTTAGTAGTCTCCTTAAAGAAAGGAAAACCATGTTTTGTATTTGGATATTGCATTTTGTATCAAAATCTAAAGAATACGTTTCATTTCTCAGTTAGAATTATGCAACACTTATTAGTTTGATTAAATTTAATCTGGGATGTCCTATAAGACTGGAACCAAAGGAGTTATGTTGATCTTTGTTTACCTTTTCAGCATGTAAAGCATGGTGCCACATAAGAAGGAACAAATTCAAGTTATTTAGATAGTGAGAGGTCACCAAAAAATTTAACAGATGCATCCAGACTTCCCAGCAATTTGGATGTAGACTTCTCACTGAGTGTGAGTTCCTATCTCCAAAATAATTTTAATTCATTTTTCCTTACCTGTAAAACAAAGATCGACATACTATAACTCCTATAATTCTAGACTTAAGGAACACACTATGTATACAGCAGGACTTCTCAACAGATATTTACCCCTTAGGGGGTGGATGAAAGCTTGAGAATATTGCTAAAACTTTGCAAATATAAAAAATTTGTTTAAAGATATTTTAAAAGTTTGAACATTTTTTGCTCTTAAATAAATGTAAGACAATGCCTTTTAAAAATTATGTGAGAGGCTATGGCATATAAATTTATTAATACACAGTAAAAGGCTGGGAACCTCTAGTATACAGGGTATCTATAATTAAAGTACACTACTTTAGGCCACAATGGAGACAAAACTGTTAGAGATAGGTCAATGAAATTTTATAAGTATGTTTATCTTGACATGAAAAAATTATGGGCAGTTTCAAAAATAGTTAGAATTTTCACAACAGGGGTCTGTAATAGTGTCATTGTCACAGCAGTATTAAAGAAATTGTTCAATGTGCTTTCCACTGTGAGTCACATATTGCAATCAAGTAATCACACTAATAATAGTCAAGTGCAACACGTCAGGACTAATAAGATTCACTTCCCTTTCAATTAGCATCTTTAGTTCTCATAAATTTTCAACTCTACCTGTATAAACCCTATTTTTGGTTTAGCTCCATAACCAGAAGTCACAAGTTAGGAGATCAGGTGAATGAGCAGATCATTGCTTTCAAAAAACTGACTGATCACCTTTTCATCACCAAATGTGTAAGAAAATATCTCTCTCACAATAACTGCAGTATGGGAGTGCACTTTTAATCATGTGACCCTGATATTTTACACGTAAAATATCAGGGTCACATGATTAAAAGCTTTTACGGTGAGGGGTTTTATGCCGTTTTTACGGTAGTGGAGTCTCGGCCTAAGAAGAGATTTTCCGAAATTCTCCAGCGGAGGAGAGGGAGAGGATTAAGGCTTAACCTGAAGAACGTCTTATACTGTACTATTTTAGATGCGATTTTTTTGTTTTTATAGTAACAACTAATGTTGAGAATCTTAGTGAAGTATCAAGGGGAGAGTTATTTCTATCAAACTGCAAATTCCGCATGGATGAAGCCATGGGTAACAGCTAGTATGCTAATATTCTTACTTATTCTAATATTGAATTATTCTATTTTTTATACTACTTGGTTAATATGATGACAGCTTTTGAATAGAATAAAAATATTTATTGTGTGTTAATTTGGGTGAAATAAAAGAGTGAATTATTTATTAAATTTGTAAACATATCCAGTCTGAAATGAATTTATAATTTTCAAGTTTTAATGATATAAAAATAGAATATGAATTTAATAAAAGAGCTTATGCAATCTGAAAAAAAATTTGAAAATTTTCATGTTTTTCATATAATTAAGGATTTAACAACTTTCAATCAAAATGCCAATTATTTTCATTTACCTTCAGCCAAGCATCCAAGATATCTTGTATAAGTATTAGTGTTGTTTCCCAATTATTTAGTTCTTTTTTTAAAGGTTTTGAAAATGGAGAACCACCAATTGTTTGAATTTTTAAAATATGTTCATCTAAAAGAGCTTGTACATCTTCACATGATGATAATATTTTTCTGTCCTGTAGAAATTTAATTGATAAATAAAATTAGCAAAAAACAGATAAACCTGTGAACTAAATTTGTAATTTAGTTAATAAATCTTTCTTTCAATTGGTAGATACAATATTTCATTTAGATATATACTTGATCCACTTTATAGGTTCTATCCATATCATTTGCTGAAAAATTCACTACAAAGTTTGGTACAGATTTATCTTTTACTTCAATAGTTTGTAACATATTTTGATCTTAAATACCATCTTAAGACAGTTAAAATAACAATTCAAAACCAAACAAATTCGTAAATTTGTTAATTGCTAGTTAGCTTTCGATTGATAATTGCAATGTCAATGCATTGCAAATACTATAAACCAAATGTGATGAATGTAAAATGTATTTAACAAATTGTCTGGATTTAAGACGTTATTTGTCCTGTCTGATGAGGGCATTAAGACCAAACCACATCGTAACTTATTGTCTGATGAGGGCATTAAGACCAAACCACATCATAACTTATTGAAATAAAATACAAATTTGTACCATATTTTCATGGAGTAACTGGCATGCCACACAAAAAATGGGGAGGCCAGCATGTTAATTGATATAAGCTGAGATAATTTACAGCGAATTTCTTAACTTTAATATGTTTATTTTTGTGGTTTTGAATCAAATAACAATAAAATATACATAAAAAAAGCACTTTCAGAATTCCAGAAGTATATTTTACATCCTTAGAAAGAAGAAAAAATGAAGAAATTAAACATAACATAATTATAGCTTTTGATGTAATGCTGACAGTTTCACACAGTTTTAGTATATAACTCATTTGTTTTTTTTTAATGTGCCCTCTAGAGAGAGATGTATTCAATATAACCTCACTTAAAAGCAGCATGTCAGCTTTTATCATATGGAAAATCTGATTTCATGGTTGCCCAGATAGACTGGCATGCCAATCATTCTGCAAAAATACAATACCAGACTTCATATGTGAATTTTTTTGGAAAATTATTCAGATAAGGTAAGGTCATGTAAGATAGTTCAAATATATATAATAATTTTTATTTAAGATTTTTTTATATACAAAATTTATTATTCAATATACTTACCGTATCTCTATATGGGATAAGCTCAAGTTTTAAATTGCTCCATTCATTTTTCATGTTGCTCACAGTAGTTTCAAAAGAAAATTCTTTACTTGCTGATGCAGCTATTTCTTCTATTCTGTAAAATTAATCAGGTCTTTAAATTTATAAAATTTAATCTTATTTCAAATTTACGTAACACATTTACTTAATATGATTTTATTAATTAAATATCTTTTAGATATTTCTTACAATCTTACCAAAATGAATTCAAAATAATTTCACTATCGTCCAAAAATATTTATATACTTAATTATGATTAATGCCATTATGACCAAATGACTAATATAATGTAGGCATTAGCATTAGACTACTGTTCTGAAAAGCCTATCTCACTAAATTTCTGTGGATCTAACTTGAAACTTGAGTGTGAAATTCAAGCAATGACCTCTGTCACTACTATGAAAAAATGTAACTTTACAGCTAAAGGTTATTCCTATAGCATCAACAACTACAACAAAATATATAAAGGAAATGAATTTCCAGAAGAAAATCAACAATTTGTCACGTAATACAATTAACCATTTAGTATTGGTTAAAAATAAACTGGTCTTTCTGTTTTGATTAAATAAGCCAATAGTAAAACCAAGTGAATAGTTTGTTTACAGGGAGAGATTTCTGTTCTATACGAGTGTCTAAAGATAAGAAAGCATGGGAAGAAGACCATCCACAAGGACAAATCTGAAGATGCCAAACTGCCCAAAGGCTTGGACAATGATACCATTGTCCTGATACATGATTGCATATAAGATTATTTGAGGGTATCTAATAACTTTTTTCATGAAACAGTAATATAGTTACTCGCAAATCACACTTAAATTCAAAATTTCCATCAAATAAACGTCAAAAATACACATCAAACGTTTTCGACCACTAAATTTATCGGCCTTCCTCAGGAAATACAAACTGGAAAAACCATTCTATATTATTTTGTAATATAGTTACCAAAATATGTGTAATAAAACATAATAATACAATATAAATGAAACTATATATTTATTCTATATATATACAGCATATTAAAAGCAAAATGTTCTGTCACCTCAACTGAAACCAACACTTTACAAAGTGCTATAAGTAGAGACTCAACTTTGTCTGGATGTAATATAACCAAATCAATCAATACAGAAAGTATTTAATATTTTGGAAATTGATTTCAATATAAATTTTAATTTTAATTAATTAATTAATTTTGATTTTATTTTTAATTTTAGTTTTAGTTTTGGTGTAAAGATCAGAGTTTCCATTATTATTTTATTATTTTTAGTTTTAATTAACTGGTTACCTAGTATTAATAAATTTTTGTTATTTAATTTAACTTAAGCATATTTATACACGAATTCTTAGATGCCATTTTATTATGTAAATCTCAATTAACATGGTTTATATTAATTAATTAGATTTTGATTTGACTGTGGTGCATATGGAAAACAGAAATAGTATCTTTTCTACATGTGCATTGAAATCTAATTTGAATAATGTCATCAATGGTTTGTATCATGATCACTAATGATGTGAGGTGATCTCAGTACTAATAACTTCTGAATTGGTAGTCCTTTGGTTGATTAGTCGAGCCTTGACTTTCTTTAACACAGGAACTATAGTGAGTTGACTGCCTGTGACTTGTAATCTGTGACCAGCTCCTGCTAAGTAGCTTGTTTGGCAGCCAAGTTATCATATGGCATTCAAAATTTTGTTCAGGAATCAAATTGTTTGAAAAGTGAGGCATTTGAAAACTCAGATTTGACTGTATCTTGCACAAAACGATTCTGATAGCTTAACACTGCATTGAGTAATAACAATCCATGAAACCTTTTTATAACAGTGTTGTCTCCGTAACGGTTGTCTCGGTGGAGGTCGAAAATGTTTGTGAAGTTTGTTACAGAGACAACACTGTTATAAAAAGGTTTCGTGGATTGTTATGACTGTATCTTGTTTTCTAATTCATAATTTTTTAATAAACTAAGCACTATTTCCTTTTTCTGCTTCAATATTTTGAATAACTCCAACAATTCAGGAAACAGTGAGTGTGAACAGCTACTAGACATCATGTTTGTCATTAAAAAACCACATTGGAAATATTCTAGACTTGTCAATAGATTTCATTAGCTGTCTGTAAAGTTTTAAGTTTGCCTGTAAACATACAAGTATACTGTAATGAGACAAACTTGAAGAATTGTACATGCTTACTCTGCTCACCATGTGTATCATATATATTTATAGGAATATTCATCAAGAGATTAACACAAAAGTTTTGACAGAAAATATTCAAAATTAATGAGTTAAAAGTAATATTAAATTTTTATAATCAATAAAAGGATTCATTCTTTAAAAATAAAATTATTTTAATTAAAACATATTTAAAATTGTGAATTTTCTTATATTGTGAATTTTGCACACTTACTTTGAAATGTGATTTCCTAATTCAAGTTGAACCATATCAGATAGTGAAGTTTTCTCAGATGGAAGAATTGATTTACCAATTATAAGGCCAATCTAATAAATTTTACAATATCAAATTAATTATAATCAATCCAAGTTGTTGTTTTTTTATTTTAAATAATTATATAGTGAGTGATCAGTTAACGAACATAATCTGTTCAAAGACAATGTTCTCTACCCGAATTGTTCATTAACCAATTATTAATTTACCATAGATTTTTATGGGAATTTGATTAATTTGTTCTGGAGACGCCAAAAAAAATAAATAAAAAATTATATAATTTTTTACTATGTTTATTTACATGTAATAACAAACTAAAAGCAATCTCTCCATTTTTCCATTGATGGAGAAATGAGAAACAAAATCATATTTTTGTTTCTCAGATGTGATTTTTGTTACTCATTCATCTGCTTGAGTCTTTTTGATTATATCATTCTTTAGCTAAGATTGTATCTACTGTAGATTTGTTGAAGCCATACTGCCTAGAAACATCAGACATCTTCTGCCCATTCTCTACCTTGGCTATTATCTCTTGCTTAGTTTATGTAATGAGCTCAGTTCTTAACATGCCACTCTTTTTAAGCTCCATAATATTATCAGTTTTTTAAAATAAAAAGTTTAAAAAAAGCACTTGCAAAAATTCAGATAACAGAAATCAACTAGTGCAAAAAAGGTTATGTATGCAACTGTGAAAATCTCATTCCATAAACCATTCATAGATTCTAGTAAAATATAATTTTGCAAATCTTAAATGCACCATGCTTCTTCTTGTGTTTGTTCTGTGAGGTGTTTGTTATCCAAACGTGTTTGTTGTCCAAACATAAAAATCTTTCACGAGAGTGTTCATTGTCTGATTTGTTCGCAGTCCAAACCATTCATTAACCGATCACCCATTGTACTTTAAAATTTATATTTGAAAATGAGAAATTTTATTGTTTTAATTATATTCAATATCATTCTATTTTATTGAATGTCTTTTTGTTTTGAAGATGTCATATAATTTGACTAAATATATTTCATTTATTTATGCTTTCAGCTTATTAAACTAAATAGTTATCTCATTTATGTATCTACTAATTATTAAGCACTTTATATTTATTTAATTTATAAAAATTACCTTTGCCCAATGTCTAATTTTCATACCAGGATTACAAACAACTTTCAGTAAGGGTACATGATGATGAAATTCAGAGTATTTCTTTTTTAAATATGTTGTAATGTGTTTCGGTGCTGAATTATCTTCAAATATATCTTTCAAATAAGTCAGGGACTCATTAATCTTTTCCATGCTCTCATCAATTTCTTCAGTATTTAGATCATTAAACGGACCTATATTAAAATTTACAATATTTTTCAGTTATGAAATATTAAAAATAAGTGATAGAATTTAATATAGTCAAATATTATTATTATATTTATTAAATAAATTAATTTTGATTTCTTTGATAATCAATAATGAGGATAATATATAAATAAAATAATCAGATTTAATTGCAATTGTTTTTAAAATAAATAAATTAATTAAAGTGAATTTTTTGTAAAAGGTATATTTTTGCCAGAGATTGTTTATGTAATATTGTAAATAAATCACAATTTTCTTAACATATTTCAACAATTATTATTTTGAAATTTAAAAAAAATGCAGTGTAGATAAATATTAGATAGGCTATTTTATGATTAAATTTGTTCTTTTTTAATAATTATTTTTCTATTAATGAATACTTTGCTAAAGAATATTTTTATTAAAATAACTACATTACCATTAAACCACTTTTCAAACTTTGTTGTAAAATCATAAGCTGTATGCCAGAGTTGACTATAAGGCTGAATTTGTTCTGTGAGTTCATATAGTAATGGTTCTTTTGTGCAAACCCATCCTAATAATCTTTCTTCTTCATTTATTTTCTAAATTGATACATTAAATTAAAGTTAAGAATTCAACATTAATCTTCCATTCTTCATAAATAATCACACCAGTTACTACTTTAATTTCCAAAAACATTTTTATATAGTCCATTGTACTTTCAAACTTTAAGGAAATAAAGCAGGAACAGGTGTAAAAATTAAAAGTAATGCATTAATTAATGAAAATAAGTCAAAATATTCATGTAACAGTTAAATCAGAAATCCTAATTAAAAGTTTATATGATATTAACAAACTTTTATAATTATTTTAATGAAAACTTTAAATTTATAATAAACCTAATTTTTAAATATTATTGTAATAGTATTATATTCAAATATATTATTATATTTGAAAATCGTACTATATTATCAGCTAGCTATCTAGCTGACAAAACATTTACACAGAAAGGTGTCAAGTCTATTGCTATGAAAAAACTGGGTTGGAATTTAATCCAGATCCCTATTATCTGTCAAGAGTTGTCTAAGTCAAAGCATCATTCTCCAACTCTGATCCATGCTAATCCACCCCATCATGGATCAGACTCACTTATAACAAAAGAAATTATGATCATCCATATTGTATTACTATGCCATTCTTTGNATCTTCAAATATATCTTTCAAATAAGTCAGGGACTCATTAATCTTTTCCATGCTCTCATCAATTTCTTCAGTATTTAGATCATTAAACGGACCTATATTAAAATTTACAATATTTTTCAGTTATGAAATATTAAAAATAAGTGATAGAATTTAATATAGTCAAATATTATTATTATATTTATTAAATAAATTAATTTTGATTTCTTTGATAATCAATAATGAGGATAATATATAAATAAAATAATCAGATTTAATTGCAATTGTTTTTAAAATAAATAAATTAATTAAAGTGAATTTTTTGTAAAAGGTATATTTTTGCCAGAGATTGTTTATGTAATATTGTAAATAAATCACAATTTTCTTAACATATTTCAACAATTATTATTTTGAAATTTAAAAAAAATGCAGTGTAGATAAATATTAGATAGGCTATTTTATGATTAAATTTGTTCTTTTTTAATAATTATTTTTCTATTAATGAATACTTTGCTAAAGAATATTTTTATTAAAATAACTACATTACCATTAAACCACTTTTCAAACTTTGTTGTAAAATCATAAGCTGTATGCCAGAGTTGACTATAAGGCTGAATTTGTTCTGTGAGTTCATATAGTAATGGTTCTTTTGTGCAAACCCATCCTAATAATCTTTCTTCTTCATTTATTTTCTAAATTGATACATTAAATTAAAGTTAAGAATTCAACATTAATCTTCCATTCTTCATAAATAATCACACCAGTTACTACTTTAATTTCCAAAAACATTTTTATATAGTCCATTGTACTTTCAAACTTTAAGGAAATAAAGCAGGAACAGGTGTAAAAATTAAAAGTAATGCATTAATTAATGAAAATAAGTCAAAATATTCATGTAACAGTTAAATCAGAAATCCTAATTAAAAGTTTATATGATATTAACAAACTTTTATAATTATTTTAATGAAAACTTTAAATTTATAATAAACCTAATTTTTAAATATTATTGTAATAGTATTATATTCAAATATATTATTATATTTGAAAATCGTACTATATTATCAGCTAGCTATCTAGCTGACAAAACATTTACACAGAAAGGTGTCAAGTCTATTGCTATGAAAAAACTGGGTTGGAATTTAATCCAGATCCCTATTATCTGTCAAGAGTTGTCTAAGTCAAAGCATCATTCTCCAACTCTGATCCATGCTAATCCACCCCATCATGGATCAGACTCACTTATAACAAAAGAAATTATGATCATCCATATTGTATTACTATGCCATTCTTTGTACTAACAAATCAATTAATCAATTGTATTAGTAATTTTATGTTATGTGTAAATTTAAGATGATGTATTCAATATTTATAATATAATATTCTATTGTTTATATTTTAAATATATTTATTATTATATGTTTTAATGATTAACTACCAAACATTCACATAAGAGATTTATTCCCATGTGAAAACCTATTATTTATCTCCTAAATACTAAAAGTCATTTAAGATTGGATGGAAACTGACTGGTCATCTAGCTAATTGGATGTCACAAACAGAAAAAAATGAAAAGAGGCCTATCTGACAGTACTGATCTGAATTGTCAAACCACTGACAAATGGTAATGCATATTAGACTCCTGAAGATATACCTAATGTCTGATTGTAACTCTGTCTTACTCCACAAGGTGATAACATAGTAGAGATAGTGTGTAACTAAAAATTGTAATAAATAAACTTTTCTTTCAACGTCAGTAGAGCAACAGCTGAGTGTAATTACTCTCCATCTGCATCCATGTGACATGACACCATCACTAAGGCAATATCAAAAATTAAAGTGAGGTATGCAAACTAGCCACCACTTGGGCCAAAGTTATTTGACAATGAAATCAGGACTATAACCAAACAATACTCTTTCATATTATTAAAGCAATTGATATAATATATTAAAAATCTGATTTTGTTTTGAATAAAATACATTTTTTAAATGCACCATGCTTCTTCTTGTGTTTGTTCTGTGAGGTGTTTGTTATCCAAACGTGTTTGTTGTCCAAACATAAAAATCTTTCACGAGAGTGTTCATTGTCTGATTTGTTCGCAGTCCAAACCATTCATTAACCGATCACCCATTGTACTTTAAAAATTTATATTTGAAAATGAGAAATTTTATTGTTTTAATTATATTCAATATCATTCTATTTTATTGAATGTCTTTTTGTTTTGAAGATGTCATATAATTTGACTAAATATATTTCATTTATTTATGCTTTCAGCTTATTAAACTAAATAGTTATCTCATTTATGTATCTACTAATTATTAAGCACTTTATATTTATTTAATTTATAAAAATTACCTTTGCCCAATGTCTAATTTTCATACCAGGATTACAAACAACTTTCAGTAAGGGTACATGATGATGAAATTCAGAGTATTTCTTTTTTAAATATGTTGTAATGTGTTTCGGTGCTGAATTATCTTCAAATATATCTTTCAAATAAGTCAGGGACTCATTAATCTTTTCCATGCTCTCATCAATTTCTTCAGTATTTAGATCATTAAACGGACCTATATTAAAATTTACAATATTTTTCAGTTATGAAATATTAAAAATAAGTGATAGAATTTAATATAGTCAAATATTATTATTATATTTATTAAATAAATTAATTTTGATTTCTTTGATAATCAATAATGAGGATAATATATAAATAAAATAATCAGATTTAATTGCAATTGTTTTTAAAATAAATAAATTAATTAAAGTGAATTTTTTGTAAAAGGTATATTTTTGCCAGAGATNCTGCAAATTCCACATGGATGAAGCCATGGGTAACAGCTAGTATGCTAATATTCTTACTTATTCTAATATTGAATTATTCTATTTTTTATACTACTTGGTTAATATGATGACAGCTTTTGAATAGAATAAAAATATTTATTGTGTGTTAATTTGGGTGAAATAAAAGAGTGAATTATTTATTAAATTTGTAAACATATCCAGTCTGAAATGAATTTATAATTTTCAAGTTTTAATGATATAAAAATAGAATATGAATTTAATAAAAGAGCTTATGCAATCTGAAAAAAAATTTGAAAATTTTCATGTTTTTCATATAATTAAGGATTTAACAACTTTCAATCAAAATGCCAATTATTTTCATTTACCTTCAGCCAAGCATCCAAGATATCTTGTATAAGTATTAGTGTTGTTTCCCAATTATTTAGTTCTTTTTTTAAAGGTTTTGAAAATGGAGAACCACCAATTGTTTGAATTTTTAAAATATGTTCATCTAAAAGAGCTTGTACATCTTCACATGATGATAATATTTTTCTGTCCTGTAGAAATTTAATTGATAAATAAAATTAGCAAAAAACAGATAAACCTGTGAACTAAATTTGTAATTTAGTTAATAAATCTTTCTTTCAATTGGTAGATACAATATTTCATTTAGATATATACTTGATCCACTTTATAGGTTCTATCCATATCATTTGCTGAAAAATTCACTACAAAGTTTGGTACAGATTTATCTTTTACTTCAATAGTTTGTAACATATTTTGATCTTAAATACCATCTTAAGACAGTTAAAATAACAATTCAAAACCAAACAAATTCGTAAATTTGTTAATTGCTAGTTAGCTTTCGATTGATAATTGCAATGTCAATGCATTGCAAATACTATAAACCAAATGTGATGAATGTAAAATGTATTTAACAAATTGTCTGGATTTAAGACGTTATTTGTCCTGTCTGATGAGGGCATTAAGACCAAACCACATCGTAACTTATTGTCTGATGAGGGCATTAAGACCAAACCACATCATAACTTATTGAAATAAAATACAAATTTGTACCATATTTTCATGGAGTAACTGGCATGCCACACAAAAAATGGGGAGGCCAGCATGTTAATTGATATAAGCTGAGATAATTTACAGCGAATTTCTTAACTTTAATATGTTTATTTTTGTGGTTTTGAATCAAATAACAATAAAATATACATAAAAAAAGCACTTTCAGAATTCCAGAAGTATATTTTACATCCTTAGAAAGAAGAAAAAATGAAGAAATTAAACATAACATAATTATAGCTTTTGATGTAATGCTGACAGTTTCACACAGTTTTAGTATATAACTCATTTTTTTTTTTTAATGTGCCCTCTAGAGAGAGATGTATTCAATATAACCTCACTTAAAAGCAGCATGTCAGCTTTTATCATATGGAAAATCTGATTTCATGGTTGCCCAGATAGACTGGCATGCCAATCATTCTGCAAAAATACAATACCAGACTTCATATGTGAATTTTTTTGGAAAATTATTCAGATAAGGTAAGGTCATGTAAGATAGTTCAAATATATATAATAATTTTTATTTAAGATTTTTTTATATACAAAATTTATTATTCAATATACACATCATAACTTATTGAAATAAAATACAAATTTGTACCATATTTTCATGGAGTAACTGGCATGCCACTTCAAAGTGCTGTCAATAAAAATAGAACCAAGAAACTACTCATTCCAAATTTTACATCAGACATTTAGGGTAAAATGCACTTGGTATTCATAGGTTACATGCCTTATGCAGTAGTCTCTGACCAGTGATGTATATTGTGACAGTATTTGTATTTTTTGATTTATTAGAATAAGAATGCTTAAAAGATAGAAGAGGAAAGATAAATAATTAAGCTCCCTATAAGAACACTAAGTCTAATGTCTATCAGATTCTGGCCAAGGACAAGCAATTTAACATTTGCATAAAGTATGTTGGATATGCTTCTCAACTGCTTGAGAAGCGTATCCAACATGATAAACGAACATAAATATGACATATGCACGAAGAGGGCTGCAACAGCACTACTGGCCTTTGCTACAGAGGAAGGTAAGGAAGATAAATAAGATACTTACAAGATCAGCAGTGATATTATTTTGAATTTCATTTACAACAAAAAATTTCTGTGCTTCTTCAGGCATTTGTCTTGTGATGTCTTCTGAACTGAAAATTGGTTCAAGATATATCCAAGAAGACTGACACTAAAAAAAAATATTATAGTTAAAATTTCTCAAATAATAAATTCAAAAAAGAAAACACACAAATTTTATTACAATAAAGCATTTTCTTTAGCTAATAGTATTATAAACAAGTACATGAAAATTTAAATTTCCTTTCTGACTTGTGGAAGATTATTAACCTCTTAACTCTAAAACATTTAATAAAAAATGAAGTAGAATCAAAAATTAAAAGTTGAAAAAACAAACCAGTTTCCAGCAAAGAAAAACACTTTATTATTACTGTAAACTTTCTCCAATTTCCCTCAAAAATCCTTAAATTTTTGGGGGAAGTTTACAGTAATAATAAAGTGTTTCTCTTTGCTGGAAACTGGTTTGTTTTTTCGACCTTTAATTTTTGATTCTACTTCATTTTTTATTAAATGTTTTACAGTTAAGAGGTCAATAATCTTCCACAAGTCAGAAAGGAAAGGAAATTTAAATTTTTGTGTACTTGTTTATAGTACAATTAGCTAAAGATTAGTAATAAGTTCTGACTTCATTGCTTTTTAGAATTTTATTTTTTACATTAAAGCATTTTCTAATGTACTAATAAATTAATAGCTAAGTAATATAAACATTAACATATTAAGTGATTAATGTTAACTTTTTCTTAAGATAAAGTTTAGTAGTCTCCTTAAAGAAAGGAAAACCATGTTTTGTATTTGGATATTGCATTTTGTATCAAAATCTAAAGAATACGTTTCATTTCTCAGTTAGAATTATGCAACACTTATTAGTTTGACTAAATTTAATCTGGGATGTCCTATAAGACTGGAACCAAAGGAGTTATGTTGATCTTTGTTTACCTTTTCAGCATGTAAAGCATGGTGCCACATAAGAAGGAACAAATTCAAGTTATTTAGATAGTGAGAGGTCACCAAAAAATTTAACAGATGCATCCAGACTTCCCAGCAATTTGGATGTAGACTTCTCACTGAGTGTGAGTTCCTATCTCCAAAATAATTTTAATTCATTTTTCCTTACCTGTAAAACAAAGATCGACATACTATAACTCCTATAATTCTAGACTTAAGGAACACACTATGTATACAGCAGGACTTCTCAACAGATATTTACCCCTTAGGGGGTGGATGAAAGCTTGAGAATATTGCTAAAACTTTGCAAATATAAAAAATTTGTTTAAAGATATTTTAAAAGTTTGAACATTTTTTGCTCTTAAATAAATGTAAGACAATGCCTTTTAAAAATTATGTGAGAGGCTATGGCATATAAATTTATTAATACACAGTAAAAGGCTGGGAACCTCTAGTATACAGGGTATCTATAATTAAAGTACACTACTTTAGGCCACAATGGAGACAAAACTGTTAGAGATAGGTCAATGAAATTTTATAAGTATGTTTATCTTGACATGAAAAAATTATGGGCAGTTTCAAAAATAGTTAGAATTTTCACAACAGGGGTCTGTAATAGTGTCATTGTCACAGCAGTATTAAAGAAATTGTTCAATGTGCTTTCCACTGTGAGTCACATATTGCAATCAAGTAATCACACTAATAATAGTCAAGTGCAACACGTCAGGACTAATAAGATTCACTTCCCTTTCAATTAGCATCTTTAGTTCTCATAAATTTTCAACTCTACCTGTATAAACCCTATTTTTGGTTTAGCTCCATAACCAGAAGTCACAAGTTAGGAGATCAGGTGAATGAGCAGATCATTGCTTTCAAAAAACTGACTGATCACCTTTTCATCACCAAATGTGTAAGAAAATATCTCTCTCACAATAACTGCAGTATGGGAGTGCACTTTTAATCATGTGACCCTGATATTTTACACGTAAAATATCAGGGTCACATGATTAAAAGCTTTTACGGTGAGGGGTTTTATGCCGTTTTTACGGTAGTGGAGTCTCGGCCTAAGAAGAGATTTTCCGAAATTCTCCAGCGGAGGAGAGGGAGAGGATTAAGGCTTAACCTGAAGAACGTCTTATACTGTACTATTTTAGATGCGATTTTTTTGTTTTTATAGTAACAACTAATGTTGAGAATCTTAGTGAAGTATCAAGGGGAGAGTTATTTCTATCAAACTGCAAATTCCACATGGATGAAGCCATGGGTAACAGCTAGTATGCTAATATTCTTACTTATTCTAATATTGAATTATTCTATTTTTTATACTACTTGGTTAATATGATGACAGCTTTTGAATAGAATAAAAATATTTATTGTGTGTTAATTTGGGTGAAATAAAAGAGTGAATTATTTATTAAATTTGTAAACATATCCAGTCTGAAATGAATTTATAATTTTCAAGTTTTAATGATATAAAAATAGAATATGAATTTAATAAAAGAGCTTATGCAATCTGAAAAAAAATTTGAAAATTTTCATGTTTTTCATATAATTAAGGATTTAACAACTTTCAATCAAAATGCCAATTATTTTCATTTACCTTCAGCCAAGCATCCAAGATATCTTGTATAAGTATTAGTGTTGTTTCCCAATTATTTAGTTCTTTTTTTAAAGGTTTTGAAAATGGAGAACCACCAATTGTTTGAATTTTTAAAATATGTTCATCTAAAAGAGCTTGTACATCTTCACATGATGATAATATTTTTCTGTCCTGTAGAAATTTAATTGATAAATAAAATTAGCAAAAAACAGATAAACCTGTGAACTAAATTTGTAATTTAGTTAATAAATCTTTCTTTCAATTGGTAGATACAATATTTCATTTAGATATATACTTGATCCACTTTATAGGTTCTATCCATATCATTTGCTGAAAAATTCACTACAAAGTTTGGTACAGATTTATCTTTTACTTCAATAGTTTGTAACATATTTTGATCTTAAATACCATCTTAAGACAGTTAAAATAACAATTCAAAACCAAACAAATTCGTAAATTTGTTAATTGCTAGTTAGCTTTCGATTGATAATTGCAATGTCAATGCATTGCAAATACTATAAACCAAATGTGATGAATGTAAAATGTATTTAACAAATTGTCTGGATTTAAGACGTTATTTGTCCTGTCTGATGAGGGCATTAAGACCAAACCACATCGTAACTTATTGTCTGATGAGGGCATTAAGACCAAACCACATCATAACTTATTGAAATAAAATACAAATTTGTACCATATTTTCATGGAGTAACTGGCATGCCACACAAAAAATGGGGAGGCCAGCATGTTAATTGATATAAGCTGAGATAATTTACAGCGAATTTCTTAACTTTAATATGTTTATTTTTGTGGTTTTGAATCAAATAACAATAAAATATACATAAAAAAAGCACTTTCAGAATTCCAGAAGTATATTTTACATCCTTAGAAAGAAGAAAAAATGAAGAAATTAAACATAACATAATTATAGCTTTTGATGTAATGCTGACAGTTTCACACAGTTTTAGTATATAACTCATTTGTTTTTTTTTAATGTGCCCTCTAGAGAGAGATGTATTCAATATAACCTCACTTAAAAGCAGCATGTCAGCTTTTATCATATGNGTTAACGAACATAATCTGTTCAAAGACAATGTTCTCTACCCGAATTGTTCATTAACCAATTATTAATTTACCATAGATTTTTATGGGAATTTGATTAATTTGTTCTGGAGACGCCAAAAAAAATAAATAAAAAATTATATAATTTTTTACTATGTTTATTTACATGTAATAACAAACTAAAAGCAATCTCTCCATTTTTCCATTGATGGAGAAATGAGAAACAAAATCATATTTTTGTTTCTCAGATGTGATTTTTGTTACTCATTCATCTGCTTGAGTCTTTTTGATTATATCATTCTTTAGCTAAGATTGTATCTACTGTAGATTTGTTGAAGCCATACTGCCTAGAAACATCAGACATCTTCTGCCCATTCTCTACCTTGGCTATTATCTCTTGCTTAGTTTATGTAATGAGCTCAGTTCTTAACATGCCACTCTTTTTAAGCTCCATAATATTATCAGTTTTTTAAAATAAAAAGTTTAAAAAAAGCACTTGCAAAAATTCAGATAACAGAAATCAACTAGTGCAAAAAAGGTTATGTATGCAACTGTGAAAATCTCATTCCATAAACCATTCATAGATTCTAGTAAAATATAATTTTGCAAATCTTAAATGCACCATGCTTCTTCTTGTGTTTGTTCTGTGAGGTGTTTGTTATCCAAACGTGTTTGTTGTCCAAACATAAAAATCTTTCACGAGAGTGTTCATTGTCTGATTTGTTCGCAGTCCAAACCATTCATTAACCGATCACCCATTGTACTTTAAAATTTATATTTGAAAATGAGAAATTTTATTGTTTTAATTATATTCAATATCATTCTATTTTATTGAATGTCTTTTTGTTTTGAAGATGTCATATAATTTGACTAAATATATTTCATTTATTTATGCTTTCAGCTTATTAAACTAAATAGTTATCTCATTTATGTATCTACTAATTATTAAGCACTTTATATTTATTTAATTTATAAAAATTACCTTTGCCCAATGTCTAATTTTCATACCAGGATTACAAACAACTTTCAGTAAGGGTACATGATGATGAAATTCAGAGTATTTCTTTTTTAAATATGTTGTAATGTGTTTCGGTGCTGAATTATCTTCAAATATATCTTTCAAATAAGTCAGGGACTCATTAATCTTTTCCATGCTCTCATCAATTTCTTCAGTATTTAGATCATTAAACGGACCTATATTAAAATTTACAATATTTTTCAGTTATGAAATATTAAAAATAAGTGATAGAATTTAATATAGTCAAATATTATTATTATATTTATTAAATAAATTAATTTTGATTTCTTTGATAATCAATAATGAGGATAATATATAAATAAAATAATCAGATTTAATTGCAATTGTTTTTAAAATAAATAAATTAATTAAAGTGAATTTTTTGTAAAAGGTATATTTTTGCCAGAGATTGTTTATGTAATATTGTAAATAAATCACAATTTTCTTAACATATTTCAACAATTATTATTTTGAAATTTAAAAAAAATGCAGTGTAGATAAATATTAGATAGGCTATTTTATGATTAAATTTGTTCTTTTTTAATAATTATTTTTCTATTAATGAATACTTTGCTAAAGAATATTTTTATTAAAATAACTACATTACCATTAAACCACTTTTCAAACTTTGTTGTAAAATCATAAGCTGTATGCCAGAGTTGACTATAAGGCTGAATTTGTTCTGTGAGTTCATATAGTAATGGTTCTTTTGTGCAAACCCATCCTAATAATCTTTCTTCTTCATTTATTTTCTAAATTGATACATTAAATTAAAGTTAAGAATTCAACATTAATCTTCCATTCTTCATAAATAATCACACCAGTTACTACTTTAATTTCCAAAAACATTTTTATATAGTCCATTGTACTTTCAAACTTTAAGGAAATAAAGCAGGAACAGGTGTAAAAATTAAAAGTAATGCATTAATTAATGAAAATAAGTCAAAATATTCATGTAACAGTTAAATCAGAAATCCTAATTAAAAGTTTATATGATATTAACAAACTTTTATAATTATTTTAATGAAAACTTTAAATTTATAATAAACCTAATTTTTAAATATTATTGTAATAGTATTATATTCAAATATATTATTATATTTGAAAATCGTACTATATTATCAGCTAGCTATCTAGCTGACAAAACATTTACACAGAAAGGTGTCAAGTCTATTGCTATGAAAAAACTGGGTTGGAATTTAATCCAGATCCCTATTATCTGTCAAGAGTTGTCTAAGTCAAAGCATCATTCTCCAACTCTGATCCATGCTAATCCACCCCATCATGGATCAGACTCACTTATAACAAAAGAAATTATGATCATCCATATTGTATTACTATGCCATTCTTTGTACTAACAAATCAATTAATCAATTGTATTAGTAATTTTATGTTATGTGTAAATTTAAGATGATGTATTCAATATTTATAATATAATATTCTATTGTTTATATTTTAAATATATTTATTATTATATGTTTTAATGATTAACTACCAAACATTCACATAAGAGATTTATTCCCATGTGAAAACCTATTATTTATCTCCTAAATACTAAAAGTCATTTAAGATTGGATGGAAACTGACTGGTCATCTAGCTAATTGGATGTCACAAACAGAAAAAAATGAAAAGAGGCCTATCTGACAGTACTGATCTGAATTGTCAAACCACTGACAAATGGTAATGCATATTAGACTCCTGAAGATATACCTAATGTCTGATTGTAACTCTGTCTTACTCCACAAGGTGATAACATAGTAGAGATAGTGTGTAACTAAAAATTGTAATAAATAAACTTTTCTTTCAACGTCAGTAGAGCAACAGCTGAGTGTAATTACTCTCCATCTGCATCCATGTGACATGACACCATCACTAAGGCAATATCAAAAATTAAAGTGAGGTATGCAAACTAGCCACCACTTGGGCCAAAGTTATTTGACAATGAAATCAGGACTATAACCAAACAATACTCTTTCATATTATTAAAGCAATTGATATAATATATTAAAAATCTGATTTTGTTTTGAATAAAATACATTTTTTTGTCTAAATCTTAGTTTTTTTAAGTGTACATATGATTCATTACTCAAGTTTATACTGAAAATATTATTAATAAATGAAATGTAGTAATTGTTGAAATTCTAAATATTAAATTATTAATATTGATAATTTATTGTTTATAAATGTACTTACATTAAATATTGTAAATTGTTTTATTTTGTACTATAAATTAGCATTATTAAAATTTGTATCATCAAAAAGCAAAGATTTTTTTATCTATATTAAACAAATATATTAGATTTTTAATGTATAAATAAAACTAGCAGATGAGCCTGGCTATGCTCAAGCAAAACATAACAACAGCAAAGATTAAGATTATTAGCTTATTTCGTACTTCTAACATTTTTATTATATTATAATATTTGATTTATATTTACAAAGGTTATCTTATGTAAGAGTTTATCATACCAAGTGACCAATCTAATACATTTTAAAAATTCTTTAAATTGTACTACAGTAGAGGAAGAAAATTTTTTAAATGTGTTAGATTGATAAACTTTTGTAAGATAACTTTTGTAGTTATATAAATCAAATACTATGATATACCAAATATTAAAAAGAAAACCATATAAAGAGTTTGGTTATTTCAGCCTACCATTGTCACATTTATTGCAATACTTGGTCAGTATGAAATGGCACAATTTCATTGGTCAAGTAGATAGACACCAATTGAAAATACGATATCTTAAAAAATTTAAGATAGCATATTTTTTCCTAATGTTAATGCTAAGAAACAGTACTATTTACATCTGAATATCAAACAGTAATCTGCCAACAAATCGAATTTTGCAAAAAATGGACCAAATATTTAAACTTGGTACCTTTGAAAACCACTTAAATCATATTTTGTGCTGGCTGGTAACTTTGTATTATGTAATTTTCTTATTCAAATTCCATCATACAGTTGATCCAATAGAAATAAGGGACTGTTGTGGAAGGGGCTCAAAGTAATTCAACTGATAATAGTCATTGATCTCCTCCCAGAAAAAAAAATGGTCAATGACTACTAATTAATACTGATCTACTATTAATATTTAAAAAGTGATCTGTGTTAGACAGGTTATAATGACCCTGCATGTGATCAAAGTTGCTAACCTTACTGTCTGAAAGACTTCATATAAAACTTGTTTAAATAAAAAAAATCTTGTAAAATTGCTAGAATAATTCTTTATGTGATAATAAAGTGTTTAAGTGTTGGCAAAAGATTGTATAACTTACATGGAAAGTATGTTCTTGTAAATATTGCATTTATAGAAAAATTATCAAACCTATAAATTCCCACTGTTGTGCATCTGTCTGTCCTTCCTTAATCTAAAGAAAGAAGTTAGACAGATGAAAGTCAGTATCAAATATGGAAAGCTTAGGGGCAGGAGCACAGATTAACTATATACGAACTTCCAGTTTAAAATGGAAGTCATGTTACTTTGATTCAAAATTTTTCTCCTGAACAGAGTTAGATAGATAACTGGCACAACTCTATTGCTAACAGAAAAAGTATGATGTACAGGGGCATCACCATTACTAAAAGAATTGAGAACATCATAAAGAAAAGTTGCAGCCTGGCATTGTGACGGTGTCTCAATAAATAATTATTCATTAAGAATTAATTTGGTTTATTTGGTTACAGCCAAACAACGTATGAGTGATCTGCTGAGGGGGATACATCCTGGAAAGACTTATGGGAAGCTAGACCATATTTAGGTGTTACTAATGTGAAGAAAACCCAGAAAACTGCACATGGCCAAGCCCAAACCCATAACTAACTAACTATCAGAGTTTGGTAGTTTTATGCATTTGGCTACTGGAGGGCACTTATTAGAATTAAGAAAATACCATTCAGAAATAAAAAAAAACCTATAAGTCATTAGATGTGGAAAATTAAATACTTATATACTTACCATAGACTTTTCTCAGGGTAACACTTTTGATTCCACTCAGGCAAGAGCTATATGCTACCTGTCTCAGTAATGATATAGCATGTCTATTTTGCACTATATCATTGTCACAGTAATTAAGTGAATATAATATATATTTTTTAAAATTACATCTTTTTTTTATAAGAATTATATTTAGTTTCTTATTTTGTTAATTTTTTGCCAATGAATGGCACTATGTGTAAATCAACAAATTGTATATAGATAGAAATTAATTGATTTACAAAAATCAAATCAATATTTTGGGGTGAGATGTATGAATTTATCTAAGTCAGAAGTTTATGAATTTAACTGCAGAGTTTTGTAGCAATTGGTCAAATGGCCACGGAATATACAGCGGAATAGGAATACAAACAAACAATATATAGGAATACAAACAATACATAGGAATACAACAATATATAGGAATACAAACAAACAAACACCCTCATTTATATATATATATATATAATGAATTATTTATGTACAAAGTCCTAAATAAAGATTAAGATAAAATGCTTACTTCTAATTCAACTTTTGCTTCAATGAGATTTCTTTGAAGAGTATCCAATTCTAATATGCTATTTGATATTTGATTTGGATTTAAATTCTGAAAAAGTTTTATTTGTTTAATTTTTATTATATACATGTTAAGTTTAATGTAATACTAAAATTTAAGTAAGTACCTCTCTTGTTCTGAAACTATCAAGTAATTCTTTCATTGTTTTCAAATTTTTATGGAGATTTTGCTGTCTTGTTATTAAAGATCTTTCAGCCTGATCTTGCTGATTTGATACACGTATTTTGCAAGCATTGAAAACTTTCGTAATAGATGAAGGCCAATTGAAAATTTTAGTATTCATTTGGATATCATAATCTGAAATAGAGAGGTAAAAAGACATTTAATATGCTTAATAACTTGTTAATAATCTAGCTACATTACTTTTATTATTTTTAATTATAAAAATTTTAATATTCATAAAAAAAAATAAAAATATAGCTAAACCTTGGTTAATGTGCTTTTAAGTTAGTATGTTTTGGTTTCATTTGAATCATTAACTATAGATAAATTACATATTATCCATCCAAATAAGTTTATTCATAGATGCATTGTACATTACATTGCTGTATTTACTAATGCACAGACTGTGCAAGTGTACAGGGAGACAAAATCTCTAAGAATAAATCTTGTAGCATGTAAACTTGGCTCTGGCAATGCTGCTGAAAATAGATATCTGACCATTTTGATTGAATGCCTAACAAATAAAATAGGAAAAAAATTCAATCTTCCCAAACATCAATAATTGATAATACCTAGAGCATCACTGTTTTGTTTCCTTGCACACAATTATGAATTGAGAGTAACTTTATAATGATTGAATGGGTATTGCATCTGGGAGAAAAATAATTTTCAGTGAGCTGCCAGCTGTGGGCACGTTTCATGAAAATTGCAAATAATGAGATATGGATGTTAGGTGTTCTAACTGGCATATATAAATATATTGCACTTGGAAGGAAACATTCAGCAGAACTGAAAACTTAAACTTTGTAAGTAATTATACATTCGTGTACAAAATGCAAGCATAACCATTAATTTGGCTTATATTTCAGAAACTACTAATTAGAACAGTGTGAAACCTATGTGGCTGTATGCCATAATATATTTTAAGTTTAGTTTGTAGTCTTTAGCATATTTACTTTCCATTCTTCTAGAACCTTCATACATTCTTTCCATCTTCTAGAACCTTCTAATATTAATTATTCTTCCCCCTTGGAGGTGAGGGCCACTTCCTAAAATCATCAAAACAATGAATGTGAAGTTTCCTGAAGGCACACATGGAGAGAACAAGTCCCTTTTTGGCTGGTCCTCATAATGAGAGGACAAACAGGACAATAGGGATAATTGTCCAGTACCCGACAGGTAGAGCCAATTTGGAGGAAGAGAGACTCCTGAACTTCTTGGACTAACGTTATAGTGTTGAAGTCAGTGTCTCAACTTAATGAGTTACATGGCTCAGACAGATGAACAACAACTTGGACTAGAAATTTATAGAAACATGTTATAGGTGTTGGACTAAGAAAAGGTAAACGGAAGTGCAAATTGTGCCTAAGGATGTTTCCATGTGGTCCCTCACAATAACAGAAAGATGTTTGTACAACTCAGGTTCTTTATTCTATTCTGTCCACCATCTTTGATACTTTGTGCCCCCTACCATATGTTTTCTGATTTCCTTTAGTACTGTAAGTTAGTTTTAAGGATTAATTTAGAAGGAGATTTTGGAATAATCTCAATATAATAAATAAGAAATCTCAAGTTTATTGTACTTGTCATGATATTTTGTAATTATCCAGCCAACAACCATGTTTTGGGTTGCTGCTGGAGCATCCACTGCAAATCCTGTACATAGTTATATCACACAAAATAAATTGTGTTTTTAGCATTTACTGCTCACATTTCCTTTTTTTTTTGGGGGGGATGTCTGCCTTAGTAGGCAAACACTCCGAAAAAAGAATAAGCCAGAAGTCATACTCTATAAGCCTTATACTCTTCATGTAACAAAAGAACTGAAAAGCAAAAATTTAATCTAAATTACATCAAACCAAAAACAAAAGAATACAAATCATTGTCATAAATCTTTTTGCTCAGAAAAGGATTAATATGGCATGCGGTTGCCTCTTGCACTCATACACACTGCACAGCAATTGTTCATGCTGATTATCATGTTGTTTATCAGCTCTGTTGGGAGCAAAGACCATTCTTAAATAAGTACATTTTAAAGCTCTTGGAGTGTGGAACTTCTTGGTGTAGACTGATGGAATGCAACTTGTAACCTGAAAGCATTTTAGTTTTAGGTCTGGAGATATGATACATATTTCACTCAGAATTTCACTCTATGTATTGCCCACAAAAATAAAATCTGCATTCATAACATCCTTGGAAAAAATTCAGATGGGGTTTCAAAACCTTGTCTCTGTAACTTCTTGCATTAATGGTACCCCTTGTAAAGATATGAAGCTTAGTGAGACTATTAAGCATAATGTCACTCCAGATCATGCTATCACAACCTGCAAATTATTCTCTTTTCATTTCATTCATGGATTTTATTGGATTATATGCTGTCTCCACATTACAATCCAGTTGTTCTCAACCTTGAGTCTTATGATTCTCAGTGGACTATGTCACATTTCTGAGGAGCCAGATGAAAAAATGAGACATCCAGGAGCCACAGAAGTTTTTGAAGAGATCATAGCCAATTAACAGCAAGACATGCAACAGGAATCATTCTATAGACCAGTGGTTCCTAACCTTTTTTGACTTGCGTATCCCTTGGCAGCCCATTTTCCTAAGTTTTATTTTCCATTTTTGCTAAATTTTCTTTCATGTGTTAGTCAAAAAGAAGCACTTTGGTCAATTATACAGTAATGTACAATTGAAAAAGTTTTTTTTTAAGTTGAAAAGCATTGGAGGAAAAACACAGATAAATATAATTATATTTTTATTTAAAATTAAGCATAGAATACCATGACATTGCCAAAGTCCTCACACAAAATACTAAAATTCTTATAGGACATCCACCATTATTAATTTTTTCTTGTGTATCCTTAGGGGTATGGATATCCTGGTTGGAAATTACTGCTGTAGACTATATTTGGTTTCTTATCTATGACTTTCATGATTATGCTTATCCTTTTAAACATTGAGTCCAATTTCAGAGAAATTAACTTTGATCATATTGAAAATACTTTTGCCAAAAGCAAAGCTAGACACAAACTAATGTAAATGCATATTGGGAGAGTTTTACTGTACTATATGATGGACATGGGTGACTAGCTGGGTGAGAAAAAACACTGAAGCATTCTGTAAATATATTGAAATAAATCATTTTATCATCTCAAATTACAAATGCTATTAGACAAAAAAATTTTAAAATTCAAACCTTTTATCACATTCTAAAAATGTAAGGGTGGCAAAATATAATGGGCATAGATGGCTAACTTTAACACACTTTTGCTTAAAGCACTGCTTTTAAGAAAAATATAACATATAAACCNATTTCAAATTTACGTAACACATTTACTTAATATGATTTTATTAATTAAATATCTTTTAGATATTTCTTACAATCTTACCAAAATGAATTCAAAATAATTTCACTATCGTCCAAAAATATTTATATACTTAATTATGATTAATGCCATTATGACCAAATGACTAATATAATGTAGGCATTAGCATTAGACTACTGTTCTGAAAAGCCTATCTCACTAAATTTCTGTGGATCTAACTTGAAACTTGAGTGTGAAATTCAAGCAATGACCTCTGTCACTACTATGAAAAAATGTAACTTTACAGCTAAAGGTTATTCCTATAGCATCAACAACTACAACAAAATATATAAAGGAAATGAATTTCCAGGAGAAAATCAACAATTTGTCACGTAATACAATTAACCATTTAGTATTGGTTAAAAATAAACTGGTCTTTCTGTTTTGATTAAATAAGCCAATAGTAAAACCAAGTGAATAGTTTGTTTACAGGGAGAGATTTCTGTTCTATACGAGTGTCTAAAGATAAGAAAGCATGGGAAGAAGACCATCCACAAGGACAAATCTGAAGATGCCAAACTGCCCAAAGGCTTGGACAATGATACCATTGTCCTGATACATGATTGCATATAAGATTATTTGAGGGTATCTAATAACTTTTTTCATGAAACAGTAATATAGTTACTCGCAAATCACACTTAAATTCAAAATTTCCATCAAATAAACGTCAAAAATACACATCAAACGTTTTCGACCACTAAATTTATCGGCCTTCCTCAGGAAATACAAACTGGAAAAACCATTCTATATTATTTTGTAATATAGTTACCAAAATATGTGTAATAAAACATAATAATACAATATAAATGAAACTATATATTTATTCTATATATATACAGCATATTAAAAGCAAAATGTTCTGTCACCTCAACTGAAACCAACACTTTACAAAGTGCTATAAGTAGAGACTCAACTTTGTCTGGATGTAATATAACCAAATCAATCAATACAGAAAGTATTTAATATTTTGGAAATTGATTTCAATATAAATTTTAATTTTAATTAATTAATTAATTTTGATTTTATTTTTAATTTTAGTTTTAGTTTTGGTGTAAAGATCAGAGTTTCCATTATTATTTTATTATTTTTAGTTTTAATTAACTGGTTACCTAGTATTAATAAATTTTTGTTATTTAATTTAACTTAAGCATATTTATACACGAATTCTTAGATGCCATTTTATTATGTAAATCTCAATTAACATGGTTTATATTAATTAATTAGATTTTGATTTGACTGTGGTGCATATGGAAAACAGAAATAGTATCTTTTCTACATGTGCATTGAAATCTAATTTGAATAATGTCATCAATGGTTTGTATCATGATCACTAATGATGTGAGGTGATCTCAGTACTAATAACTTCTGAATTGGTAGTCCTTTGGTTGATTAGTCGAGCCTTGACTTTCTTTAACACAGGAACTATAGTGAGTTGACTGCCTGTGACTTGTAATCTGTGACCAGCTCCTGCTAAGTAGCTTGTTTGGCAGCCAAGTTATCATATGGCATTCAAAATTTTGTTCAGGAATCAAATTGTTTGAAAAGTGAGGCATTTGAAAACTCAGATTTGACTGTATCTTGCACAAAACGATTCTGATAGCTTAACACTGCATTGAGTAATAACAATCCATGAAACCTTTTTATAACAGTGTTGTCTCCGTAACGGTTGTCTCGGTGGAGGTCGAAAATGTTTGTGAAGTTTGTTACAGAGACAACACTGTTATAAAAAGGTTTCGTGGATTGTTATGACTGTATCTTGTTTTCTAATTCATAATTTTTTAATAAACTAAGCACTATTTCCTTTTTCTGCTTCAATATTTTGAATAACTCCAACAATTCAGGAAACAGTGAGTGTGAACAGCTACTAGACATCATGTTTGTCATTAAAAAACCACATTGGAAATATTCTAGACTTGTCAATAGATTTCATTAGCTGTCTGTAAAGTTTTAAGTTTGCCTGTAAACATACAAGTATACTGTAATGAGACAAACTTGAAGAATTGTACATGCTTACTCTGCTCACCATGTGTATCATATATATTTATAGGAATATTCATCAAGAGATTAACACAAAAGTTTTGACAGAAAATATTCAAAATTAATGAGTTAAAAGTAATATTAAATTTTTATAATCAATAAAAGGATTCATTCTTTAAAAATAAAATTATTTTAATTAAAACATATTTAAAATTGTGAATTTTCTTATATTGTGAATTTTGCACACTTACTTTGAAATGTGATTTCCTAATTCAAGTTGAACCATATCAGATAGTGAAGTTTTCTCAGATGGAAGAATTGATTTACCAATTATAAGGCCAATCTAATAAATTTTACAATATCAAATTAATTATAATCAATCCAAGTTGTTGTTTTTTTATTTTAAATAATTATATAGTGAGTGATCAGTTAACAAACATAATCTGTTCAAAGACAATGTTCTCTACCCGAATTGTTCATTAACCAATTATTAATTTACCATAGATTTTTATGGGAATTTGATTAATTTGTTCTGGAGACGCCAAAAAAAATAAATAAAAAATTATATAATTTTTTACTATGTTTATTTACATGTAATAACAAACTAAAAGCAATCTCTCCATTTTTCCATTGATGGAGAAATGAGAAACAAAATCATATTTTTGTTTCTCAGATGTGATTTTTGTTACTCATTCATCTGCTTGAGTCTTTTTGATTATATCATTCTTTAGCTAAGATTGTATCTACTGTAGATTTGTTGAAGCCATACTGCCTAGAAACATCAGACATCTTCTGCCCATTCTCTACCTTGGCTATTATCTCTTGCTTAGTTTATGTAATGAGCTCAGTTCTTAACATGCCACTCTTTTTAAGCTCCATAATATTATCAGTTTTTTAAAATAAAAAGTTTAAAAAAAGCACTTGCAAAAATTCAGATAACAGAAATCAACTAGTGCAAAAAAGGTTATGTATGCAACTGTGAAAATCTCATTCCATAAACCATTCATAGATTCTAGTAAAATATAATTTTGCAAATCTTAAATGCACCATGCTTCTTCTTGTGTTTGTTCTGTGAGGTGTTTGTTATCCAAACGTGTTTGTTGTCCAAACATAAAAATCTTTCACGAGAGTGTTCATTGTCTGATTTGTTCGCAGTCCAAACCATTCATTAACCGATCACCCATTGTACTTTAAAATTTATATTTGAAAATGAGAAATTTTATTGTTTTAATTATATTCAATATCATTCTATTTTATTGAATGTCTTTTTGTTTTGAAGATGTCATATAATTTGACTAAATATATTTCATTTATTTATGCTTTCAGCTTATTAAACTAAATAGTTATCTCATTTATGTATCTACTAATTATTAAGCACTTTATATTTATTTAATTTATAAAAATTACCTTTGCCCAATGTCTAATTTTCATACCAGGATTACAAACAACTTTCAGTAAGGGTACATGATGATGAAATTCAGAGTATTTCTTTTTTAAATATGTTGTAATGTGTTTCGGTGCTGAATTATCTTCAAATATATCTTTCAAATAAGTCAGGGACTCATTAATCTTTTCCATGCTCTCATCAATTTCTTCAGTATTTAGATCATTAAACGGACCTATATTAAAATTTACAATATTTTTCAGTTATGAAATATTAAAAATAAGTGATAGAATTTAATATAGTCAAATATTATTATTATATTTATTAAATAAATTAATTTTGATTTCTTTGATAATCAATAATGAGGATAATATATAAATAAAATAATCAGATTTAATTGCAATTGTTTTTAAAATAAATAAATTAATTAAAGTGAATTTTTTGTAAAAGGTATATTTTTGCCAGAGATTGTTTATGTAATATTGTAAATAAATCACAATTTTCTTAACATATTTCAACAATTATTATTTTGAAATTTAAAAAAAATGCAGTGTAGATAAATATTAGATAGGCTATTTTATGATTAAATTTGTTCTTTTTTAATAATTATTTTTCTATTAATGAATACTTTGCTAAAGAATATTTTTATTAAAATAACTACATTACCATTAAACCACTTTTCAAACTTTGTTGTAAAATCATAAGCTGTATGCCAGAGTTGACTATAAGGCTGAATTTGTTCTGTGAGTTCATATAGTAATGGTTCTTTTGTGCAAACCCATCCTAATAATCTTTCTTCTTCATTTATTTTCTAAATTGATACATTAAATTAAAGTTAAGAATTCAACATTAATCTTCCATTCTTCATAAATAATCACACCAGTTACTACTTTAATTTCCAAAAACATTTTTATATAGTCCATTGTACTTTCAAACTTTAAGGAAATAAAGCAGGAACAGGTGTAAAAATTAAAAGTAATGCATTAATTAATGAAAATAAGTCAAAATATTCATGTAACAGTTAAATCAGAAATCCTAATTAAAAGTTTATATGATATTAACAAACTTTTATAATTATTTTAATGAAAACTTTAAATTTATAATAAACCTAATTTTTAAATATTATTGTAATAGTATTATATTCAAATATATTATTATATTTGAAAATCGTACTATATTATCAGCTAGCTATCTAGCTGACAAAACATTTACACAGAAAGGTGTCAAGTCTATTGCTATGAAAAAACTGGGTTGGAATTTAATCCAGATCCCTATTATCTGTCAAGAGTTGTCTAAGTCAAAGCATCATTCTCCAACTCTGATCCATGCTAATCCACCCCATCATGGATCAGACTCACTTATAACAAAAGAAATTATGATCATCCATATTGTATTACTATGCCATTCTTTGTACTAACAAATCAATTAATCAATTGTATTAGTAATTTTATGTTATGTGTAAATTTAAGATGATGTATTCAATATTTATAATATAATATTCTATTGTTTATATTTTAAATATATTTATTATTATATGTTTTAATGATTAACTACCAAACATTCACATAAGAGATTTATTCCCATGTGAAAACCTATTATTTATCTCCTAAATACTAAAAGTCATTTAAGATTGGATGGAAACTGACTGGTCATCTAGCTAATTGGATGTCACAAACAGAAAAAAATGAAAAGAGGCCTATCTGACAGTACTGATCTGAATTGTCAAACCACTGACAAATGGTAATGCATATTAGACTCCTGAAGATATACCTAATGTCTGATTGTAACTCTGTCTTACTCCACAAGGTGATAACATAGTAGAGATAGTGTGTAACTAAAAATTGTAATAAATAAACTTTTCTTTCAACGTCAGTAGAGCAACAGCTGAGTGTAATTACTCTCCATCTGCATCCATGTGACATGACACCATCACTAAGGCAATATCAAAAATTAAAGTGAGGTATGCAAACTAGCCACCACTTGGGCCAAAGTTATTTGACAATGAAATCAGGACTATAACCAAACAATACTCTTTCATATTATTAAAGCAATTGATATAATATATTAAAAATCTGATTTTGTTTTGAATAAAATACATTTTTTTGTCTAAATCTTAGTTTTTTTAAGTGTACATATGATTCATTACTCAAGTTTATACTGAAAATATTATTAATAAATGAAATGTAGTAATTGTTGAAATTCTAAATATTAAATTATTAATATTGATAATTTATTGTTTATAAATGTACTTACATTAAATATTGTAAATTGTTTTATTTTGTACTATAAATTAGCATTATTAAAATTTGTATCATCAAAAAGCAAAGATTTTTTTATCTATATTAAACAAATATATTAGATTTTTAATGTATAAATAAAACTAGCAGATGAGCCTGGCTATGCTCAAGCAAAACATAACAACAGCAAAGATTAAGATTATTAGCTTATTTCGTACTTCTAACATTTTTATTATATTATAATATTTGATTTATATTTACAAAGGTTATCTTATGTAAGAGTTTATCATACCAAGTGACCAATCTAATACATTTTAAAAATTCTTTAAATTGTACTACAGTAGAGGAAGAAAATTTTTTAAATGTGTTAGATTGATAAACTTTTGTAAGATAACTTTTGTAGTTATATAAATCAAATACTATGATATACCAAATATTAAAAAGAAAACCATATAAAGAGTTTGGTTATTTCAGCCTACCATTGTCACATTTATTGCAATACTTGGTCAGTATGAAATGGCACAATTTCATTGGTCAAGTAGATAGACACCAATTGAAAATACGATATCTTAAAAAATTTAAGATAGCATATTTTTTCCTAATGTTAATGCTAAGAAACAGTACTATTTACATCTGAATATCAAACAGTAATCTGCCAACAAATCGAATTTTGCAAAAAATGGACCAAATATTTAAACTTGGTACCTTTGAAAACCACTTAAATCATATTTTGTGCTGGCTGGTAACTTTGTATTATGTAATTTTCTTATTCAAATTCCATCATACAGTTGATCCAATAGAAATAAGGGACTGTTGTGGAAGGGGCTCAAAGTAATTCAACTGATAATAGTCATTGATCTCCTCCCAGAAAAAAAAATGGTCAATGACTACTAATTAATACTGATCTACTATTAATATTTAAAAAGTGATCTGTGTTAGACAGGTTATAATGACCCTGCATGTGATCAAAGTTGCTAACCTTACTGTCTGAAAGACTTCATATAAAACTTGTTTAAATAAAAAAAATCTTGTAAAATTGCTAGAATAATTCTTTATGTGATAATAAAGTGTTTAAGTGTTGGCAAAAGATTGTATAACTTACATGGAAAGTATGTTCTTGTAAATATTGCATTTATAGAAAAATTATCAAACCTATAAATTCCCACTGTTGTGCATCTGTCTGTCCTTCCTTAATCTAAAGAAAGAAGTTAGACAGATGAAAGTCAGTATCAAATATGGAAAGCTTAGGGGCAGGAGCACAGATTAACTATATACGAACTTCCAGTTTAAAATGGAAGTCATGTTACTTTGATTCAAAATTTTTCTCCTGAACAGAGTTAGATAGATAACTGGCACAACTCTATTGCTAACAGAAAAAGTATGATGTACAGGGGCATCACCATTACTAAAAGAATTGAGAACATCATAAAGAAAAGTTGCAGCCTGGCATTGTGACGGTGTCTCAATAAATAATTATTCATTAAGAATTAATTTGGTTTATTTGGTTACAGCCAAACAACGTATGAGTGATCTGCTGAGGGGGATACATCCTGGAAAGACTTATGGGAAGCTAGACCATATTTAGGTGTTACTAATGTGAAGAAAACCCAGAAAACTGCACATGGCCAAGCCCAAACCCATAACTAACTAACTATCAGAGTTTGGTAGTTTTATGCATTTGGCTACTGGAGGGCACTTATTAGAATTAAGAAAATACCATTCAGAAATAAAAAAAAACCTATAAGTCATTAGATGTGGAAAATTAAATACTTATATACTTACCATAGACTTTTCTCAGCGTAACACTTTTGATTCCACTCAGGCAAGAGCTATATGCTACCTGTCTCAGTAATGATATAGCATGTCTATTTTGCACTATATCATTGTCACAGTAATTAAGTGAATATAATATATATTTTTTAAAATTACATCTTTTTTTTATAAGAATTATATTTAGTTTCTTATTTTGTTAATTTTTTGCCAATGAATGGCACTATGTGTAAATCAACAAATTGTATATAGATAGAAATTAATTGATTTACAAAAATCAAATCAATATTTTGGGGTGAGATGTATGAATTTATCTAAGTCAGAAGTTTATGAATTTAACTGCAGAGTTTTGTAGCAATTGGTCAAATGGCCACGGAATATACAGCGGAATAGGAATACAAACAAACAATATATAGGAATACAAACAATACATAGGAATACAACAATATATAGGAATACAAACAAACAAACACCCTCATTTATATATATATATATATAATGAATTATTTATGTACAAAGTCCTAAATAAAGATTAAGATAAAATGCTTACTTCTAATTCAACTTTTGCTTCAATGAGATTTCTTTGAAGAGTATCCAATTCTAATATGCTATTTGATATTTGATTTGGATTTAAATTCTGAAAAAGTTTTATTTGTTTAATTTTTATTATATACATGTTAAGTTTAATGTAATACTAAAATTTAAGTAAGTACCTCTCTTGTTCTGAAACTATCAAGTAATTCTTTCATTGTTTTCAAATTTTTATGGAGATTTTGCTGTCTTGTTATTAAAGATCTTTCAGCCTGATCTTGCTGATTTGATACACGTATTTTGCAAGCATTGAAAACTTTCGTAATAGATGAAGGCCAATTGAAAATTTTAGTATTCATTTGGATATCATAATCTGAAATAGAGAGGTAAAAAGACATTTAATATGCTTAATAACTTGTTAATAATCTAGCTACATTACTTTTATTATTTTTAATTATAAAAATTTTAATATTCATAAAAAAAAATAAAAATATAGCTAAACCTTGGTTAATGTGCTTTTAAGTTAGTATGTTTTGGTTTCATTTGAATCATTAACTATAGATAAATTACATATTATCCATCCAAATAAGTTTATTCATAGATGCATTGTACATTACATTGCTGTATTTACTAATGCACAGACTGTGCAAGTGTACAGGGAGACAAAATCTCTAAGAATAAATCTTGTAGCATGTAAACTTGGCTCTGGCAATGCTGCTGAAAATAGATATCTGACCATTTTGATTGAATGCCTAACAAATAAAATAGGAAAAAAATTCAATCTTCCCAAACATCAATAATTGATAATACCTAGAGCATCACTGTTTTGTTTCCTTGCACACAATTATGAATTGAGAGTAACTTTATAATGATTGAATGGGTATTGCATCTGGGAGAAAAATAATTTTCAGTGAGCTGCCAGCTGTGGGCACGTTTCATGAAAATTGCAAATAATGAGATATGGATGTTAGGTGTTCTAACTGGCATATATAAATATATTGCACTTGGAAGGAAACATTCAGCAGAACTGAAAACTTAAACTTTGTAAGTAATTATACATTCGTGTACAAAATGCAAGCATAACCATTAATTTGGCTTATATTTCAGAAACTACTAATTAGAACAGTGTGAAACCTATGTGGCTGTATGCCATAATATATTTTAAGTTTAGTTTGTAGTCTTTAGCATATTTACTTTCCATTCTTCTAGAACCTTCATACATTCTTTCCATCTTCTAGAACCTTCTAATATTAATTATTCTTCCCCCTTGGAGGTGAGGGCCACTTCCTAAAATCATCAAAACAATGAATGTGAAGTTTCCTGAAGGCACACATGGAGAGAACAAGTCCCTTTTTGGCTGGTCCTCATAATGAGAGGACAAACAGGACAATAGGGATAATTGTCCAGTACCCGACAGGTAGAGCCAATTTGGAGGAAGAGAGACTCCTGAACTTCTTGGACTAACGTTATAGTGTTGAAGTCAGTGTCTCAACTTAATGAGTTACATGGCTCAGACAGATGAACAACAACTTGGACTAGAAATTTATAGAAACATGTTATAGGTGTTGGACTAAGAAAAGGTAAACGGAAGTGCAAATTGTGCCTAAGGATGTTTCCATGTGGTCCCTCACAATAACAGAAAGATGTTTGTACAACTCAGGTTCTTTATTCTATTCTGTCCACCATCTTCGATACTTTGTGCCCCCCTACCATATGTTTTCTGATTTCCTTTAGTACTGTAAGTTAGTTTTAAGGATTAATTTAGAAGGAGATTTTGGAATAATCTCAATATAATAAATAAGAAATCTCAAGTTTATTGTACTTGTCATGATATTTTGTAATTATCCAGCCAACAACCATGTTTTGGGTTGCTGCTGGAGCATCCACTGCAAATCCTGTACATAGTTATATCACACAAAATAAATTGTGTTTTTAGCATTTACTGCTCACATTTCCTTTTTTTTGGGGGGGGATGTCTGCCTTAGTAGGCAAACACTCCGAAAAAAGAATAAGCCAGAAGTCATACTCTATAAGCCTTATACTCTTCATGTAACAAAAGAACTGAAAAGCAAAAATTTAATCTAAATTACATCAAACCAAAAACAAAAGAATACAAATCATTGTCATAAATCTTTTTGCTCAGAAAAGGATTAATATGGCATGCGGTTGCCTCTTGCACTCATACACACTGCACAGCAATTGTTCATGCTGATTATCATGTTGTTTATCAGCTCTGTTGGGAGCAAAGACCATTCTTAAATAAGTACATTTTAAAGCTCTTGGAGTGTGGAACTTCTTGGTGTAGACTGATGGAATGCAACTTGTAACCTGAAAGCATTTTAGTTTTAGGTCTGGAGATATGATACATATTTCACTCAGAATTTCACTCTATGTATTGCCCACAAAAATAAAATCTGCATTCATAACATCCTTGGAAAAAATTCAGATGGGGTTTCAAAACCTTGTCTCTGTAACTTCTTGCATTAATGGTACCCCTTGTAAAGATATGAAGCTTAGTGAGACTATTAAGCATAATGTCACTCCAGATCATGCTATCACAACCTGCAAATTATTCTCTTTTCATTTCATTCATGGATTTTATTGGATTATATGCTGTCTCCACATTACAATCCAGTTGTTCTCAACCTTGAGTCTTATGATTCTCAGTGGACTATGTCACATTTCTGAGGAGCCAGATGAAAAAATGAGACATCCAGGAGCCACAGAAGTTTTTGAAGAGATCATAGCCAATTAACAGCAAGACATGCAACAGGAATCATTCTATAGACCAGTGGTTCCTAACCTTTTTTGACTTGCGTATCCCTTGGCAGCCCATTTTCCTAAGTTTTATTTTCCATTTTTGCTAAATTTTCTTTCATGTGTTAGTCAAAAAGAAGCACTTTGGTCAATTATACAGTAATGTACAATTGAAAAAGTTTTTTTTTAAGTTGAAAAGCATTGGAGGAAAAACACAGATAAATATAATTATATTTTTATTTAAAATTAAGCATAGAATACCATGACATTGCCAAAGTCCTCACACAAAATACTAAAATTCTTATAGGACATCCACCATTATTAATTTTTTCTTGTGTATCCTTAGGGGTATGGATATCCTGGTTGGAAATTACTGCTGTAGACTATATTTGGTTTCTTATCTATGACTTTCATGATTATGCTTATCCTTTTAAACATTGAGTCCAATTTCAGAGAAATTAACTTTGATCATATTGAAAATACTTTTGCCAAAAGCAAAGCTAGACACAAACTAATGTAAATGCATATTGGGAGAGTTTTACTGTACTATATGATGGACATGGGTGACTAGCTGGGTGAGAAAAAACACTGAAGCATTCTGTAAATATATTGAAATAAATCATTTTATCATCTCAAATTACAAATGCTATTAGACAAAAAAATTTTAAAATTCAAACCTTTTATCACATTCTAAAAATGTAAGGGTGGCAAAATATAATGGGCATAGATGGCTAACTTTAACACACTTTTGCTTAAAGCACTGCTTTTAAGAAAAATATAACATATAAACCAAGGTACTTAAAATATATGTATTAAATAGTAAAGAAAAAACTTTTCCAAATGTTTGGCACATTATAATTGCTAAAAAACTTTAGCAATAAATTTAATAAATAAAAATATATAAAATATTCAAGGCAGACAGAATTAAAACTGTTAATTTGCCATGAGAAAAATTGCTATAACAACTTAAGCTTGTATTTTTTTACCAAAAATATTTTAAATTAATCACCTATTAATTTTTAATAGGAGATTAGTTTCCTATTAATCTCCTATTACTATATTTTAAATTAATCTCCAAAAATGATCACATGTAATTTTTCTACTGGCTAAATGCTGCCTGATATATTTACCTCTTTATGAAATGTCACAACTGAAAATACTATTAGAATTCTTCAAAACACAATTAATCTTTAATTAATATTTATAAATATAATAAATATATACCTGCTGTATAATTGATCAATGTATTATTGATACTTATTATGCCTATACAATGCTAATCAATCATATAGGGATAATAAGCAGTTCTCTCTTTAGACTTATCTGTACTCTGTATAAGTTTTGCAGCCCTTGGACTAATCATAATCAATGCATAAATGGTGTAAATTTCTCTTGGTGCCCTATTCTACCAAACAGTTTGATTGTACCTAGAGCCAACATTGATGATAACTATCATATTATATAACTGAAATGATGATAAATACATATGATCTGTTTACAATAAAATATAAAATTTTCATAAAGATTGTTTATTTTAATGGCTGGTAGTAAATGGACATTAAATTTACTGCAATTTTCATTAATTATCCATTTAATGGTTATAAATTAAGAACATAATAAATGAAAAAGTAAGAGCAATTATTTGCTGTACTTTTTCATTTGTTATTTCCTGTATTTAGAGAGAAAAATAAAGCTAAGTACAAAAAATGTATATAAATTTTCATTATTCATCAAAAACAATTATACTTTTAGATTCTTTTCCAATCCATACAAATGAATTAATATTGTATCCAGCACTGATATTTAATTAATAATATAAATTTGGCAAAATTTTCTTTCTATAAATTGCATATTTGAAAGCTTATTCATTGACTGATTAATTCTGATTTGACCTAAAAAAGTAAAAAAAATTAAATAAATAAAAACATATTAAACTTAAACGCATAAACAAAAAATAAAGAAAAACAAATCATAAAATCTATAAATTAAAAAATATAGTAAATTTAAAATAAATAATAAATGAGAAAGATTATGATTCAATTAATGTATAAAGTATTTCTAATTGATTTTATAATTAAACTTTCCATTTTTTTTTTCCCTTATATTTATGTAATTATTAACTTGTTAATGTTAGTGTGCTTTTGTCTATTGAATGTATTGTTATTAATATTTTCAACTTGATTAAAATCTCATTAGCTATGATATCTGCACATAGCTCTATCAAATGTATTAGCGTATTTCTAGTGAGGGGGAGCAAGTTGACAAACTTCACTGAATGTTGGATTTGTCATGAGTTTCTCTGTGAACTACAGGTTTGTAGGAAATACACACCGTGTGACTAAGATTCATACAATTAACAATTTATTTAAAGACTATAGATATATATATACATTGGGTTAACATATTTTTGACTTTTTGATAATGTCTGTTGGTCTAGTATACAATCTGATTGAGGGTCCTTCTTACCCTTTTAGCTTCTTGCTGTGGCTAGCTGCCAATCAATCCAGTGCAGAATCTATAGCTCACTTGGAGGTCTCTCTCCTGTGTAACTCCCAACAGGTTACGCTATCAATAATTGAGCCTCTCCAGAAAAATCAAATCGGCCAAGCATGAGACATAATAGCATAATTCTCTTGCCAGAGTAGGCTTAAGCTTAGGGCTACTTAACAGTATTAATTTTTTTTGTGTTTATAACTGTTTTAAAAATATAGTGAAACTAATACTGCAGCAGCATACAGAATAATTGAAATACATATAGATGCTTTAATCAATAAAAGAAACTGTTTCATAGTTTGCCTAGTGAAAGTATAAACAACAAAATAAAATATTTAATTAGCTCTTTCCAATTATGTTGTGTATTCTACACCAAATATTCTAAAAATAACTGTCTTGTCCATATATCTGTTACTAAGGTGAATACTAATGCTCTGGGACCCAGAATAAATCTAAGCAGTCAAAAAACTCTGAGAATTTTTCAGGGTGGTCTATCTGTCGAGATATGTTGGGCCTCAACCCTCATCACCCAGCCATCCCATTGTGACCTTGGCCAAAGCACAATGGTCCTGGATAAAAGAATACATAAAAATAACGATCAAATAGCCAAAAACATTTATTAAATATGTACAAGAAAAGTCCTAATAGTAAACATTTTGTCTAACAAACCAACTCAATTAACAAACTTTTCTCAAAGTCCTGGTCATTTTCTATTCATTTAAATGCACTTTTCATCCTCTTTAATGAATTTTCTGCTGATTCAATAAAAACAGTCTTAATTATTAAAGTCAATCAATGTTTGCATTCATGTTATCTCAAATTACTATAGAAGAGGAAAATGAGAAAATGTTGCCAGTAAAGATTTCAAAAAGACACAGACACAAAGAATATTCCTTGAAATGGAATCTGTAGCATTAAAGTTACTAAAAAACTCCATACAAGAATAATCAAAATTTTGGTAAGAAAAGTGTATAACATTTTGTAACTACAGTACAATCTTAATAATCCGATGTACATGAGACCCAAATGGTATCAGATTAATGAGATTGTCAGATTATTAAAAGTAAAGTAAATTCAATGGCACATAAATAAATTTGACAGCACAAAGTCAATTGTTAATGATTTGCAAAACACAAGTTGGACTACTGACCTAAACATCCAAGTGCACTGCAGTCATCAATACTCATTTTACCAAGTTGATATATTTGTTAGGCCCCAATAGACCTAGGTCTGTTAGGCGATGTTGGAGGGTCAAGGCACGGACAAATTAAATTAAGGACTTTACAAATCTGGTTAAATTTTAGTAACCAAGGTTTAATCATGAATATTTACAAAACATTCATCTGTTCTAAAACATGAGAGGAACATAAATCTATTTAAATTTACAAGATTAGGGAGCACATACACTATACGAGAAAAAGGATTGAAGATATTACTTCTCCTTTTAAAAAGACACAATAATCAACATACCGACAAAAATAATGGTTTTTGGAGGTCCTTTGATGCTTCCTGTTTTAATATCTTGCACTTATTTCATGAACAATGGGCGTATTCTCTACGATGGAGTTGGATTCTGTTCTCTTCATTCGAAAGTTCACACATGTCAGTCCCTTTCTTCTTTATTCTTACACCACGTAGTCTGTTGATCGCTCAAGAAACAGGAACAGGAAAAAAGTCAATTTTTGGATGGGAGTTCCAATATTTATACTTCCCGCCATTGGGTGTGACGTGAAACACACGGGATGTTGGTCACTGATCAATCAACCAGCACGACGGGCCCAACCCGTTCACAATCCAGTACCATAAAATAAAACGGAATTTTACAACAAAACCTGACACGACACGTCATATATATATATAAGAAAGAAACAAAATAAACTATACATAGTGCTTGGGCACTACATATTCCACTAAATTTAATGGGAAATTTAGTGAGAGTTATTACAGTATTTTTTGTGGAAAATTTCAAGGGACTGATTTTTATATTTATACAGTATTATGTTATAAGATATTGTACCTTTTTTTGAGCAGCCGAATTACAAGATTACAAGTATAACAATCTTTAATAATGTACCCAGGCTTGAACATTTGAGCATGGGCTTGATATCAAGTAACATTCAGAAGGAAAGTATTCAAATTTAGTGGAAATTTGAGTTTGAACTAGTGAAAAACTCATTTATGACTTGGTAATAATGCCAGTAATACCTAAAAGTTTACTAGAGTCAGATTACTAGACATATCTGTTAGACCTCCTTATTCAGTAACTCCTCAACTATAAATGCTCATGAGAGGAGTGCTTATTAAAGTTAATCAAATCTGAGGAAAGATTCATTACTTTAAAAAGATGGGCAAGATTTGGCCCATGTTTTTTATAAAAAAACATGGGCCTTTTTGTTGTTTGTGGTGCAGTCTATGAAGTTTGCAACTGCTTTATGATGTGTGTAAGATAAATTAATAAAGTCTTGTTTACAGAAGATGTGCTGGTATGTATATTTTTCATCTTATTAAGCACTGTGAGAAGACAAATTATCTTTAATTGATCAAAATTAAAGTTAATGGTAAAACCCTAACAATATCAAACTAGTAACTGTACAGATTACAGAGATTATACTGTATATACTTTTATACAGTACATATAGAATTTGTCAGAAAATAAATAAGTAACATCTTAATAACTAACTATTGTAAATTTGGTCTTCTAAAATTTGCTAATTAGGACTTTTTCTGTATAATGCTACATTTAAAGGCTTTTTAATTTCAATATTAAAAAACCTTTAAATATTTTAATATTTAAAGGTTTTATAATATTAATATTTAATATTTTAAAATATTTTTAATAATAAAAGTTATTTAATGCTTAATTTTTAATATTTATTTCAATAGTAAATCCGGTACAAAATAAAAGATTTAATTTGTAATGTTTATAATGTAAAATAAACCAATTTAGCAAATCTGTTGTGTTTAAAGTTATAAAAGATTATTAAAAATATAGAAAATTATAAAATATCATATTATAAACAAATTCACAAATAGTTTTATTAAAAATTTAAAAACCATATAAAAAATTTAGCTAGAGTTAAATAATTAAAATGTAAATTCTTTTTATTAAGCAATAACTACATTCATTAAAGAATTTCATAATTTTAGGTATAGAGATTAAATAGGACGTAAAAATAATTTAGAAAAAAACAAAAATAAATTATAGTATATACCTGTAAAAACAGGATAATCCAGTAAAAACAAAATTGATTCCCAAGCTTTTCTTACTTCTTCCATCAGTTGATGTTGTAATATATTAATGCACTAAGCAGCAAAATATACATTATTTTGGCAGAAATAATAAAAATAACAGAATTTAACTATATATATATATGTTACAGTCAAAACCCGTTTTTAGTTAGAACGCGTTTTAACTAGTTGAAACTAGTTTTTACTGAATGTCTTTGTTAAAACCCGTTTTGTCTAGTTGAAACTAGTTTATACTGAATGTCTTTGTTAAAACCCGTTTTGTCTAGTTGAAACTAGTTTATACTGAATGTCTTTGTTAAAACCCGT